AATTGGTTTATTTATAGTGACTTTACTTAGGCCTGTTTACGTTAATTTTTCCTTCCCATTCATTCCATCACATTCTCACATCGAAGCACAGGGATCCTTACCCTGGGTACCAGACTCACTATATGAAATAAGTGAGTCTGGTACCCAGGGTAAGGCATCCTCTACCTCACTCTCAAATCACGCGACGTCGGATTGGGTTCACTTCGGATTGCTTTTCACTTCGGATAGGGGTTTCAGTACCCTGGGTACCAGACTCACTATATATAAAATAAAGTAGAGAGTCTGTCTGGTCTAGTGCGCCCCATTCTCGTTCTGGTGAACTTACTTGAAAGAACTTTAGTCAATTTAACAGACTAGGCCTGTGAAACAAGACTGTCGGATAAATAACAAAGATACTCAGTAGTCAGAGGAGTTTTGGGAAATCTCAAAGCAAATGTATTTTATATAGTTCTGTAAAGTCGACATTATGAATACAGTGGTAATATACTTTTCTGCCTCAAGATTCCAATAAAATCAGGTTTAAAACGCCATTTGGCAGCAAAAAAACATGTGCAAAGCATGAAATTGAAGTTAGCACAATGCAGTTATTAAATGTTAATCATTACTCAATTTCGTATACAACTTAAAATAAGTCTTTTGTAATTTTCCTCATAAATTATGTGCACTTTCAAAGTCTATTTCCTCACTGTGAAGGCAGCGCGCTTGGAAACCGCGGCGGTTAGAATCCTCACGTTGGAAGTTCACCACAGCAAATATGACCAATACGACAAGCGAAGCCCCGTATGCCGGGCGAAATATTAGCCATAACTGATTTACTTGTGTTTGTTGTTGTTTGTTCTCGGCGCCTTGCGGTGTTTCTTATTTACTGCATTTCACTACAAGGCCTATATAGTGAGTCTGGTACCCAGGGTAGGAGACCATAAGCAACCCGCCAAACCGCACCCCCCTCCCCGGTGGCGTGGCCCCTGGTATAGCATGTTAAAACAGAAAAGCAAGAAGCAAGAATGATAGTTTCTCTCGCTAACCAGAAGGAGCAAAGTTGAATATTTTTGGCAAAAATTTTTTTGAAATAGGGTGAACTTGAGCGAAATCTCTTAAAAGCATGAATGTAAAAATATCTTCGGGGAATCTTTTTCACCCAGGCCCTTTTGGTATCGAGCTAAGGAACACTAAGCTCAGTTACTCCGGTGATACTGGGCATAATCCAAAAAGTGGGTTTACTCTAAATACTGATCGCAAATCTAGGTTGTCCAAGAATTATTTGCCTGTAATTGAAGTTTATTAGCTACTGAGCTCGCCAGCACTGAGAAAATTTGTCCAAATCATCTTTGAAGCACAGCCAAAAATGTTTCACTGCTACTCGGGGCACTGTCTGGGCTTCAGCCGTGTCCTAAACAACCAACTTCGTCAGAAAAGTTTGCTGCTTTGCCAGAATTTGTGAAACAAGTTTGTCTTTAGGTACCCCTCTTTCATATGAAAACATTGCAACCCACAGCTTCTATACAGATAGGACAAAGTCACCTTAAGGGTGTCCCCAATTGCCACAGAATGATGTTTTTGAGACAAAATTACTTTAAGGTTAAGGTTAGCGTTTTTGACATGATGTTTTGTTCTCCCTAAGAGCCAAACTATCAAGTAATCGTATCAAACTATGGATCATTTGATGCACAAGAGTATGTTGATTCCAACCATATCAAAATAATTGGCAAATATTGTAAAATGGTACTTTCCAGCAAGATTTATTGCTCAAATGAGTGTACCACCTTCAAAAGCTATTTTGTGCCCTTGGTTTGAGGTAACAAAATCTGATTTGCATCAGCAGAAAGCGCAGATCCTAAGCTACCAAAGTGCTTCTCAGATTTTTCAATTTCCCCCTCTCCTTGAAACTATACCCTGCCACCAATTTTTCTACAATCCGGCAGTTATATTTAGCTATAAAAGACTGACCAGAGCAAATACAACAAATTTGAGAGAGCCTTTGCTTACCCGACATGTCCTGGCCGTGTGCAAATTTTTGAGCCATTCGATCATTTCCTTGGGTACAAACTAGCTTTTTTGTACCTGTATGTAGAGGAATTGTAAGTCCGGAGAAAATGGGAGTTTCCTGATTGCACTTGCAAGGTACACCCGTAAACCACAGTGTAATCCGGGTCAAGTCACTCGAAGCTTTAAGATCAATAAGCCTGTTTAGATAAACACAGCCATACATGTATCAGGCGATATTGTAGATTAGACATGTGACGACAACCACAAATCGAAAAAATGCTGATCAAATGAAATTTTATCAGAGTTGATTTCACGAGGAATGTTGTAGAATTTGATTTCGCTAGGGGTTCTTACTTGCATTACTCTCATTTGGATGTTAATTGTCATGCTTCAATTTGGTATTTAAGTCCTTATGTGCTTCTTTGATGCCATTGGGAATAATAAAGAAGGAGTTCGATAGCACGAAAGTGTGGGTACCTTGACTCAGATGGGTGTATTCAATTGCCTTGGGTCGGGATTATCGTGCTTACTTCGTATGCTGTTTCCGCGCTCTCTCGCCACAGCTTTTTTATTTTAATTGAGTGAATGCATTTGTTGATGTTTTTTCTCCAAGTAAGAAATTTATGTATGTTTTCGTGCAGAAAAGACTGGCGCCTTCTTCATTCGCGACCCTATTCCGCATGCGCAGTAGAAAGTCAGCCCGGGTTGAGTCGGCCCTCCAAAAGAAGTTGAACATCTTTTTCTGTGGGCTCAGGACTAATTCCACTCGCACCCCCTTAAGCCAACCCCCCTTGAGCCGACCCCCTTGAGCCAACCCGGATTAGCCTAGAGTAGGTAACTTTCCATTTGCATTGCAAAAATATTTCTTAGGTTCACTCTACCCTCTATCCAGATCGAAGCGAATCCAAAAATTACTTAGGCCAAATTTACCAGAGCACGCGCACATAAAAGGAATTGGAAACTGCTCACGTGAAACCACTGTGTGCTGCTCTAGCATTTCGCAGATTGGCAGAAATTAATTGGGAGCTTGATATGAATTCCTGATTACCATTGGTGGCTACTAAACCATACTCTGAGCATAGTGTATGGCAAACCACTCCATGAAAATCTCATTTCACCTAGCATAGGTTTCAAATCTATGATTGGCTGAGTGATTAAAATTCTCCAAACTCCTTGGGCCAATCAGAATTCAAAAATATGACAACAAACGTGCTTCGCAACTAGATTCAGGCCTATTTTGGATATTTTTACCACTGCCCATCAAAAAATAATATTATAGCATGTCCTGAAAGGTAACCTAAATCTTCTTTGAATATTTCTCTTCAATTTCCCTCTCTTTCAGCATTAACTCTCTCTCTTTAAAACAAGTATCAACTTTGATTCTTTTTAATAATTTCAAAGGTTTTTTGCCCAGCGATGCGTTTCTTTTCACTTACATTCTCTACCTCCCTTTGCTTTCTCTTGCTGCTCTCTCTCATTATTTCTACCGACTGCTTTCTCATTTCTTCACCTATTTCCACTTCTTGTTTTTCTTTAACTTGCTGGGATGCTGCTTACTGATCAGCGATTGCAGCATCAAAATACACCCTTGTCTCATCAAGGAGAACATCTTTTTCTGTGGGCTCAGGACTATTTCCACTTTCACTTCCTTGTCTTCTATTTTGGGACTTTTTTGTGTCCACTTGAATCTTTTGCTACAATATTTTGAGCACATTTAAAGTGGTGAATAGATGATCGGATTGTCCTGCCTTCCCTTTTTGATGGATTGTAATGTAGCATTTTATTTAAATGGGAATAATTTTTAGGCAAAACTTTTATTAGAGAAATTCGGTACGTAAAACAAAATTGAACTCTTTGACATTGCAAAGACTAGAATACCCTATCAAATTTATTCAATTCGCTCAGGGGGATTCAACAATACTGAATTAAAATCCCTAAGAAAGCGCACTTACGTATCTAGATCTAGCGCTAAAAATTTTCACGAAGGTTCAAATTTCGCTGTAGTTTCATAGATGCTATTTTTCATATTTATAAATAAATGTATAAATTCAGTTCTATCTGAAAAATATGACGTTTAAATGTGTATGATTTGCCGACCTGGTCACGTTCAAAACATCTGCGTTGTCCATTGCTGTTTACTTAATATGGGGCAAAATTCTCTCGAAAAGACTCGAAATACGTTTTAAAAAAGTTAACGTTTGGCAAAACCTTAGCTCACTGAAGCTAGCGTTCAGCGTTTGCGATTCTTAAGTATAATAAATCCAATAAAAGTTCAATTTCATGTAAGATTTAGAAATCAGAAATACTCGATTGGAAATACCCCGAAAATTGGAAAAGTTCTTGGGCATTGTTTTAAATTCAGAAAATTTAGGGTGGTCTGTGAAATCTGTGACTCCTAGTGTCTAGAAAAATGCTCTATTTTGCAAAATAAATGATCGATGCACCCGATAAAGTTGTGTTGCTTTCTGATGTACAGATTTCTGACAGCACATAATCATCAGTGCACTGTCTTCACAGTCATTGGAACCTCATACGTAGGTCTAATGTTGTACGAAACTGAGATGAATAATGATTTGTTTGCTAATAGTTCATTAATGTATCTAATAATAATTAGGAGGAATTAAATAAATCAATACTAACCTCTCGACACTGTTTCCAAACTCTTTGATTTAACCAACCGTACTTTCCTGTGAAGTGTTCTCGAAACATAATGATTGCTGACGTCAGAAGTTCGCGCCTTTCTGACAGCCTCGTTCGCAAAAAGATACCCGATCCAATCTCTTCCTAATCTTTTCCTAAAAAAGTATTGAATTAAAAATCCTTGAGGTGTAGTAAAAAGAAAGTAATTTCATATCATAAATAACAATTTTTATATGAAATTTGCATTTTCACATGCAAAATTGGCAACTTGGTGAGATATAAGAATACAATTGGTACCAAGGTTGGAAGATCTTACAAACAATTTATTTACAAATTAGATTTACTGACATCTAAGCAGGAGACTAGACTGAAGATCTTCTTGTTTTTCTTTTTGTTTTTCATGTGACCCAAGACAGTATGTGTGTTTAGTAAAATTTATTTCTTACTCGGAGAAAAAAAAGCATCAACAAATGCATTTCATACATTACAACAAGAAAACTCCCTCAGAAGACATTGCCACATCCCTCATCAAATCAGGTTTTGAGGCTACATTCCCTCATCACAGGAAGCAACGTTAGGCCGTTGGTGCATCGGCTTAAGTTGCTTCACCTAACCCATACAAAACCCTAACCTTGGATGCAGCCTTATAGACTCAAGTACAAGCAGCTGAAAGTTCTGGGCAGGGAATGGACAAGGAAAGTTCACTTCTCCCCACCATAGAGCCGATGCACCAGTCCTACCTTAAATATCTAAGATATGAGAAGGGAAGAAAAAGCGCGACTGAATTAAGAGCCAAATCTTCCCTAAACGAAAAAGAACAAGAAATCTGAAATGAATCCCATGATGTGAACAGACCCTACCCTAAAACAATAGAACAGATACAGAACATATATAAAGAAACACACTACGCTTGATATCAACAGGAGAGGAAGGGACTGGGGAAAAATCATTGTGGAAGTAGCATACGAAATAAGCTAACACTTTGTGGAGAAGCCCAAATTACAGAACTTCTTCTTCTCTGTTACTTCCAATGGCATTAAGAAGCACACGAGGACTTAAATACCAAACTGAAGCATGATAATTGACACTCAAATGAGAATAATACAAATTAGCTGTAATAAGACCCCCTAGCGAAATCAAATTCTACAACATCCTTCCTGAAATTATCTCTGATAAAATTTCATTTGTTCATAATAATAATTTTGAGAATAATATAAGTACGGGGTGTGCTAGAGTAACTTTTATATTCATCAACTCAAGTAAATAACTAGTGGGTTAATACTATAGTATGTGGTTTACAATAAGATCAAATCTAATTAGAATTAGTTGAAAGATCAATCTTTTCCCAAATTTTACTGTGTCTCTTTGCCAAGAAAAGTTTGGATTTGTAAATCTATTAAAAGAAGTTTTTAGATATTTTGAAGTGACCAATTCAGTGACTTAGCAATATCATCTTGGCAATCTTAGAAATTGTGTTAACGGCAGTCTATCCCCTAATGTGCTCACCTTTTTTTCACGGGAGATAAATTCATTTTTCATTTGAATCAAATGGATTTGTTCCCGTTGTAGTGTAGCCTGCGCCGCATTGGGCTTAGCTGTAGTGAAGCTGTGGCTAGAAAAATTTTATTCCCTGTTCTTTTTCTGCTACAGACAAGTCAACAGGGAAAAAAAATGCTTCCATTATCATCATTTAATTCCAGCAATTGAATCTTCTTACCACTTTCGAAAGCCTTTTTGCTCGCGATTTAAAATGTCGTCCACTGTCACAGCTAGGCCAGCCAAAGCGAGCAATGTAATCCGTTAAGGCAGGATAAGCTATTGTTCATATTACCCAATCATTGAGTGGACAGACTGCCTTTAAGTAAAACATCGTTATTTTTTAAAAAAAATTTACAGGGTTACAATATAAGTATCCAAATTCCAAATTTACCCTTAAAAAATCACCATTTTTCATATTGAGATAAATCAATGTGCAGCTTCTTTGAAGCTTTCAAGGAATACAAGCTTAGAAAGATTTGGACTGAGGATTTGCTAACTCTCAAGTACGCAATCTACACGCAATTTGTTCGCTCGTTTATCAATAATATTGTACTCCAAAGCAGTAAGCACATGCATACATTAAGATGATAAAAATTAAGATAAAAAAGAAATGGTAAAATACTATGATAAAAGATATAGTAAAATATTTGAAGTAAGTCAAAAAACGCCTGAGAAATATCTGGAAATATGATTTACTTTATTGGAACGGTAATTAACTTACGCTACTTCAAGTTAAACACGATTATCTATACGCAAGAAGTAGATTAAAAGAGACAAGCAAAAAACAAGAAATAAACAATTTCAATTTTTATGAATTTGATAAAACAGCGCTAATGACCTTTGCAATGATTTTTACAACCTTTGAATTCAAACCATTAAAACTAAATGTAAACAATTTGGATATGGACAGCTTCGTTATACAAAAAATATATACGGGATAAAAACGAGATTATGTTCATTTCTCAATGAGAGGCTTTGCAAATAAGGCAATATTTCATTCTCTAACCTCTATTTAATATTAAATTGACTGAATAAAGTTCAGCTTTTTATTGAACTTAATGATAAAAGCTCAGCCACCCTTATTAACACCTTGATGAATTCAAGGAGCATGAAGTGGAGGTAGCGTCCTGCATGTTCAGTTTAAGACATGATCTCGCAGCAAGAAAGAAACCAGCTGTACATGTAATGACGTGTTTAGTGATGAAGTGTATAAGTAATTATCATCTCAATGTCTGATATGGGTGATTTAAAGAATATTCGCTTGCATATCATACCCACTTCCGTTTTTTTAATATAAACATTATGAGGGAAAGCATCTAATCATTAAAACTCCTTAGAAGTTATATGAATGCGATGGAAGATAAGAACATCTCTAACCTTGCGAAATGTTTTCATCAGTAGAAGAATTAATATGATATCAGACATTACAAAATAATAGAACTAAACTTAAGTGGATACACCTAAAATGTACAATTTCTTATCTTCCTGGTGCAGCAAAAGATAAATCAAAAGCCGCGAGCAATATTGAAGCAATTGGATTCCTAATTATTCGTCTCTATCTACATAAATCTTAATACAACAATAGCATTAAAACCACAGTCTATAATTTACATAATATACACGAGCCCATAAGTATATAAACATTATGCTGCAGAAACTTATGCATCATAAATATAACATCGAAAAGCAATTTCCAAAAAGGGGTATTAAAAGAACTTGAATTTCCCTATCAGATTAAGAAATAATCTTCAATATGTCTCTAGGTAAAAGCGTAATAATGATCTATATTTTAATTATTACCAAATTAGGCCTGAGTGCATTCGTGTTTTGGCAAATCTCACTTGGTGTAATGAATGCCCCATACACTCTTCTTTAACAACTGCTGTTTCAAATGTCAGTATCTCCTCCATACATTAGGTTTTGACCTCCTCCTACAGAAAAATCGAAGCTTTTTGATATACTATCCAATCCATGTCGCTTACTTTTCGTTTTTCTCTCGATGAAATGCGAAAAACTCTTTGTGACTGGAAGGCGGTCTTCGGTTCTATCTGGTGACGTCATTGCCGCCATTAGCAACGGACTTGGTGGCCGAAGGTCGACCGCAGATAGCGTGTAGCCTCTTTTCATGTCTAGGCTTCGCTTGCGTTTTACAACCAGGGTCACTGTGTTGGTGAAGTTCTTAAGCATGCCAAGAGCTTCTCCCTGCGTTAGTCCTTTCAGTTCATTGCCATTTACCGACATTATTTTGTCGTCTTGTTGCAAACGACCGTCATCCCCTGCAATGCTCCCAGGCACTAGCTTACGCACCTAAAACGTAATAAACTATCGCATTAACCGTGACACGGCACCTACTATCTTGCTCTAAACGTAAATATTAGCAATAATATTAGCATAATAATATTATTAGCATAGCGTAATATTATAAGCAAATACATACAAATATCATCCACGGTGCACTATCACCGCTGATCCAAAGAAAGGCAAAGTAGATTGTATAGGACGCATTGCAAACTGTTTAGTCATTGGACGAGGAAAGTTCCACATAAATTTGAGCCAGCAAAAAAAAGCTTGAGGGAAGAGCACAGCCCAGATTATTTTACGCTAATTTTATTTATATTAAAGTAAACATGATAATCACTAGCGTTAATAGCAGAAAAATTTGCTTTAAAAAAATACAAAATCTAACATAATTTGCTTCTGCAAGGAAGTTGAGGCACTTCATATAGGTCGTTACTCATCTTAATATATAGTGGCTCTCCATGAATATCTTGTTGCAGAAAGGTTGTAAGCTTAAAAACAGTTGAATGACACGGTCAAAAGAACGGTCATTTTACGAGGCAGAGAGAAGGATCCCAATTATATGGAAAATAGCATATAAAAATATCTTCTCACGAGACCATCAGTATCTCAAAGAAACGAAGACAAAAAGAACTCTTACAGTCATTCCTTCGGCAATTTTCGTCCGGGACCCACCAGTTACTCCGATTCCCAAACCTTTTCCGCTGGTTTTTTCAAGAACAATCTCAATATTGTCCCATTTTTCAATGCTAGGCCTTTTGTTAAGTGCAGCCCTCGAAGCCGTGATTCGCTGATCAGGGGCCTCGTCGTCCAACTGCTTTTGAAACGTTGAAAACGGGCCAAAACTATTCCTTTGCTTTACAGCTTCACTTTGCTTGCTACTCAAAGTCATATTTCTGCCGTCTTCCACGTCCGTATTCACTTCAAGACTATGTGTTGGTTTTAGGAGAATGACTTCTTTCTGCTCCTCTTTCAATGGCTTTGCAATGACATTCGGCTTTGAGAGGGTGGGCTTCATTGCTTTTTCTAAAACCGCTTTATTCCCATCCTTGGATCTCAAAAGAACAAGCTCAACCAGAGGGGGTGTATTCTTCAAAGACTGCAAGGCATCTGCGTGCGTTGCGTCTATAGATAATGAAAATGCATTGATTTTCAAAAATGTTTCGTAAAATCACAAAGCATTCAATGGAGTATATGATTAAAGGTGTTAGATGGGAGGGAGATCTTGTGGGTAAGGTTGCAAACTCATTGAAACCTTTTAGAATTGTTTATCATTTAACTTTCCTATATTCAAATTAACAAACTAGGTACAAGCAACTATGGTAAAGGACAGCTACACAATATCAAATCAATGGTCTGGTTTTTATTCGAAAACAAACAAAACTGGTGCTAATCTAAAGCAAAAACTTACTGCCTTAAGCGCAAACTACCAAATATTAAGCAAAGTTATGAAATGTAGAAAAGATAAATACTTTTCTGGACACTGATTTTGCTGTGCAAAGAAGACGAACATCGCCACCTAACTTTGATGTTTTTTTGACGTACATTAAACATGGCTGAAAACCCAAAAAGGCTGATTGTCCAAAAATGGCTGATGGTCCAAGACGGCTGCTGGCCTAAAAAGGCTCATGGCCTAAGATGGCTCCGACCAGATCAGGTTATGGTTAGCTGCTAGAACTAACATGTTTATTATTCATACGAGGAAATAGCAATGCAAACCGCGTCAACTTGTTAAACAATCGTGTTACAAGAGTTTCTGTGCTTACGATTGTGCCTGCGATGGCCTGAAAACAAGGACTCAATGATAGGCGCTTAATATAATTTAGGTTTACCTGTCAAATCTTGTTCGTTGACTTGCAGCAATTGATCCCCAGGTCGAATTTGATTCGATTTTCCAGCGGCTGAGTCCATTTGCAGACTTGATACAAGCAGTATACCAACTGGCGTATCACTTCCACCCACAATCGTTATTCCAAGCGGGCAGCCTGATTCACGAACAAGCTACAAATAGCAGAAAAAATGAGTTTAAAAGAAATCTTGTGATTAAAAACGAGTCATGTTGGCTGTACAGCAACTGCAAAAGTATTTGAGCTCTAGAGTCAGTTTTCAAAGGCGGATACAATATTGCTCTGGGGGTAGATGGGAACGGAAAAATACTGAGGAAAGAAGCAAAAATATGAAAACACCATACAAGCTGCTGGGTCCCGTTGCATCGGGAGGCATTTCAAATTCAGAAAGAACACTTTTATCGTTTGAAACTATTCCTATCAAAAAGCCCACTAGTCACTAGGCCTTTTCAAATGAGATGGTAAGAAAAATTCTGTAAAGATTGGTCAATAAGAGGATCCTTTTAGTTTTAAGGCTTCCATAGGTCTAATCTAAAACAAACTACTGTTTAAGGTGTCAAGCCAGCTCCATGATGTCATATCACAAAGAGTAGATATGTGGGCAAATATATACGTAAAGGAATCATATGATAAAAGAGAATGATTGAAAAATATAAAAGCAACGTAACAATATGAACGAGTTTGGTGGATCTTCTCCATAGATTCTAAAAAAGCCCCTATCATAAACTTGTTGCTATTTTTGTGCAAAAAGGAAGCATTTCTTGGCTCCATACCACATAGACCGAACTGAAACATGTTAGGGTTAGCATGTCGAGGGATGTTAGGGTTAGCTCTAGTTTGTCATGTCTTAACACATCTTGAAAAAAGCTTCAATGTAGAAGCAACTTTTTACCTGTATCTTGAACTTTCCTTCACTCAAAGCTGAGACATCAGCGCTAGTCTTTCTTTCAATTTTCTTGATATCCCTGGATCCTTTTGGCAAATCTTGTATGTCTTCAGAGTCTTTCTCTCCATTGATTCTACCACCTTGCAACCTGCTTTTCGTTGTTTTATCAACTTTAGCATAAAGCTCCTCAACTTCGGGATTACTTGGTAAGAGCACATCATCTTCATCAGGCACTGGAGGTAGCATTCGAAACTCCTCCTCCTCATCGTCCTCATTCATATCCCAGGTTGCAGCGAAATTGTCCAGTTTGTCCATTAAATCGATGTCAAAGTCCGGTGCAGGTTCGGACTCAATATTTGCTTGGTTAGCAATAGAATCACGGCGATACTCTGCAAGGTTTATGTACTCATTCTTCGGTGTTGTCTGGACATCTTCGTGTCTTCTAGGAGGTTTTGGCACTGGATTTTTTATACTACCATCAATACAGTCTTCAAGCGGACTTAGCTTTCTAGGTTGAGGTAGATTTTCATAGTGTGACCCGTTTGCCATTAGAGATTGATCTTGCATGGTCTTCAGTCGAATATCAGACAAATCAACACCTTGAAGATAGATAAATAATCATAAACAAAGAAGGAAATTGGACATCTATTTGCGAGAAAACGAATCAAACTATAATAAGTTCTGAACGTAGAAAAGTCTATCATTATGCTCTGTCATACCAACGTTCTGTCATACCAATTTTCTGTCATACCAACGTTCTGTCATACCAATTTTCTGTCATACAAATTTTCTGTCATACCAATGTTCTGTCATACCAATGTCATGTCAAGTCAATGTTAATGTCATACCAATGTTCTGTCATACCAATTTCCTGTCATACCAACGTTCTGTCATACAATGTTCTGTCATACCAATGTTCTGTCATACCAATGTTCTGTCATACCAATGTCATGTCAAGTCAATGTTAATGTCATGTCATTTCATATCAATGTCATAGTATGGGGGTATAACGAATGACTTGCCCAGCAAATTGATAGTAAAAAAAAAGACAAAGTGAGATGTTGATCTATGTACCTTCCACACCAGATCCTTCTAGGCCGTATTGTTTTTTCCTTATACCAATACTAGAGGCAGCTGAAAGTCCAGTGGTCAGCTCCACTGACTCGTAAATCGCTGGCTCCTCTTCAGCTGCCACGTCATTATCCACATTTCCAAGATTATCCTCTTTTTCAATGTGAGCATTCCTGAGTTTTTGCTGATTTTTCACTTCGTGCGGAGGAACAATGTCCTGTCCTTGCACGTGCTTTTTACCATGAAACAGTGCCGAGAACCGCGATTCTTTATTTTTCGCTTTCTTTTCCGCTTTTGTATCTTTTTTAGTGAAAATATTAAAAAGAGGAGATTTCAATTTTACGTTGTTGCGATTGTCGGGAGCCTTTTGTTCATTTTTCACTTTTTTTGAAATATTTTCTAAACTTGAGGTTTTCCGCAATTTCTTCTGCTTCCCACTTGGTTTTTGTGGTGTTTTGGAAGGAGTAGAATCACGTGACTCGGCGCTCTTCAGCTCAGAAAATTCGGAGCCCCAGCTACCGTCATCTGAATCATCATTGCCAACATGTGCCTCTTTGCTTTGATAATTTCCCATAAATACTGGTGTTGTTTTTGCTCTGATCCTGAAATCATCAGATATTTCATTCAACGGCACACTAAATGGCTGCAGTTTTGGGTCGGCCAAGTCACTTCTTGTTTGGGATGCTACTCTGACTGATTCCAAATCTGAAAAATCAGAACCCCAACCCTCACTCATGACAACACTTGGAGGTCTTGTCGTTCTAGCGTTTTCGTTTGATGGGGAAGAGTTAACGTATCCTTCAATGTGGTGATCTACTTCCTTCTCCTCAATTACCGCACTAAACCGCTTGTCCCTCTCGTGATTGCCACGCGGGCTTTGTCTTTCTTCTAACGCTTTCTTACTGCTAAGGTCTGATGACGTATCACCACTTGAATCCTCACCTGGAAGAGGCGGTGGCGGAAAATCGAACTTCATTAAAGACATTTTCGACGATTTTTTACGACGCGCCACAGATTCTTTAGAAGCTCCTCCCATGTTGTCCTCGAATCCTGAGAATGTGCTTGAACTACTGACAGACCCACCCTTTTCTGGCACAACATATGACGCCTGTCTGTTACTAGCAGATGGACTTTCAGGTGGCGTTGCTCGCCCCAGTCTTCCCATGCTCCTTAAGCGATTTAATAAGGGCGATGAGGGCTTCTTTTTCAATGATGGCTTCTTTGATACATCAGGTGTCTTAGGCCCGTCTGTGCTTTCTTTCCGACTTCTTACTGAAGAATTTGAATCAGACCTATGAAGCTTTTGAGACAAATCACCAAGAGAACTAGAGAGCCTTGATTTAAACGACCTCTTACGTGGCGTTTGCTCTTTTGCATCTTCAGAAATGCTCTCTTCAGGTGGCGGTGGCGCCGGGCTCTGGGGTGGTGACGTCTTGGACATTCGCCGACCAGCTGCAGCTGACGATCGCCTCCTGTTATTTTTGGATTGTGAGCCATCAGCTCCCTTGCTTTGACTTCTACTGTTTGGCTCTGTCATCCTATCGATACCTGATTCTAAAGATAGGCCACGTGCATTGGACAATGCTTGCTCAGCTCCCTGTGCCTGCCAGTCAGATGGGGGTGAAACTAAAGACCAACGACTACTTTTGGGATCAGGAAACAAACTGTCTACATTAGAGTTATCTTCCTCATTCAACATTCGCATTGAGTTTTCATCCAATGAAATAGTCCTTTTCAAACTCCCTTCTTTAGCGTCTGAAAAAACATCTTTAATACTAGGCGTACTACTGGCAGATTTAAGACTAATCTGTTGATTGCTCGTTGACTTGACTTTGTCATGTGTAAAGTGAACGATCTCCCTTCCTTTTGAATCTTTCTTAGTCGGGCTTTCCGGTTTGTTTTTGCTTGGAGTGATTAACTTCTGTTTCAGTTTCGACAAAAATCCTTTCTTTTTTCCAACAGATTTGCCTGCTTCAAAGTGTTCCCCCATAATGATAGGCATGTGTGTTTGCGAGTCTTTACTCAAATCTGTGTACGATCCATATGGCAGAGATTTGGAGCTGCTAAGAGACATTGGCGATAACTCGTCACGTTCACCAGGAGATGAACCTGATGCTTCAGGAGTTGTGCTCCATATAGGCGGCGAGAGAAGCTGCGAATTGACAGAACCTGTGTTTCTTCCCTTTGGCGTCTCATTACCATCTGTGTGAGGGAGAAGAGTAGAATCTAGAAAGTTCAAGGCCGATGAAACACTTCCTGTTGAGTAATTACTTCTCATGGATTCTGACCTAGAAGTCATTGATCTCTGACTCTGTCCAGTTTGCGATAATTCACTGGCAGGACGACTCAGTGAAGGTGCAGGAGGAGGGTCTGGGATCGAATACAGTGAGCTTCTATCGTCATCATCATCATCATCATAACCATAGCCATCAACAGCCATTAAATACTGGTTCGATGTCGCAAAATTTTCACTTTCTAAAACATGAGCAGTCTCTTGTATTGCTGACAACTCTGGGTCATCAAATCGAGCTAATGGTGGTGGTGGCACTATACTTGCCTCACTTTCTGAGGAGCCGATTCCAAACTGGCTATTTTGGCCTCGTATAGTACTTTCTGAATCGAGACTCGAAGCTACGTCTGAATTCGAAGATCGGACACCGTACTGCTCAGGCTTGGATGATAAAACATGATGAGCACGATAGGAGTTCTCATTTGATGATTTTGTTAGCGGCTTAGGAGGTGGTGGTGGCAATGCTGTGAAGATACTGTCTGTGTCTGAATCTTCGTTTACATTCTCCCCAAAAACTGATGGCGGCCTTATCATATCAAATGATTCTTCCACAGCTTGAAGTCCACTGTTTGATGGGAACAGATGAGTGGGTAAAATAGGTGGCGGAGGAGCACCCGGCAAGCTTTCCATATCACTGAAATCATCACGAAAACCTTTATGACTCGAGAGGTTTTTTTTGAGAATTCTTTGAGGGGCAGCAAGGCTTTGTGGGTTGAAAACCGGAGGTGGGGGTGGTGCAAGGGCCTGGAAGTCACTTTCATCGGAAAAGATACTTTCATCACCTTTTGGTGGTAATGATGACGTCACCTGAGGCTGTTGGTTACCAGCCATTGACATGCTTGCACGTCTTAAGACTTCTTCGCTGAGATTTGAAGATTTTGCAATCAGCTGAACATTGCCTCTTGGCACTGAACTTATCATTTCCTGGACTTTTGATATTGGCTTGCCATTCACCTCTTCTCCATTTATTGACAACAAGATGTCACCAGTTCTGAACAAGACAGAGAATCAATAAGACAAATGTGAGAGAAATGATAGGAATGATCCAATTTGGTGAAAGGAACTTTCGCATAAGAGCCACGAGAATAAAGAATATAAACAAAGCGGGTCTTAAAAAATTACATTCGCCGGGTGTCATCCAGAAAACTCATGACTTATGAAAGCAAACAAAAATAAAAACATAATTCTCAAATCCATAACAACACTGAACCAAAACATTTTTTGTTGAATAATCAAATTCATTTTTTTCGTTCCAACATATAGCATCATTTCATTCTTAGACAAGTTTATCTTTCACCCTTACCTGATGTTGCCATCTTTTCCTACCAAACCTGAAGGTGATACTTCTGTTATCATTACTTCCTCTTCTTCATCCAGCATTACTTTTATTCCCAAACCCTTAAACATTCGCTGGTACTCGATGACGAATGCCTGTATTTCAGATCGTTGTCCGTATGTCAACAAAGACGCATTCAACGATGAGCCAGGTCTTGATACTTCGTCTAAGTCACTTTCATCTTCATCGTTATTATCAGATGATCCCTGCCCTTCTAACGAACGCAAATCATTGTCATTATAGTCGATAAATGATTTAGATTGATTCTCCGTTGAGTCCACAAATTTATTCCTTGCTCCCGTTAAAATTACTTTCTGCTCTTCAATTTCTAAAGAGGTTGACTTTCTCAGTTTCTGAGCCGCAGTTTCTCCATTCTCCTTCACAGCTCCCAGTAACGAATTTCTTTTCTGCGCAAGATCAAGTTTCCTTACTCTAGGGGAGAGTTGCTGCCTGTCCTCTAAATGGGGAATCGCAGAGGTAGATGGTGAGTCGCTCGAAATCGAGTCAATTGTACTATGGCGGATCAAAGGAGAGTGATTATTATGATGGAGATGAAGCTTCGTTTCGCCTCTGATGAAGCCGGGAATAAGCGCATCACGCGATTCACGTTTCATCATTCGAGGTGGCCTGGGCACATGATTCGACTGTGCGGTCATAGTATCACTTTCAGATTTCTTTGCTTCCAATTCTCTTTGAATACGGATGTCTTCTTCTTTGTCTCTGAATATAACGATTTTTACCGATGTACCCGAATGCTTCAGCACTTGAAGCGCAGCTGGGTGGCTCAGGTCTTTCATTACATTTCCGTTCACCGAGTAGATGTAATCCCCTACCTGGATGCGCCCGTCAGCCTCAGAGACACTGCCAGGCATAATGCGGCGAACCTGAAATTTCACAATTCAAACAACGGTGAAATTCGTGCGAAAAAATACCAGGCAGACCAGCTTAGCTATTACAGTGGAAATATAGGAGGGATACATGCAAAGGAACCTATTTGATACCTTAATGCCAGTGGCGTTTATAGTATACAAGATGCAAAGAGCATAGTGCTGTTATTGGCATACAAAGAGTTAGATCTGAGGTATAACATGAAATATTCATCGTAAGACTTGAGACATCACTCAATACACAAGTAAGGACAGCTACACCAATAGCATACTGATTACCTATGATCTACTTTATGTGCTTTCAATCCTAGGTTCGCAACAACATTATTTTCAATAAATGTCAATAAATAGCAAATGTCATAACCAAAGAAACACATCAACAAACTTTATCGCAGTCATCCGTCATGTCCTGGCTGACATACACAAGTGAAACAAGCTCAAAACCAATGCTAAAAAACTGGTGGACAATAACACACCTGAAAATACCCAGCACAACTGTCATGGCTGGGAACAAGACTGATTCCCAGGGCGGATTTCTCTTTCTTCTCCAGCTCAATCAAATGGGCATTGAAGCCATCAGGGATATCTCCTTGCAGAGGCATCAGATTGCTACGCATCGGCCCTGTTTCCTCGAAAGGTGCCGTTGTAGTTGATGGCGACCTTCGTATGCTGTTGCTCTTGGTAACCTTATTTGGCGCGAGACTATCGCTAGCAGTCAACGAGGTTTGCAGGGGATCCTGCAATCCTTCAGATTTTGACATGTTTTCCACAGTTTTGATAAGCAGTTTCATTTCATCAGGATAAGAATCGGTTGACTCTTTAAAGGATTCACTTAACTGGCCTAGCCGCTTTTTCTTCAAACGAGCTTTGGACGCGTCTTCCTCGACACCAAGGCCTGGAATGACACTGCGACGCCTGATGTATGGCATTGAAGGCGCATTTGGAGTATCGTTTATGATATTGGGTACTTCATATGATGCAGCAGTGGCCGGCGCACTTGATTTATCGATGGTCACTTGAATGTCAGGTGATTCTTTCTTCTGTTGCAGCGGAGACGGCACTATTGACACAGGCTGAATCGAAATGTGATGTGATGTTTCAGTACTGCAAGCTCGTCTTACCACGATTTCGCATTTGGAAGGCATCTCCTTGAACAGCCTTACTACTTGTTCTTGTGATAAACCACTTAGCTCTTTTCCATTGACTTCCAACACCTCGTCTCCTTCTTGAATACCACTGCTGCCACCCGTCGCTAACTCAGCAGCACCCCCTGGTAAAATTGTTTTAACATAAACTTTACCAGTGACGTCAGTGTCTGTTCGTTTTTCAACACTGACACCCATTCCAAGAGACCCTGTGGCAAAAAAGATCGGAATTTAGACAAACAAACTAACAGTTTTGCAATAAAGATACATTTGATGACAATGCTGTTAAGGATGAACAACAAACCATGCCATTATAATAACAATCAATGTATTGAAAACATTGGCTAATGGATAGAACTTTTTAGGTCGACGATCATGCTCATCTTTATTCGTATACTTAGCTCACTTTGCTATTTCTCATAAATTCTGTTATATTAAGGTATATCATAGTAAAACATCGCTGCATTTGGGTATTTATGAAGAGAAGCTCAATACGAGAGGCAATACGAACACTTAACAACCAAGAATCTCATAGTCGGCTCTATCATCACAAATGACTTCAGAAACTTTTGGCAAAACAGTGATCTAATGTCTACAAACCAGTAAATGACTTTTGCTTGTCAATCATCAAGAATTCAACGATTTTCCCCGGATTGTGGTACTTGTCAATTGACTTTGACATAGCCGACGTTTCATTGAACTTTTGCACGGTGTCCCCAATCGTACTCTCATCGTCGGACAACAGAGGTGGCGGGGGTATGGACGTCCAGCCATCGACATTCGAAGCTGATATCGGCGGCTCATTAGCCGCAGTCGTCGACTTATAGGCCTCATCAAGAATGGCTGGGTTATTAGTCGATGCGACGCGGACACGTACAGCTGATGGAAGCTTTGACTGGCTGATGAACGACGCGAATGACATGCTGTCCTGTTGAGTCAAATAGTAAAATATAAGATAGCGTAATAAAGGATATTCCAACCTGAAGCTAAACGGTAACTGAATATCATATGGAGCAGGGTCTTTACATCTAGAAATATTTCCATCTGTTCTCCGGACGATCCTTTAAAAGGCTTCTCCTGCAAAAATTTACAACCCTCTTTCATCGGCAATTTGCAAAAGAATGAAACCTGCTGATTATGAATTTGTTATTAATCTTCGAATTTTTTGCGGCTCAACAGGTCAAATCTGCAGTCACACCCTTCAAAAGATTTTGGAAATTACTAAGCTGATGAACATCCGAGGAAATCTGAATAGGGTGGTGCAAGGGATCGCCCAGCCCTGTTAATTGGAAGTCAATATAAAATACAGCATCCAAAACAAGAAATAAAACTGTTTCCGAAATTAAAAAGGTAATAATGATCATTTTTTACGGAATAACGGCTCAAAGAGAAAATTCATAGTTTAACTACCCACATCATTTGCGTTGTCAGAGCCATCCGAAGTACAAACTGATATTGAAGATTTCAAGCTGCCTTTCCTTTCTATTCCTGCAACCAATCAAAGATATAAAATGTGCTAAAAAAGGTCTTTTCGGACACTAAATTTATGAACAAAAAGTAAAGGTATAAACAAAAAACCTTAACTAATTCCCAATTTAGTAAGTTTAGTGTCTCGAATATTTTTCGAGTAGTTTAAATAAAGTAAACCCAGAAAAAGAGACATGTCTATAGTTTTCTAAGCACACAAGATCAACAACCCAGGCATACAATAAGGTTATAAAAGAAGAGAGTCATGGTAAAAAGTCCCGGAATTCCTACTGTATTGTCCTAAACACAACGTGTATTGATATACACTACAGTAAGATTTCATTTAAAGCTGATCAGAAATCAAGTGTTTGAGGAAAAATTAATCGAGCAATGCAATAAATTTCACTACCCACAAAACAGATATGCGTTTGCAATTATTCTGCATGAAGCAGCAAATATATCGAGTTAAAGAGCGCAGGTCACAAAAAAGTTCAATTGGAAGAGAAATACATAATCAATATCTTATCGACAATGACGTAATATAACATTCGATAACAAAGATATAATTGTAATACTGTGGCGAGCCATTAATATTTTCTGCATACCTGATAAATGTCTGGCAGGTGTCATCAAGTCTGATAGATTTTCAGATTTGGGAGTGGATGGGTTGCGTAGATCTAGAAATTTGCCCCATTTCGCCAAAGCGCCTACCCCAGCATCTGATTGCGCCTTAACAGACCTTTCACTTGAAGGTTTCCTGGAAACTGAGGTAGAGCGCTTCCGCCTCTTAACTTTCAATACAACAGTTCCGGGTTGTAGATTACCAAGAATATTATACGCCTCATCCAATGTTGCTTGATACAAGCCTTGTGAGTTGACTTCCAGTATATGATCCCCTTTCCTGAAATATCAAACGAAATCAATATTATGTCTGTTATTCTGTAATGCCGCAAGCCACCAAAAGTTTCTTTACATCTTTCTTAGTTTCAAAATAGGTAATTGCCCGTGAAATATATAGACAATGTACTGAAATATATAGCCAATGCTTTAATAGGCTGTAAGGATACCACACACATGAAATCTATGTTGCCTATTTAAACAGTATTCAAGAGGCTCAATGGAGTATTATTCAAGGCTTGCTTAAAACTACTCTTATAATTATTAAACTTGACAACTGCCAGTAGATTCAAGTAAATGCTTAGAGTCCACGGAAATTGCAACAAACGACTAATTTCTTTCTTACCTGATTCTCCCATCTTTTTGAGCAACTGATCCTTCTGCAACATGATGTATGAAGATGCCGTAGGAATCAGCACCCCTTTTGCCTGAGCATCCAACTCCTATACCTAAACCAGTGTTAGCGGCTGAAAATAGAAGTAGAAATGTTCTCAAAAATGATACTATTGTCAGAAATAAACGTTTTTTCAGGGCCTTTTAAACGTACTAATTAGGGAGGCAGTTGCCCTACCAGTCCTAGTGAACTTCTATTGTTTAAAACCATAGGCTATTGTCCTCCTCTTTAAAGAAACAAAATCTTGCATCCGTAGTTAATTTCCCTTCCACCAGTTACGAAAGTTTTCAGGCCTTCTTTCATCTATTGGAAGGTGATTTCTTAAAAATGCCCAGCCGTGTCAAATTTTAAAACTAGAGCCAATGCAAAGATAACAACAGAGAAGAAATTATGAAAATGGCCATATCAAGTGTAAGCACCCGTGTCTGAGGGCCTAGAAAGCTGTCCCTTATCACTGGTATTTCATTCCAATTTGATTCCCCTATTTCTTTGAAACCATAAAATAGTTGAAATAAGGCCAAACAAAGGACAATTAGAAACTATATTAAGAATTTCTTATCATACACCCTTTTTTCTATTTTCTATGTCCCAAATTTAAGACAAAATCGAACCCCTTTTCAAAGATATTGAAGGCACGGGTGCTGACACTTGACAATGGAAATGGACCCGTTGGGAAAAATAGTTTTAAACATAAGAGGGTGAAGATTCCTTAAAGGTGAGATACAGTATATTTACTGAAGCACAGTACAATTACACAATATTTCATACACAACCTACCCGATACTAGAGGCTATTGGTAAAAGCAAGAGGTGAATAATTCTTTCCAAACAGCATACGATTTTTTTTTAAAAAAATAGAAACTTTTGGGATTTTAGAGGATTTTACCCGAAAACAAAACTTTTGACGGTGATATCAACTAATTTATAGGCCTTAGCAAGAATTTATTCTTTGCTCAACCATTTTATGCTAGAGAAATTGCGTTTTCCACTTATGTAAAGCAGCACAAACGAACTGTTTTCATGAACCAGGATTATTTGCCCGTTATAGCTTAATAGTTTGACTGTTGTTAACAAGAAGCCATACAAATATCGTGATCCAGATTCAAAAATTCTAAAAAATCGACTTTTGCTGGCAATTGCCTACCACACTACCTTTTGTCTCTAGATGAAACTGTCTTGTCACAAAAAAGTAGAATATGAAACTGACCTGAAACTAATACTTTGTACTTAACGGAATTAAAAACGGAATTAAACACACCTTTAGTGAGCTCAACATTAAGTATATCGTAGTCTTGATTGGCAAATGAATTGGATGATAAATGAGGTGAGCTCATCCTGTGACGGGGGTTGCTTGTACTTGAGGCGGATGACATTCTTCGCTTTATCTTCCTGACTAGCAGCTGGATTATGCCATGTGCACACTGGAAAAAAGGAATGTACCATTTACTTACTTTCTAGAGATGCATTTAATACTTGTTGGTATCGCCACATAATAGGAAATAGGCAGAAGGGTAATTCTCGCCGTTCCTTTATTGTTTGTGAAGTCTGAGTCACCTTATTCCCCCTTTAACCGCGATCTCATTAGACGAACTTAAGCAGGACAAATAACATTCGCGGGGCACTTCATCTCAGCAAAGTTGTCCTTCTTTTTTCAAAAAATTCCGTGACAGATATATGCAAAGCCTCGTATAAGTTAACGCATGCGTTAGAAATTTCAGGCTTCACCTGATGGGTGGGTCCCCCCTTTGCCTAATTCCTATTCTGTGGTATCGCTAAAAATATTGAAGTATTGTCGCTAAGATTAGACAGATCGTTTGTGATTGAACTTGACCAAAGGTCAAAGTAGAGTTATCATATCTGCAACACCTCGCTACAAGAATCTGAAGTTGCTGAAACTCCACAAGGTGGTTGAGACAAAAAATGTCGATACCCCCTGAATTTTCCGCCTCGTGAAGTTTTATGTTTTTAAAGGCATAGAAGGTAAAAACTAAAAAACCAATATGTGAATCAAAGTATAAAATCCAAAATAGAAAAATGAGAAAAAAGGAGATATTGTTTTTATAGGTATAGAAGGTAAAAACTAAAAAACCAATATGTGAATCAAAGTATAAAATCCAAAATAGAAAAATGAGAAAAAAGGAGATATTGTTTTTATAGGTATAGAAGGTAAAAACTAAAAAACCAATATGTGAATCAAAGTATAAAATCCAAAATAGAAAAATGAGAAAAAAGGAGATATTGTTTTTATAGGTATAGAAGGTAAAAACTAAAAAACCAATATGTGAATCAAAGTATAAAATCCAAAATAGAAAAATGAGAAAAAAGGAGATATTGTTTTTATAGGTATAGAAGGTAAAAACTAAAAAACCAATATGTGAATAAAAGTATAAAATCCAAAATAGAAGAATGAGAAAAAAGGAGATAAGGAGTAGTCACTACCACCTGGTCACAGCCTCAAACTCCGATGGGGGGTGGTTGTGTGTGCCCATATATGTTTTAAACAATTAGCTTGTAAGTGGGCAGAAAATGATAAAAAAGCAACTCATCAGCCAGAAACCCACGAGGGACATTTCGGGGCTTTAATTCGGCCACCCAGTGGTCCCCACCCTAAAGCTTCTGAGCATCTCAATTGATAATTAGCCCCAAAGATTCATTTCTGTAATACTCAGGGGAGGGGTATCTCAACAGGCTTGAGGTACAGAGACGTGGAATTAATTAGGGGTACCTTTTCTGAAAACTGCAGAATTATAGAACCAAATTTTGAACCAAAATAACACGTTCTTGTCCAACACTAAGCTCAGTTGCCCCCTCCCCCGAGCTGCAATACCTACAATTAGTACAGACCACTTCAGCTTCACCCAAGTTACAAATTTAATGCAAGGTATGAACTGTAGCTCAACGGTAAAACGATCTAAGGGTACTTTGGCAAAAAGATTCTTTCTGTCACATAAATCGAAAATAAACCAATCACAAAAAGACAGAACGATTGAAAAGGAGGAGTCAAGTAACTCTCACCTAAGAAGAAATACTACGAGTATAGTAGAAATACTACCCATTGACTCAAGTATCGTATAGTAGAAATACTACCCATTGACTCATAAATAATCAGTGGCGAATCTAGCCTTCAAAATCTGGGGGGGGAGGGGGCTAGCCGGGGGCCAGCTTTCAGTAAGAGGGGCCTTTTACATAAAAGGGTTTCAATGGGATGCAGAGAAGCTTGGTTTCGGTTAAACTTGCACACCTTCACCCCAAAGAAGCGGTATCTTGTGATAATACATAACAAATATAAAATCGAAAAGAAACGGTTGTCAGAATGAAATTTTCCTAGTAGCTTCAAGAAAGAATCAAAATTTCATTAATGTTGACCTAGATTACAAACCAAAATGCTTATCAGGGCCCCTGGCTTGTTAAACTAGTGCAATTAGCAAAGACGAAGAGAGCTCATGGGCTCCAACGCAAGATGGAAAGTGGGAGGGGTGGGGCGAGGGAAAATTCAACATCCACAACAAAGGCCTATTGTTTCGCGAAAAAGTGGGGGGGGGCATGGCCCTCCAAGCCCCTCTTCGTCCGAGGCCCTGGAGCTACCCAAACAATGGCAAAAAAAATTGAGCAGCTATGGAAGAAAACATCAAATTATTTATATAAAGTTACTTTCTACAAAACTGGGGGGACAAAACTGGGGGGCCAAAAAAGGGGCCAAGAAAAATTCTGGATAGGCCATGGCCCTCCTACCACCCCCATCCCCTGTAGAAACGCCACTGAAAGCAATAGGAGCCAATAAAGGGGTTTATAAAATAATGAGATGATGTTATTAAGGGTAAGGTTATACCAAAGAGTTTCCCTATGGTCGAAGATTTCTGTTTGACAAGGGGACAGAGAATACACAAAACAGCTCGGTAGAAAGTGGTACAAATCATTGATCAAATTTCCAAAGAATTAATTGAAGGGGGTCGGCACCCCTGGGGCTTTAAAGGGAGACAAGCGCCCTCTACCCCTTCCCTACTCCTATATGCTTCTGTTAGCTATTTTGAGCCAAGAATAATCGGTTTCTGGAGACACAAAACCGAAAACAATCACCAAACTAGAAATCTGGCTTCTTTCTCCTTTTGTGCAATGCTGCTGCTATCAAAATACCGTTAAAAATTTTGCTCATTTTCTAAATTATTATTATAGAATGAGACCTTGATGTATGCTCGAAATGTATGGCCTTTCTATGGGATTTCAGTGGGAGGAGGAAAGATGTTTAAGCTTTAAAGAAATTACGAAATAAAAGCTTACCTTGAATATCTTAATTGCCTCATTGTGCGTGCACCCCTTGAGCCTTTGTTGGTTGACCTCCAGAATCTCATCACCTTCATTGAAATGAAAAGACTTCCTATTAGCTAATGATCAGCCTCTTGCCGCAATCAGGCCCACATGAAGCAGGGGGTGGTGAGGTGAACAAAACTCAATTAATGATTCCCTAGCAAACGCCGACAGACGTTATCACAATTGTTCTGCTACATTATTGTGAGAAACAAGCACATGATCCCATTGGACTAATAAACATGGCCTATTGGCTCAGAATTTCTTGCAATCCAAACCACGTCCTAGACGGTTGCCGATTATTGTCCCAAACGACGAGGCCTCAAGTGGACATCAAACGAAGAAATAACTAGATATTATTAATATACTGTATTTCCATGTGTCCGCGATTAGTTTATCAAAACATCGACGAAATAAGTGATGCGCAATGAAACCAAACGAATCCAGAATTTTTACAATAAGAAATTCAATTGCTCAATGGCAAGAATTAATCTAACCAAGATCCCGTCGATAACCAACGATCGGCTCCCTACTGTAAAGTTTGGGCCACACAATTGAAACTGTATGCTTTTTGAGACGGCATGTTATGACCTGCTTTCGTCAGGTGAATTTGCTCGCAGCCGAACAAAGCTTGCTTAGAACAAACTTTCCAGCCTTTGTGTTTACAGAGCGAAAAGGGGTACAAATGACATCATAAAATAGCAAAGAATACAAAAGTAATCTATCAAACAAAGCAATTCAAACAAGTTCTTTCAACGCCTGATTCCTATGCGATTTCATTTGCATTGAGTGAGAGAGCTTTGTCTTTGCCGTGATGTTATTAATCATCAAAAACAGTTTCAGATAAAAGAAACCTGGTTAATAACCTTGTGCTCCAGGCGAAGTGGCTATCTTGGTTGGAATCCTACCAACTCACTCACCATCAGAGTTATCTGCGTTCTTGGTCGTTTCCAAGGCAACATATCACGGAAACAAAAGGGTAAAACTTTCACGACAAATTTGCATTTCTCCTTCCTTTTTGAAGAACTTGTTTTTCAGGGTTTTTGGGTGAATGATTAAAGCTTTGAAAGTATGTAGGAGTTAATAGTGACTGGAGAAATAGTGACTGGAGAACTATAGACTTCCTGATGGAGCCAAATTTTCAACGCTCCAATGTCATGTTCGACCACGATCAATAAAAAATAAACTTTCTTTTGACTATGGTTTAACCGGTCGGGGAAATACAACCATCTAATAACAGGGCTGAAGATAAAATTTTACGGGCACGATCTCTATTTATGAGTTAAAGCAACCAATTTGTTTCTTTTACAAATTTTGTCAATTTCTTCTTCTTAAAGCTCGATTGGAGATTTATGCCTGATGGAGTGCATCGACCCGAAATTTCTATGCTTGAAATTGCAAATTGTGTTCTTGAAAGCTCTGGCTATAATACAGTAGCTCTGTGCGTTGATACCTTATCTTCATTCAAGTAAAAATTAAATTCTATTTTAAAAGTAATGGATAAATAAGGCTCCAAGGGGCTTAAAACTGGCAAAAAATGAATTTTACTTGACTCGTCATTGCAATGCTGAATAGGGTGCTGCATAAAGCTGAAAACTTGTCGATACTATTTTCGAAAAAGGGTACGGGATACAGTTTTGAGCAATAAGAATTTTATGGATTTTTAAAAGACATTTCTCTAAAGTAAAATTATTTTTGTTAAAAGTGTGCGCGGTTTTCGTGGAGACTACAGTTGCTGTTTTGGAATGTTGCAGTTTTGGATTTAAGAAAGAAAATATTAAAATGATCGAATGGTTAAAACAAAAGTTCTATACATTTTCCGAAGCACCTTCTGAAGATAGGCATTTGGTTAAAAACATTACAAAATTCTATCTCTGTTTGCTTGGTATGATATTCAATAAAAACAAGGAAGCATCGTTGCTTGAAGGGCATCGAAACAAACTTTAAAACAGCAAAGAAAACAGCCAAAAAAAAATGACAGAAAACCAATTTCACATCAACAGAACATGCTAAAGCTGAGATGGGATTGAGTATCTGAGAGTACACATACAAAACCAAAACAAGATTCGGTTTATATTACATAGGAACACAGAATTAAGGACTGGTGCAGTCAGGACAAGCTGCTTTTTGTACAATACAAAATGAAAAGTTTGTCAAATGAAGGAATGTCAATATCCCTGTCTCCGTCAAAGTCCTCGTCTCTATGAGATAAAAACTTTTATGGCTTTCGAATATTAAGCGTGTAAACGATTCCTTTCTTCTTGTTTGGTGTGTTTTCTAATGAGCGCTGCCTTCAAGTTGCGGCGTTTATCAGAGGGCGGCGTTTTTTCCGAATGGTTGGCTGAAGGTGCAGCGTTCAAAAGAGGGCGGCGTTTATTAGAGAAAATACGGTATTTTGACTTGTCCACTTTGCTTGCCTGTTGAACATTCAATTTTGAGCCTTTTGGGGCCTTAACGGAAAGCCTTGCCCGGCATGATCGTTGAAAAATAAAAAGCCCCTTTGCTTTGAGCACGGGTCCCGGGGCTTTACTTTGGATAAATCCCCTATTGACGCTTAAACAAGTATCAGGCCTTATATACTGAATTCTATCACAGCAATACGTCAGTGAGCAATACGTCAAATCACGAATTGACCTCACAAGAATGGATGATAGCCTCCTTCACTAAATATGACACTTGATGGCAACTTTATGCGATTATATATACGAAACTAAGCAAAATAACAAATCTTAATTTAGAAAATAGAATTTTGAAAAAAAAAAATCAAGAAAATATATTGGTCTTTGCAATACAGAGTGCTACCATAGTTGGTATAGTTTTACAAAGCATAACTAATTTAAAACTGAAAGTAGCAACGTAGAAGAGGCATGTTCTACACACCATCGGTAGCCCTCTTTGACAATCGGGCACTTTACTGCAGTAAAGCTTCCCTAAAACCCATTCATGCGACCAAAAAAACATAACGTTGCAAGCTTTAGGCCTTCTAAGCATTTCTAATCAACCTCTAATCCTGAAGGCTTACACTGGCGGTAGCCAATGACGTAATGCAAAGTCTGCACTGATAAGAGTATTTTTTCCATTTACTTATGAACAAAGCATATCAGTATAAGAGAATATTTCAAAATAATTCTTTGAAACCAAAAAGCTTTGACAATGACTTTGATAGCGACTGACACCAAAATACTACCTAAGCAAGCTGTACTCTCCTATATCAAAAACAATTGCCGGTGTTGGTTTACTTCCTCGTACCAAACAACTAGGGGAGGGGGGAGGTGTGGATTTGTTTTGACAATACAGGGGAGGGGGGAGGTGTTGGTTTACTTCCTCGTACCAAACAACTAGCGAAACCTAAAGAACTATGTTATCTAAAAATTGACTCACTTTAGAGCATTTTAACCTTTATCTTATTTTTCTTTTGAAACGTGCCAGATTTGATAAAATAAATAAATCTGAAGGTTGATATTGCCTTGCATTCTGCATAAATGATTTTAGATTATCGCAATTTGCAATCTCGCTTTAATCTCTTGATACGTTCTCTATAAGAATGTAAACATTCGCAACTTTTTCTGGAAATTTATATGGGCAGCAAACTCTTCATCAAAATGCTTTTAGGATTTTAGCTCGAACTAGTAAACAAAAAATTTCTGACTAAAAATCGTTGCAGTTTGCTGCAGTCATACGGTAAGGAGAGTTTGAAACTGGTTAATGATATGATGAAGCACCATCAAAGAAATCCTTACCGAGGTGAATTCTTATCGTATGGAAACCGAAAGGCTAAAAATCTCCTATCGACTGTCAAAAAAATCGAGATATATGCAATAATAGAACATGGACAAATTACTTACCAACACCTATCCTGCCATCTTCAGCCACTGCGCCACCAGGTAAAATTGTCTTCACGTATATCCCTAGCTGGCCCTTTCCAGCATCAACTCCTCCGACTATTGAAAACCCAAGTCCTTTTGTGCTTTTGTCTTTTCGCAATGTGACGAGCATCGCTGAATCGTCATCATCGTTGGAATCATAATGGTGAACGCCTCCAGGCAAGCTATCTTGCTTCTGCACCGGTGACTGACGGGATGTTCTTGTGTTTTCTCCGACTGTTGTTGTGGGACTTGCCTCCCCATCTGTTGCTATTGGCTTCTCATGAACATGTTTCACCTAAGTGTACAAGAATAAGAGTGTTTGCCGGCAAAACAACTTACAAGTTGCAAGTTGCAGTTATTTTCAACAAAGGACATACGATAAAGAAAAAAACACTGTTAACACTATTTCTTTAAATTTGCAAGCTACCTATAATTAATACAATTCATTTCAAAACTGACAGGTCAATAGGATAAGGTTGAAAAAGTTATAAACTGCAGCTCAATAATGCTACTCTGTGACGCCATCCTTACCAGGCAGTAAAATGTATCCGAACAAAAAAGGCATTAAAAAGTACAAAATAAAGCAGCAAATAGTTAGTACAAATATTTCAAACATTTAAATCGAAATACAATTTAGAACCAAACCTTTCTTCGATAAATCCTACGACCAGACTCATCCGAAGTGCTAAACTCAAGTGATGACGTAGAAAGCTTTTTTAATCTACGTTTGGAAGTAGTTGAGGACGCAGCAGATACTGATCCGTTGTCGTCTTCAACCTTTGGCAAAAAATTGTCAGTTTCAATATATTCCTATCTGCTACAGTAACAAAACAGTGTCAATTATATCATCAATTTCCTTGAATTTTCTTGAAGCATTACTTGCAGGCCTTTGGCTTAGCATGTAGAATTTACCCCCACATAACCAATAGAACATACATGTAGCCAATGGCATTGGGGCTTTGAAATAAGGGGCAGAAAAGGGGAGCTAATACTCTTACCTAAACTAGTTTCTTTATGATACCCACTTCCTGAATTTATGCGTATATTTTGTTCACAATTACATGAAACTAACTTACATCTGTATTCACAAATGTATAAATCAGCCTGTATTCAGGTGTTTTCACAGAAGAATAATGTAATGGGTGCAAGGATGGCTCAGTTTCTAGAGGCGCTGACTACAGACCCAAAGTATGTGGTTCGAGTCCCTGGCATGACCAAACTTTCACCCGGAGTGGGGAGAGTCGCCAGCTCTCTGTAATTGCAAGCGTAGGAATCACAAGGTGTGGTCACATCAAGAGGAAGGACCAGGACACTGCTCGATAAGCATAGCTTCTCAGTGTCCTAAAAACTACCTTCGGATGCCAGGTAGCAACAAATACAAAAAAAACAACAAATACAATAAAACCTGACTCCAGATCCTGATTCTTATGATGAATCTGAAAACATTATTCCATTGAAAGGACATCCCTGAATTCTGCTCAGACAAAGAGTTTAGACATCTACTTAGCAGTACAACCCAAGCATCAACTGACAACAATGAAAAGCTGATCGGTACTTTTACATCACTTTTATTGTAGAAAACCAAGCAGAGACTGGTTTAGCAAATATATGTTGAAGATACCTCAAAATTCGGTAAGACAACTTACCATCTCTCTGGCTATTACCAGCTGCACTACAGATGAGGTTCCATTTAGTAATTCAACAGCTTCAATATGAGACAGACCAATCAAATGTCTTCCATTTATCCATAAAAGTTCATCACCAATCTTCAAACGCCCATCCCTATAGGAAAGAAGGCAAACATTAATGGACCAAAATCCAACTACAATCTGACTGTCATTGCTTTTTCAGTTAATTACAGCTTGAGATTTTTCTGTTTCTAATCTCGAAATACAATTGTCTTCTACTTAATATCAAGAAGGTTCTTTTTATAGAAGGGCTACCTAATTTTAAGGTCTTTTCAGGGGTAGCAACATTACAGGTGGCTACTTAGCGGGGTTGATAACACTCATCTTATTCCAAATATATCATTCAAAATTGAGTAGGTGCAGCTTAAGATTCTTAAATCTAGGATTAGTTCTAATCTGGATAAATGTGTTAACCTTTTTCAGAATAAGCTGCTAATACAACTTGGCTTTCATAAAAATCTCAAGTGGTTTGTTCTTAAATGTGTCACTTCATGTCAATTCAAATGGGTGGTGACACCATACCTCTTCAATTTTGCTCAAAATCTAACAAAAGGCTATTTCTGAAAAGGTTATGGCAGTCTTCAGGGTTCATGCTGATATCAATATTGGTCTAGACTTTGAGCTTTAATTTGTGGTTGAAGGGTTTAACTGAGAATTTACAAAATATTTTGAGCCAAAATCTTACCTAGCAGCAGCACCATCATCCATGATATGTGTCACAAAAATCCCACGACTCACTCCATCCTCAATAGAGTCTGTCCCACCAGCTACCTGAATACCAAGACCTCTTGAGCTTTTGTCATTTAACAGATGCATCTTTTTCACTGCTCGTTTCTGTAAACAACATTTTTAATAATAAATTATATAACTGCACCACATATCTGAAACTCATTGCAAAATTTGAATAGAATTCATAAGTGTGATGTCCCAAAAAATTTATTGTTAGAATTTTGAAACTTGACCACATAACATGTTTCATATATTTCATATATTTCATGACCAATACTTCATATATTTCATGAAGTTATGAACAGAGATCAAATTACAGGGCTTTGATGGGGAAAGAACCTGTGTTTATGTGACCATATCTGAGCCAATCTGTGACACATTTGACTGATTTTACACATTTAGCACTCAAAACTGAAAAACTATAGAAATAGATTTTGCATCTTCATCATTTAATATCGCCATATCTGTAAAGCTGGCTGTTATTTCATTGAAACACTAAAATGTGGAAATTAAAATGTCTGGCTCTGGACTGCTTTTACCAGATGTTTCAACAAATCTACCCTATCATAACTGGGTCTATTTTGACTCAACATTGAAATTACATCATGTATAAAACCAACATAAAATGTCTAACCTTGTTTGAAATTGACTGATTCGTAGCTTTGCTTTCTACCGAAACATCAGAATTCATCCCTTCATCATCTGTTAAAGACTGTCTCATTCCACTAGAAGTAGAAAATGCTGAACAGGAACTTGAAATACTGCCAGTGAATTTGCTTTTTCTCTTCATAAATGGAGAATTTTCATCATTATCAGGCTCTGAATCTGTGGCTCCAGGCTGGTTGCGATAAATTGCAACACATAACTTCCCAGATCTTAAAGCACTGTTATAATGCCACCTGAAAAATAATGTCAATAAAACAGTGGTCTGTTTGCCAGGTTTCTGGTGAATTACATTAAAAAAAGCTACTCATTAGCTCTGAAAAGTGTGGTTATAGTAACTAGATATAGAAGACAAAGGATACAAAGGAGGACAAAGAGCTTCAACATTTTTGTTCAAATGTGTTACCAAGGATATAACTGTTGACATCACATGAAACATGCAGTGTTTGCTCTTGAACATTTCAGTTTCAGTGTTTCTTCATTTTAAAATTCCACTACACAATAAACAAATATAAATTAGGTAACAATACAACTTAAATAACAAAGGGGCAGATTCTGCAAGACAAAAAACACAAACCCCTGCCAATTGAAACAATAGCCCAATGCAACCAGACACCCTAACTACCCGGAATTCCAGTGCCAACCAAAGACAACAGATACCACTTTTCTAAAAAACCACTTACCACCCACACTTAAAATACAACAACTCACCACAAACAACTCAAAGGACTTTAATACAGGGGAATTTCTTGAAGAGAAACCCTCTCTGTAGCTATATGTTTAACAAGCAGAGGGCACACCCTATAATGAAATTTATTGTAATGGGCAAAAATAGTAAGTGCACTTGTATAAGGATCATCATCCAAAAAATATATGATTATTCTAATGTAAGCAAGGAAAGTGAAGGGATTATTGGATTTTGATAAGGCATGAAAAGCATTCATTTGAATTGCTGACATCCCTTGTCAGTCCACAAGTAGGTACACCTAAGTGACCTTAATGCAGTCATTGCATCAAATATGGAACAGCTTTCCTGCCTTCATTCAATAATTTCAACTGAATTGAAGTATGTGGCACTGGAAGGCATTGATAGCATAGATATTACAGAGTTATCTGCTATCAAAGTGATGAATTCAAGTTTCATGTAATCATATAAGCCATTGCTTACAAATGATCCTTGACCAGACCTGTTTTCAAAACAGTATGAGATTACTTTGTTTAATCAATCACAGATATTACAAACCAAAAATCAGGACGGCTCAGTTGTTAGAGGCGCTGACTACAGACCCAAGGGTCCGTGGTTCGATCCCTGGCATGACCAAACTTTCACCCAGAGTGGGGAGAGTCACCAGCTCTCTGTAATTCCAGGCGTAGGAATCACGAGGTGTGGTCACATCGAGAGGGAAGACCAGGACACTGCTCGATAAGCATAGCTTCTCAGTGTCCTAAAAACTACCTTTGGATGCTAGGTAGCAACAAATACAAATACAAAAAAAAACATCCAGGACTTGGTATAATTGGGTATATCCTTGTTTTTCAATTTTAACTCAGTGCCATTAAACTGCTTAGACACTTGCACAGGTTACACTATTTTCAAACTAGCTTGGTTCAGGAAGCAGTCGTTTTGAGTTGCATATCAACAAATTCCTTGGAACAATAATATGGTTATTTTTGCAGAATTCTAAATTCTACGAATATTGCTTAGTGGTATTAATGCATGTATAGCAATCTACTTCAAAAAAATTTAGGCTACTTATCATTTTATATGCTTTTACATTGAGCATTGATTAATAATGCTTAAAATTGTTAAAATTTGCAATAAATAAGAAAGATAAATACTTTTTATCAGTTTTTAAGGCTACAAAAAACTTGGCAGCACCCCAACAGCGTTAAGGCTATACGGAATATTTAGAGATGTTTAATGAATACCTCACAGATGACGAATTTAAAAACTTAGGCCGTCCCTCTCTTACTCGCAGTCATGCTCACCTTGCTCTCTCCAAAGTGATTTTCTCCGTATTGTGGCCGTTAATTTCTAGAACATCGTCTCCTTCTTCTAGCCTTCCATCATAATATGCTCTACTGTCCACAATTATCTTAGATATGTAGATCCCACCGCACTTTTCCTTCCCAACCTTCGTGGTTTTTGTTCGAGCTTTGGAGGACTGGGAAATCACAACTCCAAAATCCTCAACTTCACAGTTATAAAAATCAACAACTTGCAGTCCTGTATTAGAATTTTTAAGAAGAAATTCATCACCAAATGGGTCTTTCTTCGATTCTACCTCTGCAACTGGCCGAATCGTTTTCAGATAGGTCGACAAAGCAAAGATGGACTTCTCAAAATCAGCCTGCCCATGTCTTGAAACTCTATTTTTGTGTTGCTTCAACAGTTTCAACGACCGCTCAAAATCGCCATCTTTCAATTTTTCTATTGACTGATGAACTGGCATAACGATACCATTTGAATAACACCGATGTTTTGACTCACTGCCCCACTCTAATGGAAATCACATTGGGCCATCTCAGGCCATACCGGTTTCAAATCCTCTCTCCTTGGTTGCGAACGACGCTATCATTTCCAAGTCGTAACGGTCCAATATCAACAAACCATTCACTTCCGAGAGAAGTTTGTATAAGATTAAACATCTACTTTTTGCGCATTTAATTCTTCTTTAGCTAAGTCAGACAAGGTCTTGCGTAATCACATATCTTCACACTTAATCATACTCAAAATAGTTGTGTAAAAAATGCAATCGATGTATCAACAATATGATCAATAACGAGCTAAGGATGATGGGATATGTACACAAACACTGCTATTGTCTCCATGAAGATGAGGTCGTGCATCTCGCTCAAGCTGTTCTCTTTTTGCAACACGCACGAACTCTCTACCAATATCATATACTAACTATAGTATACCTGTTTTTCGAAAAATCAAGTGTAACTGAGAAGAAGTTTGTTCCAAGACAATTTTATATTTAGAGGAGGATGTGCCTGGGATTATTTTTGTTAAAAATAAACCTCAAAATGCAGCGAAGAGAAAAGCAAAAATGACATTGTTCTTCGAAGTTTTTCAATGTATCAACGTGTCTCTTAACTTTATCGTACATTTTTCAAACAAAGGGACGCCTCAAATAAAACTGAGACTTGTTTTAGGCCGTTATAGACAATTGGATTAAGTCCGTTTATTCAATCCCACTCTGTAGAGCATTGTTCTACACTACACTTTTTTTATAAGAACCAGATAATTTTTGTCGAGCCTCGATATTTTTAATTTTTAAGGCGTTTTACTGGGTAAAGTTTAAAAATAAATTGTTTTTATGTTTCTAAATTTTATATGTAGTTTTGTTCTGTTGACATGATATGAGTTTCAAAATGCGAATTGTTTTCTTTTAAATTTCTCATCTGAAGCTAGCATGTTCTAGCCTTGTTCTTATTTGTGTGGGAAAATCAGTGTTCTTTCAAAGTGTGTTCTTATATAAAAAAGTGTCTACGCGGGTTTTAATTGGAATTCTTGTGCATAGTTTAACGACTATAAAGCCAGATAAAATTTGAAAAATTCGAAAGAGACAGGTTTTTGTTTAATTTTTGTTTAGCTAAATGCTGGCAGATGTGATCGTTTACGATGAATATTCCCAAAGAATTTTTCACTCTAAGGTTTTCATTACTAGGTTGAACTCATACCAGGTTCATTTAATTTTTATCCAATTACAAGTCATAAAAACACTTAAATTTTAACCCACGTAGGTAAATGAGATCCGATAAAATTCAGTCAGGAAAATATAAGAATACCCAAAGAAAAAGGTAAAAGAAATGTATATTTAAAAGAATAAACAGCCAAATTCGAAGGGGGGGGGGTGAGCGACTTTTCCAGGTCTTTGTGGTAGGAGATGAAAATTTATGGGCTTGCAAGAGTTTGGATTTAGCAAACATTATAGATGAGGTCGTTAGCATTTTTAACGTTAGCGCTAACGGTAGCATTTTTTAAAAAGGAAGTCTGAAAATTTCACTACAAAATTACATCAAAGAAGGTTTAAAATATCTATAACTTTCTATAAAGAAGATCAAAAAAGTAAATTTCACAAAAGGGAACAATGTTAAAATGATACGACAAGGCATTTTAGTTTAAGCAGTCTTTGTTGTGAAGGAGCAGCACGCGGTTAATCATTCACTCGTTCCTAGACCTCGAAGTTGCATTAGTCAGTTGTTCACGCCACGTTGTAATGTGGTGTTCACGTTGGATCATGTTTATTGTAAATAGTTTATTATGTTCCTGTTGATATTATGAAATGTTTAAAAACCCAAATGATGTCTTCTTCAAATGTCCTGACCTAAATCTCTAAAACAGTCTTTTCAGACAGTGCTTGTGAGACAGTAATAACTTTATTCCAGGTGAGGCCTTTGGAATTTTAAAGAGAAAAGGAGTCATCAATAAAAAGTCCAGGTAGGTATGTTTAATTTGAATCAAAACTGCTGTACACATATCAACATGGTAGCCTTAAAAACATGCATAGAAATTCTTCAATAAATTTGAGGACATTGATTGCGCAGATATAAGAACATTGACATTGACATAATCTGCTAAAGTTGTTGCATCACTAGTGCATGCCCTGGCGCCACGATGGTACAGCCCTAGGAAAACAAAAATATGAAATATACTGACTAATTAAGGTACATTTGGATCGAAAGGGCAAGGTCAAGAAATATAACTTCAATTTCTGACGATAACGGAACCTGTTAACCTCAAAATCTAGCAGAATTGGTAATAAATCACGAATCCAGAAAAAGAGCAAACGGGGCTGTAGGGATATTGCACATAGAGTCAAAAAACGTAAGCGGTATCACGGCCATCGATCGTAAAAAGAAACGAAACAATTTTTACCGCACTAAGACAAAAACTTTTTCCCGCTGTGGTTTAAGAAAGTTTTGGGAGTATGGAGTATAACTGGAGAAAGGATTAACACCAAAGGGTTCTGGATTTTAAATGCACGTTGCAGATGAAAAGAAAACAAGTAATGCATAAGATAAATAAGTAAACAAGTATAAGAATAAAAGTATCAAAGTCTAGGAAAACAGGAAAATTAATTAGGCGAAAAACTAATAAAATTTATCACAGACAAGGTATTTTAATTTAGAGAGTTGACAAAAACTGGACTCCGTGGCGTTTGGCAATGGAATGTTACTTAGGAGCAAGCCAACACCTCCAATCCTTGACCACACTTTCCTTTTAGACTGATCGTTTTCGTTGAATTTTTAAACCCAGTCAGGAGAACACTGGGTTTGAGGGGCAGCCATAATGTCGTTAACTTCGCTACAGACAGGGATCATCCAATTTCACCGCCTTGTTTAACTATTTTATTTTCTAAAATTCTTAAAGTAAGAACTAGACCGAACAAAAAAACCGCACATCAAACTGAAGACATCTCGGGCCTTGAAAAATAACCATACCTTCGCTGAAATTGCTGTTGTGGTTGGGCATTTTCTTCTCTAGCGCTGCGCTGCCGCTCTTTCCATCCCTCCGTCATTTGATACAGACGCGATGGATCTCGTTCGACTTTTACAGCGACCTTTGTCATAGAAATACATAACTAAATCAACACAAGCATTAACAAAAAACCTTAGAGTCAATTAAATTATAAACTTCGCAGCAATGGAATTAAAAATATTTGCAAAAACTGGCAGCTAGTTTTGGAACGAGCAGTGGCTACAGATTGGGAAATTTGGCTTCAAACATGCTGCAAATTTGGCAATTGATCATCTTTAAAAATACAACAACTACACAGCAAAAAAGGACCGTTGCTTGCTCCTGCGTATAGTATAATAATTTCCCAAAGCTTTATAGGATCAATCTGTTAATATTTATATAACCTAATCTTCTACTACTAGGCCACAACACCTGTCTGCATGTTAAGGAGTGCATCAATGAATTATGCCATTTTTAGAAGTTATAAAGGCAATTTACTTTAAGAAGGTAAAAACGTAAATAAATGTCATTAGTTACAATTTTGATTTTTGCAAGTTTGCAAAAGATTGGGAAATTTGAAGCATAGAGTTGTAGCGCATAAAGGGGGTTCATCTTGGCTGGAACTTTGAACCATAAAGTTGTAGCACGTAAAGGGGGTTCATCTTGGCTGGAACTTTGAAGCATAGAGTTGTAGCGCATAAAGGGGTTCATCTTGGCTGGAACTTTGAACCATAAAGTTGTAGCGCATAAAGGGGGTTCATATTGGCTGGAACTTTGAACCATAAAGTTGTAGCGCATAAAGGGGGTTCATCTTGGCTGGAACTTTGAACCATAAAGATGTAGCACGTAAAGGGGGTTCATCTTGGCTGGAACTTTGAACCATAAAGATGTAGCACATAAAAGGGGTTCATCTTGGCTGGAACTTTGAAGCATAGAGTTGTAGCGCATAAAGGGGTTCATCTTGGCTGGAACTTTGAACCATAAAGATGTAGCACGTAAAGGGGGTTCATCTTGGCTGGAACTTTGAACCATAAAGATGTAGCGCATAAAGGGGGTTCATCTTGGCTGGAACTTTGAACCATAAAGTTGTAGCACGTAAAGGGGGTTCATCTTGGCTGGAACTTTGAACCATAAAGTTGTAGCGCATAAAGGGGGTTCATATTGGCTGTAACTTTGAACTATAAAGTTGTAGCACATAAAGGGGGTTCATCTTGGCTGGAACTTTGAAGCATAGAGTTGTAGCGCATAAAGGGGTTCATCTTGGCTGGAACTTTGAACCATAAAGTTGTAGCGCATAAAGGGGGTTCATATTGGCTGGAACTTTGAACCATAAAGTTGTAGCGCATAAAGGGGGTTCATCTTGGCTGGAACTTTGAACCATAAAGATGTAGCACGTAAAGGGGGTTCATCTTGGCTGGAACTTTGAACCATAAAGATGTAGCACATAAAGGGGGTTCATCTTGGCTGGAACTTTGAAGCATAGAGTTGTAGCGCATAAAGGGGTTCTTCTTGGCTGGAACTTTGAACCATAAAGATGTAGCGCATAAATGAGGTTTTGGGGGCTCACTTTTTAATGCCAAAAGTGATCAACTTTTGCTTCTTGTTTTAAACTTTTCAGATTATTCGAAAAAAAATATTTTGGTTTGCTTTAGAAAACGCTTAGAAGTACAAACAATCTAAGGGCGTAAGTCTTTATATCATTATAATTATCAGTGAAATTCTACTAGGTATGTAATTGCCATGTCTTCAAAAATAGACTTTGTGACAAATTCAATATTTACCTGACCACGAAGCTTGTTAAGGCGCTTTTCTTTTTCTTTTCTCTCTTTTTCTCTTTGATCATGTCTGCGTTTTCTCTCTTCAAGAATTCTTGTATCCTTCAACGAACAAAAACAGAAATGCTATAGCAGGAATTTATTAAAAAATCATCTGTGAAACATCGTAAAAAATTTGTTTAGCTGATGCAGCCAGAATACAAAACGTCCATGTAGCTTATTCGTAAGAACACGGAGTCACCAACATACTAGCTCGATCTTCAGCACGGGGCAATCTGATTGTCAATTTTTTATTCTCAACGCTTAAGTTTTCGTACCCTTCTTTAAGATAAAGTACGATGGCCTTGCGGAAAAGGCTTTCAAGTTTCTGAGAGCTTAAAAACAAAGTCTACAAAATAAACTCCCAAAGCTCTGAAGGTGTGTGTTAGGCATGGAGTCCATGACATAACACTAACGTCAATATTCGAATCAATATAAATCGAGCAAGATTTAACAAACATATTGAAATGCTGTTTTAAACAAAAAATAAAAAATATTGAAATAAAATGGGAAAAGAAAAGGACAGGATAGAAACTAGACCTCTTAACTTCTTAAAACTCTGTTAAAAAAGAAAATATAGAATCAGATAGGATTGAGAGAGAAAAGAAGAAAACTAGAACATTTTCCTGACTATCATCATCTTTAACCTCTTCCTCACCAAAGCTTCTAGATTCTCTACCAAATAAATCAGAAATTCAAAAAGTTCAGTTTCATGCCCAGCAAGTAAATATGATAGTAATAAATGAAGCTCAACATCAGTGAAATGAAACAGTTCCAATAACACAATTTTTCAATTTTACAAGCGATCAAAGAGAAAACATCAACTGGGGTATATCAAACAACGTGTTGTCACTAAAGGAGTGATGTAATGTCACCGTAGGGGCGACAGCAAAAGAACATGACTAATGTCACAGCAACAAAATATGGAAATAAAGCATACCCTTTCTTTGATTCGAGCTAATTCTTCTTCTGAGATTTTCTTTGCTTCTTTCTCTTCTTCTTCACGCACTTTACGTGCAAGTTCGAGTATATCATTTTCCTCTTTCTTTTTCCTCTGATATGCCTGTACTTTTGCCTTGACATCTTCCTACAATCATAATATTTTCAAATGTTAGATATTGACAAAAATATTTCGAGTAAATCTAACAGACGTATTGATCATCGTTACACTATCGTTGTAGAAATATTGCTGTAAAGTATTTTGGGAAGGAAATTCAAAGCAGTTTAAAATGCTTAGAAATTGAACGTTACCCTTAGCTATCAATGTCAAAACTCAGCCCAAAACTGTATTCTGATTCAAACCCGTTATCGTATAAAAACACATTTGCTACTGATATAAATACTTCTCAAATACATTTTATTAACATCCTAAATGAGTCTAAAAAGGGTAACACAAACCCTTCTTCTTTGTTCTGCCTCTGCTTTACGTGCCCTTTCTTCAGCAAGCCTTTTTCTTCTCGCTTCCTCTGTCTCTTGGACTTGAAGTTCCTTCGCAAACTAAAAACATCGTGCAAATTAATCTCAATCTTTAACCAATAATGCTCTTTATACTCAGAATAAAAGGTTTTTGGTTTGGTTCAAATTTTTTTTGTTAGTTAGTTTGTTATGCAACTGAACAAGCAACATCAAATTGGAAGCGAGGGTTGTACTATCGGCCTTGCAAAGGAGAGAACTGTGAATTTTTTCAAAACGAGATATAGGCAACAGAGCGTCCCAAGGATCTCTTCGTAGGGAACGTAGCTTGTGAGAAGAAGAATACATCCCGTCCGTTCTATAAAACACAAATTCATCAAGTCATCGTGCAGATCAATATACTAACTTTCCACTTTTCAAGTTCTGCAAATCTTTCCATTTTCTCTCTTTCAATCATCTCCTTTCGTTTTATTTCTCTTCTCTTTTCTGCCTCAACGTCATCCTCAATTTGAAGCAGTTTCTCTTGCTTTTCAGACTAAAAGGAATTAAATTTCACAAACAATAGAAAAACCTTCAAACTGCAGTTATCATGGGCATTTATATATAGTGTCATTCTTAAATCCAATTTCTCATACGACTACATTACCTAGATCATGAAAAATATCTGAAGATCATCAAATGAACAAGCACCCACACAAACATGATGCTACGGATTACATAATTGCAGACAGTAAAATGGAATGATGCAATGAAAAGAAGGTTAGGCTTCAATCAAAATAAAACACAGGTTGCTGACAACTTTTCTGTTGTTTTTACCGGGTTCAGTTTATTGATTATCAATAAAAGTGCGATGTTTATTGATAAAAAAGTCATGCACATTTAGTAGCTATTAAATTAGCAAAAAAACTCTGAATAGGAAATCAAGTGGACATGATAAGTAAAGTCATGAAACAAAACAATAGAAGGCAGGCGTAATTCATAAAAATTGCCTTTTTCATTATGTCCATTCATCACTTGATTAAAAACATGGCAAGAAAAACAAATTTTGAAAATATTTTGGTGAAGGATCAGAAATAAAACAATAAAAATATTGCAAAATGCAATAAATTTTTGATGACTAAACGAGAAGGCATTGAAGATCAGAGCTCGTACTTTCCATTTGAGCTTACAGACTTCGATAATTGTATTTTAGCTGTAATTCTTAAAAAAAGCTGATACCTCTTTCATATTTTTCCATTCAGCGATGGCAGTGCGCTTATTCTCGCGCAATATGATATACTCTTTATACCATGCATTGTGTTGTATTATATCTTCTTTTGATCTTGTTGGAATTTCCGATTCTGCATTGTTAACGAATTCTTCAAATACCTTAATGAAAAATATTTGTATCAAACCAAGAAATAAATTCGCACTAATGGTACCGTAATATTTTTCAATTGATATACCAATAATCCGTGAAGAATTTAAAAAGAAAGAGCACCAATTATATTTTCCAATTTACATAACAACCTTTGGGTATTTGCTAAAATCTAAATACCATGAGGTCTGGCGCTATTAAAAGCAGCATGTCCCCCATTATTCTCAGAATCTCTTTTCATGGCCACGTTATTCATGCATCGTTGATTCAATGCACAAGTAAACAATCAGAATGAAGAACCACAACAGCGTAAGTTCCCTGAGCATCATGAAGGGACAGACTGCCTTTAAGAAGCCCATATGATTGCTAAAAGACTTGTCTGTTGTGGCTTTGTAGTGGGTGACAGAAACAACTATTCAGAATTGAATTGACCGATTCAGAACTTAATGGTCAAATGCGAATCATTGATTGACCGTATGAGTACTAGAGTAAGTATGAGCGAATGACATGTATTTCTTCAAAGCCAGCACTGCTTTTCAAACTATTTAAAAATTTTCTTCTAACGTTTCGTTTCATTGAAGTTAAAATGAGAAATCATATTAAAGAATGTAAGATCAAACTGTGTGAAGAAAATTACTTTGAGACTTATTGGCCTAATTGGAAAAACTATTCCATGCTCTTAATTATCAACAAAAAGTTTATAATTTTCCCTTTCATGGCTTTATCTTATTACAACACAAACAAAAATCACAGATACAACATACAACTTAGACTGGCTCTTTTACACAAATCTGACTACAAAAATAAGGAATTTTAGCATAATATAATATTTACCTTATATTTCTTTTTAAGCTTTAAAAAAGTCTGGTGATCATATTCATCCCAGCCACCTTGATGTCCACCAGTTTGAAAGAGAAAATTCTAAGAATTGAAAAGATCTGGTATAATTATTTTGTCAATGAGGAGCTGTCAAACACCTTGGAAACACAGAGACAAGGGAGGAAACAAAGTTGCTAAACAAAGCCCTAAAGTATTATTTTAAGAATCAAATACATTCAAAACAAAATCCGGAACATACAGACTGATATAATAGTTTTTGGCAATAGCCTTAAAGATGCAATAATCTGAAAGCCTTAAAACACAGAAAGATTTCTGTCAAGCTTTACAGCTTCCGGAAGCAGGCACCAGGAATGTAGACTAACATCAAAATAAGGTTCAGCATTTCTAATTTTTCCTTTTTTTAAAATCATAGTAAGCTAAAATTAAATGGTTGAATGTTAATTTTTTTGTACCTGAAATGCCTTGACCTCTGGTGGTACCGATAAATTTTTTTTGTCATCCTTCTGTTTATTTTTCGGTTGAATAGGAAGTCCACCTGATGAAGTTGACCAAGACTGTATTTTCTTTTCAAAACTTTCTAGATCTAAACTAAGCTGTTTCTCTTCATTCATCATGTCTTCATATCTGTAATCGAATTCAAGCTTTTGAATGGATATTTGAAAACCCTTTTAGCATCAGACTACTAAATCATCTGATAGTCAAATGTCATTTTAACCTTGCTTTGTGTTCTTTAATATGATAAAAATCTAAACAGAATGTTGTCCAGTTTGTATTTGATGCTTGAATTGTTTAGCAAAAATTGAAGCATAAGAATCATATTGCCTGGATTTTAAATCTTCATCAAAATGGAAAAATTAAAACAACACAATAATATCGTTAAACCAAGCTATTGATAAAGGTAAAGATGGGATTCACAGACTTTTTGATTGAGTTGGTAACACCAAACAAGCATGATTATGAATACTATTTTGAATATGACTTTGAACAATTGCATCACTTACAAAGCTCCTTGTTGCTGTTTGTACTTCAAAATGCTACTTTCAATGTCCTCCATCAACATTTTCAACTTTTCTAAAACTAAGGAGCATATCAAGATCAAAAATTAATGTTTAAAACACTCTGTTATTAGAAGAAGAATAAATACTTATGAACTTCACAATTTCTAAAGCCTGGTTGAATAAAAATTGGTAGTTACCGAAACAAAAAGTTAATTGCTTTCAAAGGAGAAAAAGACAGGGATAATAGACAGATGCAATTAACCTTTTTGTTAGCTCCTAGCTGTGGTATAACTCAACCTCCAGGGCTCAGAGCCAAAATGATTACAACAATGCAACTACAATAAGTCTCTCCAAAAAAGTGAATAGCTAAAAATAAAACCAATAAAATAAATAAACTTAATTTCATAGTTACATTCTGGTGTACTTTTTGGTCCTTGGATTTCATTTTTAAATTTTGTTACATTTGATGAAATTTTCTGTAGTTTAGTCTTGATAGACTCACCTAAAGTTGAAACAAAACATTCAAAGATAAGCATCATGATAACATAAACAAAGACATCAGAGCTGGGGGGCTAGGGGGAGGCCCACGGCTGGACATAAGCAAATGTCAGTTGGGCAACCTTTTCAATATCTATTGTTATGATAAATTCATACATGAAAGTAACTGTACAGCAAAGGGAGTAACCCTGTTGCAAAAATCAAATATGACATCAGAGGAGAAATAAGAGAAGCAGGAATAATCATGGAATTTAAATGGAATTTAAATGGAATTCAAATATTTTGCCCTGCTGCTCATTCTGGCAGAAAAATTGCAACTAGGACCACCCCCACACCCACCCACATTAAAGCACCCCCACACCAATGGTTATTAATAAACAATAAACAAACTAAATAGCTAGAATTTAACTTGTATCAAATGACTAGAATTTAATCAAAAAAGAAAGGAGCTAGAAGTCCCTAATTTCATCTTGATATAGTTCAATCTTTTCAAAAATGTAATTTAAATACTATGCTTAAATAACACTGCCTCAATTGTCAAAAGGTGTCAATATGCTCACTTACATTCTTTTGACCTATCTGACGATAGTTTTACTTCTTGCTCTTCAAGATCACAAAATTCTTTTCTGAATTCATGTTTTTTCCCAAACAACTGTGATGACTTTTCTTTTTCTAGTGCTATTATTCTACAGAAAAAAATTGAACATCAAAGAGTTTGAAAGCCCTCCATAAAGGACAATGTAGCCTTTACTATAACTGGGAAGCTGGTGAATTGATACTTTCAACAAAAATAAACTTGTTAATTAGCAGGAAACAAGTATACATGTACATAAAGGCCACATTAGTAGGCTGCTCAACAGACTCCAATGAAATGGTTGCAGTGATAAGTTGATAAAGTGTAGAAAATAAGGAGCTCCACAATGCACCAAGAACAAATGTAGTACATGGAATTTGCCATTGCCAACCCCTGTTATAAACAATAATGTTGCTACAACATAACAACTTTTATTCTTTTCTATTAATCACTAATGAGTAGAATAATGCTTTGTTTCATTAATTGTAGATTAATCCTTTACTCGTCTTTTATAAAAGTTTATTTAGAAATATAGTTGTGTGACATTTTAACCTTGTAATCATGGAGTGTGCATCATAAAGTTCTTGAAGTTGAACTAGCATTTTTATATGTATTCGAACCTACATATAGGGTATACATTACCTTATAATAACAAAGGGTTACACAAACAACAATACACACAATGAAATTAACATTAGTTAATATTATATACATTGCAGTTATGACTTGAAGTTAGAGCAACCCATTTGATGACATCTAAATACTTACTTGACTTTAAACTGCTGTAATTTTTCAACCGCGTCTGTCTTCTCTCTTGCATCTTTGCGACTTTTCCATTCCTCAACATTGTGTAAAATGTGCTCTGCTTTGGGTTTATCTTCTGCATGAGTGTCTGTCTCAGACAGTTGCAAAGAGTTGAAAGAATCATTCAGGGACAATTGAATATCCTCCTCTTCATCACTCATCATAAAGATCCTATCAATGACCAAAGAAGATTAATCTGATGAATTAAAATGAACAATACTAAGAGACATTGAACAACACATTAACAACATTTCTGTGGAGATTTACTCACTGAAGAAAAACTTTACAATGTTGCTACATCCAGGAGGGAAACTTGGGTCATATAATTTGTGGCTAAATGCAGTCATTTTCATTCAATTCTTTAAAAATCATTTTACTATTTTTAGGCTTAGTTTTTGCTATGCTTGATGAACTCCATTCTTAAAATGGAATTAATTATATATAAGGACCTCCTAGATCTGAAGGCCCTGGGGCAAATTGTTACTCTTGTACTTCTTCTGCATGCTTATGTCATTCAGCGACCCTTTCGGCTCTCTTTGCTATGAAATTGACTGTTTAGATGCTTCGATTGTCTGAGGTACACCATTCAACACTTTACTTGTTCCAACCTTTGGCAGGTGCACCCACAAAAATAAATGACGACCACAGTCATTTGAAAATTTTTGTTTGTTATATCTTCCCGGCCTATAGCCAATATCAATTTCTGTCTATGTTTTGTAGTTGACAATTCAGTTTTCTCTTCTTGATGGGTAATAACTGCTGGAACCCTGTAAAATTTCAAGGCTGTTTTTGTCTTCACTGCTCTTACTCTTACTTTGAGTTTTTTCTTCACAGCCAAGAGCAAGACACAAATATAGAATATTGAGAATATTCTGAAGCGTTTTAATTTCAATAGAACAATGTTGAATGATTGCGTTATGATAAGGACAATAGCAGTATTCACAGATAAGCGTACATCTTTAGAAAGTGTGTTCGCTGTTGATTTGATTTAAAGTATTGACAGTCACGAGTTGTTTTTCGAAATGCCAGTAGTATTAGCGTTGATTAAGTTTCAAAGAGCCTTAATTAGGTTATCTGTAAAACATGCTATATAATAATGCTACTAAATTAGTTGCTCTATAATACTACAGGGGTCACAAAAATTTCTGCTAGCTTTGCTCACAAGGGGCTATATTTTTCAGTTTTGTCCCAGGCCCACTGAAACTTTTTGCTGGCCCTGATCTCAAGTGGATCACCCAATTCAGAATGACACACTCTAGAATGTAAAGTATTTTTTCTACGCGGGGAATGCCAGAACAATAATTTTGAAATTTGCGGATAATGAACACTTCCTGCGAAATCGTGCGCGGAATTTGAAGAAAAGACTTTCGAAGAGACCTTGTATTCGTTGTTTTTTCTTGTTATCAGAAGTCAGACGTTTAAATGGTGGAATATTCGAGGGGAACATGACCAGAACGCATTCCTCGCGCAGACCAAACTTCTCAGTCTACACACTTTTGGCTAAGTCATTTTGTCATATTTGAAAAAAGCTTTTTACTTTGAGCCACATCCAAAACACGCCCAAATCACGCCCATCTTTTGGGTGTGCAAGAGTGCAGTCCCGTTATTTTACAAAAATTTCTCGGGAATGAAGCTGATGGAATCCATACTACTGGCATTAATAACAAGTTAGTTGCCAATGTTTCTTATAAGAAGCACACTTTATCGAACCAAAATAAAATCACAACAAAAATTTAATTCGGTAAATGTGGTAAATATAAGTTTGAGCTTCATTTAAAATTGATACTTGCCTTTTATTTGTACCCTTTACTGAAAATGAATTCAAAATTTAATTGTTTGTATCCAAGCATTTACTAAGTGCCTCCTTTAGGTTAATGTTGTGAATGACACTGAGGTAATCACCTCCACAGTTACACTGAGGGACGTGAAGGCAAGAAGATTCACCTTGCCACTGCCACAAGAAGTTTGTGAATATTTGCACTAAAAAATGGTAATCAGAGCATCCTGAGATTCCAAACAATGTCTGGACTATCTGGGTATGCATTAAGAAAATATAACATTGAATGTGAACCAGATTCATAAGTAGAACTGAACTGTCTCAGCCTCTGACATTGATCATGGCAATCGGCCTATGCGCCAGACAAGACACCATTGAGTGTGAACCATCTCTTGTTATGAATAAATTCTGCAAACCATGACGCTATTTGGACTCGCTATTCTATTCAAGATTGAAATTTAATATAAAACCTTCTCAATGCTTTCAATTCTGCCATTTTAAGCAGAGCATTAAAATTCATTATCCCCCTAACCATGCCACTCAAACTTGTGTGCAATCGGTCGGCATAATTCATTTCTGTGAAATAAATTGGCTTATTACACTGAACCCATGTTTGCCATGTTGTGTACAGTTAAAGATATGGTCATATATTTTTTGAATTGTTGCTAAGATCAGACAATGATGGAAGAACAAGATACATCAATTAAATGGGCTTCTTGGTTCAAAACACACAATTTCTGGGTAATAGAATTGAAAAGGAAATGTAATTGTAAATATTGCATTTTTATGGGATTGTTCAACGCTTTTTTGTTAACTAACAAGTCCACCAAACAGCTAACATGTCATTTACAACTTGCTTTGCATCTCATTTTACATGCAGAGAACACAGAGCCAGAGATAAGACTATCAGATGTACACCCTTTTTTTATAAGGAACTTACCTTGAGGCCTAGTTCCAAATCCCTTATTTGTAGACCTCAAATCATCAAATTGTAGAACCAAAGGTTCCTTAAAAGCTCCTTAATTTGTCTTGACTACAATAAGCCTTAAAACTTAATAGAGAGAGGGGTGAGACAGCATATGCAGAAACTACTCAATGAAGCACTTGACAAACAAATAGCAAACAATCTATGCGAGTATTGGCTGCAAATGAATGGAACTGGCTTTTTAGTTCTTGATGCTTGCAGTTATAAAAATTTTTTAAATCAAAAAGTTCCTTAGGGATTTTGTTTTTAGTAGTATCAGTTCTTTAAATATTTCGGCCTTCTACATGTAGGTTTCTTATAAAGTGGTTCCTTATAAAAAGAACCGTGTATGACTTACTTTGATTAACCTAACCGTCTCCACAAGGTAACAATGATTTTTTGTCAATTGCCTAGCGATTGTGGCTTCTAGATCTGCAGACAGTGATTTTTCTGTTCATTTTGTAGAAGAAGAAAACGGAAATGGGATGTGCCTGCAGAACATGTTGAAAAGAATGAGAACAGTAATGCGTCTGAAGCTGCAATGAAAGCCAGAGAAAGAGCTGCAGAGCTTGCTGCTAAGCTTGCAGCCAAGGGGAAGCTAGCACAGGGGGTAGCCCCACCTCCTGTTATTGTAAGTCATTGCCTTGACATTATTTTTTACAAACCTGATTTATTTTTCAGGTCTGTCTATAATTCATAGCAAAAAGTGACAAAGGACAGGTACACGGTTACCTGGCACAAACAAATGATAGCAGCCAAAATCAGACAAAGGAATGTCAGTTTAACATTGAAAAAAATAATTTGTTGTTTTTGCATCTAGTTAACCTGCACAAACAAGGACCTAAAAAGTGTCATGTTAGTTTCAGTTTTCTTTTTTGTGGTTGGTATGTGGTGTCTCTAGTCAACAAAATTTGCCCAAAGAATTCAGATTTATAAATTGATAAAAACATTTTTATTTAAAGGCGCCAGCTGCTGTTAAGCCTCCTATGGGGACCACTGGACCTCCAATTCCTAGTATTTCTGCAAAACTTGAAATAGCTGATCCAGAAATTGTCAAACTTGAAGGTGGAGGTTACATGGTTGAGCTTGAAATAAATGATCTTCCTGCCCGGTTAGTTTTCTTATTTGTATTGAAGTTTGATTTTATTTTGATTATCATCCCCGCACATTAATTATTTACACACTTTGTACCTGGCTCACTCAGTACAAAATATATGCAAAAATAAAGATCCTTGACATGACCTTAAATTTATTGAATACTCATTAGATATATATTTATGTAGAAATCTAGAAACCAACTTTGTTAATCGTTTTTAATAGATAACACACCCTTTACTCTTGTATACCTGTAAATTTTAGTTTAAATTTTTGTGAAAATTACTATATTAGCAGTTTTGTGGCAACCTTATGCTCATTTTATTGATCCAAAATCTCAAGGGCTATTCAAAATTTCTATTCTAATTTTTCAAATTATTTTGCACACTCAAGGGCTAATCTTACCAAGAAAAATATCCAAGAAAAGGTTTGTACATCATATGTTCTTCAGATATGCTGCTGTAACTTTAAATAAATTTTGACAAGAAATATTGACCTCTTTGTTATAAAAATAATGGGTGACAAAACCTTTAGATAATTAGTTTGTAATATATACTTATGGTATCATATATCAGGTTTTTGCACAGTTATTTAGATTCAAAAACATCAAGTCTGCCTAGTAATTTCCTATTCTAGTAAACAAATTTCTCATTTTACATGAAATGTTCACTCTAGTGTATTTTCTACCAGTATAGATATGAAAATATTTTCTATAGATTTCCCAGCAAAGTGGGGCTGCCATATCAACAAAAGGCCGTTTTGTTCCCCCAGAAGGAAAGGATCTTTTGAAAGGGTATGATAATTAACATTTATTTGATCTTTTGCTTTGTTTATTTTTTGTCTTTTTTTAGGATATTTGTCAGTTAAAAGGCCAAGATATTAAAAATAGCTCAATTGTTTTTGGTTGATAAAAATAGCTTTTTACCCAAATATTTAAAAGAATTATTGGTTTCTTTTTTAGGGAAAGACCATTGTATTTAAATATACAAGCTCCAATTCAAGCAAAAGTACAAGGTAATATTTTTAATATACTCAGCTTGAAGTACACACTAGGGTGCTTAAAGAAATGGCAATTTTGCTTTGCAAATTTAGCTTTGCTTGAGAAAACTTTTAATAAAAACTTACCCTTTTATCCTTAGCTGTTTTTAAAATTGTTTTTTCTTAGTAAAGAATTTACATTTGATTCATAACAGCATTTTTATTCCATTCAGAAGGAGGATTAATAAACTATGATGGACATCATATTGCTATCAAAATTTTGAATAGAGACAGTCTGCTATTGAAGCCATTACAAAACCTTTAACAAAATCACATGTATATTTAAAACTGTATATTAGCCTGTTTTTATAGCTTAAGAAAAACTTTGATTCCAGTACCTATTTCCCCTGACCAAAATACAGTATGCTATTCTTTCTTCATTTTATTATCTCTTCGTAGTTGCTATTCACATGATAAAGGATGCTATAAGGAATTTTGGAAAGCCAGAGCAACCTGGGATTTCATTTAATGGAGCCCAAAACCAAAACGTGAGTCAAAAGACCAAAATGTGTTTTATAAATTTTCATACTGCTTGTTAACATTGTTTTTTTATTTTTGTTTCTAAAATGAAAAGGTTTTTTAAATTTGTCTCTGTTTGCAGCTGAATTATGTGCAAGATAAAGTTTTTGTTGGATTAGATTTTGCACCTCCAGATTACAACATTAAAGAAAAACTTGAAGGACAGAATGTAAGTTATAGTTACAAATTGTCATAAAATTTTGATTTTTAAAATATTAATGACAGAAAAATGGTAAATTAAGATAATTTTCTGAAGTCTGTTCCAAATAACTTGTTTACCAGACATATATATATCAAAAATAATTTTAGGCCAAAGTTTTTTATAAAGAAGGCAGTTTTTCATCTGGTGGAATAATAACCAAAAAAGAAAAGTCAGCTTTTTACTGAAAGTTTTGAAAAAGTTTTTGTTTTATGTTGTTCCTTTTTCAACTATGCTGATAAGTGTTTTATGTCATTCCTTTTTCAGGGGTCATATCTACAACACATAATGACACAAACTGGTGCAAAGGTAAGATACTGAGATTTTGAAATTTATTTCTTCTTCTGATGTTACATTCTGATGGCTCTTAGCAAAGATCTCAAAATTGAAGTCAACCATTAAGAAGAAAACTGGTGATGAACCTAAAAGATTTTTGTACTTTGTTATGAAACCTGTTGCAAATTTGTGTGAAGATAGGGAAGGTTGATATTTTTTGAAACATTGCACATAGACTAATATTGATGAGTAATATAGAATTGAAAGTCACACACCAAATCTATTTTTGACTTTATTGTTTGTTCTTCAAGGTTCATCTCCGAGGTAAAGGGTCAGGATTTGTGGAGCCAAATTCTGGCAGAGAGTCTTTTGAAGCCTTGCACATTTATATAAGGTAGCACTATCAAAAGCCATAGATCTTTTAGAACTCTCATGCTAACAGAGTTTCAATTTAATGAGAAACCACAAGCAGTTGCAGTTATCTTGAAAAATGCCTTGATGTTTTGCTTTACAATGTGAGCTGTATGATTGTTTTAAGGAATGTTGTTTTAGCCAAGGATACTAATTCAAAAACTTCACTGAACACACATGAAGCTGTTATTTGTTCTAACAGCTTACAAGTTGCATTTTGAAATGCCTAACAGCTTTACAGGCTGCATTCATGTGAAAAGTTTCATGTGAATTAGGACTTACTTTTTAACGTTTTAGTCACCCAAGACCAGAAGGACTTCAAGCAGCAAAGTCATTGTGTGAGAGTCTTCTCCAAACTGTAAGTTTCTTTCTACCAATTTAAAACAAAAATAACAATAATTGAATATTTGTTCAGTTTTATGATTCCTTCTCATTTTTTAAACTTCAGTTTCAGCTTGTTTCCAGTTTTGTGTTTCATTATTATCCTTGTCCTGCTATTTGTGCCCAACTTCCGTGTCAAGTAAACTTTATGTTTAAGTAAATCTTATCTTGTCCCGTGGGAGGTATGCTTCTTATAGGTGCACCCTTCTATCACCCACCAATGTTTATCCCCACAAAGATTCTTTGAAAATTGACAATCATATTCTCAAATTCACAGTACTCAACACAGTAAGCGTAATATTGCCCTAGAAAGATTAAAACTTGAGATTGAAAATAAAGCAAAATTATGACGGTTTTTAAAATTAAAAGAGAAATTATACTTAGTGTTATTTTCTCAGGTTCATAGTGATTTTAAAAATTGGAATCAAACAAAGCGCCAAAGACCGGTTTATCCCACCCAAGGCAAGTCTCGTTGTAACTCTTTCTGGCCTTTGAAATGTTACATCTATTCTCGTGTAAGACATTATTGTCATCTATTCTCGTGTAAGACATTTTTAAGCAATTCTGTTCAACTTAATCGTCCAACCTCTTTTTATATTGACAATAAGAAGTTTTAAGCTATCTTCCGTTTTAATGAAGAAAGGTGCGATGTAGACCGACCACATAGCTTTAAAACGTGAGACAACAATTGACAAATATTTTCTACCCTCTCGTACCGTCCTTTATCTTAAATGTTTTTCTGCGATTATATGTTTGTCGCATAGCTGAAAGACACCGTTTTATATTTTGTCCTGTTAACCGTTAGCAGTAAATGTAGTATTGCTGTTAAACTGCTTGAACTCTTTGTTTAATTCTTTGCATAGGCTATGGTCAGCCAGCATATCAACCCCCACCTACGATGTACCCTGGTTTTAACGTCCCTCTACCAAATTACGACCAGAGGGGAAATATTGCACCGCCAAATGTGGCACCGGTGAGTTAAGAAGCTACTTTTGTTTTTTCATGTTTTTGCTCGAGCTCCTCTTTTGAAACCTTCCATTTATAAGTTAATTCTTTAAGTATGTTTTCCATGTATGTAACGAGATGTCCAACACTCTTGATTTATATTTGAACAACGAGGCTCGATTTGACAAAACAACAATAAAAAAACACGTGAAAAACACGCCCAGCCTCAGATGAAAAATGCGAAGGAGAAACCACGTGCTACCAATCACCCGCGCTTCTGAAATGCCATGCAAAACTATTGTCTAGTGGTCATAGAAACAATTCATAGAATATTAATGTAGAGGAATCAGTGTTGAAATAAGAACAACATTAAGAACACCAGAGCCTCAATTTATCAAAAAATAGAACACCGAACCTCAGCAAAATTTACATGGTTCTTAAAATAAGAGTTTAACTTTTCTAATAAATATACAAGTACCTTCTTCACATTTGTCCAGCTATTACATGCAGACTTCTTATTTAAGCCCATTTTAAAATCATACGACAGCTTAGACCAGCCAATTTAAGAAAGCCTGTTAAGGCTTGACATATTTTCTATGGCCTCCTTGCATTTTATACGCCCTTTTATCAAGTAGCAAGAAACTTTAATGACAGAATTTTGTTGCCAGTCTACAGCATATTCGCAAGCACCCCCACCTAGTTCATATCAACCCCCTGACTGTGAGTATCTATTTTCCTTCAATTTTGATTTTTAACTGATTTCTCTATTACCATTAACATATATGTAATGGTCACTAACAAGGTCCTTTGGACTAGCTGTTACCTCATTTATACTCATCTTGAACTTCGCGTCAAATTGAAAGCAAGTAACTATCTGGGCACACTTTATTCAAAATTTTAATCATCAACTTTGTACACTCAAAGAACCATCTAAATCCAATGTACTAGGGATCGTATACGGAACTCCACTTTCCCTACCTTTTCCATAGATGCTCAGCCTACGCAGTTCCCAAGGGAACCTCCGCCTTACCACCCTGCGTATCAACCACCATACTCACAATCGCAACCAAAAGAGTGCATAACAGGATACCCTAACGTGTCACAAAGTGCCTTTTCGATGCCTCCAGGATACCTACCAGGAACTATTCCTCCGCATATCCCAATACCTCCTCAGCCATCTCAAGTGAGTGCATCACAGTTCATTTCATATTCTGTATTATTTTGCATTTAAGTCTTCATTTGTATTCTTTCAAGCATCCACGTCTCGTTTTATCACTCTATATATACTTTGGTAGTCACCCCTTGTTTAGTCTCTTCTTAGACCTGAGAATTAATATTTTCAATGAATGGCTGTTAATCTTTTTTTACCCTAATTACCTGTATTAATGACCCTTATTGTTTATTCAACTTATGCTTGTAGCACTTTAACTTATCTAGATGTTTTTATTTTTTTTAATTCAACAGCCTTCGCACCAAGAAAGCCAGAAAAGGTGAGACTAAGGAAAGTTAGATTTTCAATATTTCTGTGCTGTAGAGAAAATGATCTCAATCACTGCTATCGATTTACAACGAAGGAGGAACAGGAAGAATCGTCAGGGGCTTTTTGCACTGCCCTTTAACCATTATTTGAAGGAATGAAAGATTACTTGAAAATACTGAACACCCGCCTGGGTATGAAATGGAATGGCACTTTAGCCTTGTACTGGATGTTACTGTTCCAGATCCAGTAGGGAGTGTTTTATCATTACTTTGGCCATTTGTTCCTTTGTTCAGATTCATACGTAAGGTTTTAATGACCTGTTTTCCCTTCTTCGTAGTGATCAAGAAGCCACCGCACCCAGACCCGAACGGCGAAGGCGTCGATTCACTGAGGTAGGCATTCTCATATCTCCAGCAATGAACGTATATAATGCGATTACTATATATGCAATTATTAGTTATGCGAAGCAAAAGACGAACCACGAAACAGAGCACAGCACGAAACAGAAGACATATTAAAACGAACGCAGAATACGATGCTAAGAAGCCAGTGGCATCTGCAATGTTAAATGGCTACTTCATTTTCGTTTTTGAGCATCTGAATCTAACAGAAGTTTTAGAGAATGATGGTGTTTTTCGCAGCCCTTTGTAAAAAGTGTTGGAATACTAAAACATTTTTGGACAAGCTATAGCCTTAAAGGAGACTTGTTTTGCGCTCTAAGATGTTTGTCTTATGTTGGCAATAGAAAGAAAAGACGGTGAACGACATAGTTCTTTTACCATTATGGACAAAAGACATAGAATGGGTTTATAGGTTTTCAGAAATCTCATATGCCTGTCTATGCCATTTTGCAATCTCATCCGTAGTATACAGAGTATGTAAAACGATTTAACTTCCGAGTAATTTTGTTTGAGCTACAGCAGATTCCCGAGGCACTAATTTGTTTTCTTTTCTTCCCCTCTTCCTCTTGACTTGTATTTTCATGAGCAGGATCCAGAACTGATTCGTAAAGCTTCACAATCGAAAGAAACCACGGTGAGTACCTCTCCTATTTTCATTTGTGATCTGATAGCTCACCTAATCAGTAATATTTTACCACACTTTGTTGCCTAGCATAAAGAGCTCACCTTTATTGGCAAATTTTCTGCCAAGTACATATAATTTTGAAATTATCAGTTTCTCTAAGGAATGTTTCGTTTCCTAGTTTAAAAAAGTGTAAATTTTGTCACTGGCTACCTTTATAAAGAGAATTTTCAATTGAGAATTCGCCTTTTTTATCTTTTTAATAGCACTCGAAAGTTTTTACTTTACATTCTATTAGATATCACGTAGCAGAGCATACCTTTTATGCTATAACGCTTCAGCCAATTGGTTTTTGACAATTCCCGTCAGGTTTTACTTAGACTAAGAACGGAAAATTTTACTTCGCTCCTGGCGAATTTTTACTGTAATTTCAAATGTTAGGGATTTCTGACTCTGTAATTGAGTAAAATAAAAAACTCCTCATTACCTTATGAATATACCAAAAGCAGTGAAGATTGGCTTATAGTAAACACATTCAATTGTGGTTTCTAGGCTTTCCTGTTGTTGTGTTTTTTTTATCGCCTGATCTTTGCAGTGCATTTTTAATTTTCAAATTTGTCTAACGCGTGCTATTTTTCCTTTCAACAAATGTTATACTTAACAAAATTTTGAATTCTCATTTCCTTTTTTTATCTTGATTATTTTTCTTGACTTTAGATATTTTTAATCTTTCATATTGATTAATTTCATTCTTCTTTCTTTACCTTCTAATGACATAGGAAAGCACTTCTCACAGTTTAGATTCAAATACCAAATTTAGGTCATCTGGAGAACCGACCGAAGATGCGTCGCGTAATCGCAGTCGTGATTCGCACTCGCAACTTTCTAGTGACGTGCCAAGAGTTTCGAGGTCGTCGCATTCTCGAGACAGCGCACTTTTGGAAAGTGGTATGCATTTAGTTTAGCAAACTTCTTTTCTGCAATTCTTTGTTGAATCAGGGGATGTATTGCATGATTTTCCAGTGGCGATCATCTGTTTCCTTTAATATTTCGTCTCTAAATTGATGAATTGGATAAAATTCTAATGATCTGTACTTCATATGAAAATGCAAAGTCTTATATACCCATAGGTATAAGATTGAGCTCAAACCTGCTCAAAGACCCGAAAGACTAAGCAACAGTTCGAGCCATGTTAAGTGTATCAAAGACCCAAGAAACGACAACATGTGCCTTTTTCATATTGCAAAAAGGGACGGGCCCCCCTCGCTTATGTACACGACCGTATCTTTTTAAACCCACTTCAGCTATATTGGCAGGGGGTTGATGAATCTTTAACTCCGCTTTTTTCATTGTATAGTCATTGAGCAACACTTGAACAACGACCCTCCGTGATTTTTATTGCATTCTTCCAAACCCATAATAATTTCATAACTTAATTGAATGTTTTGATTAACTCAAACGGTGTATTTCCTGGAGACAGCTTTAGAGAATTTCTAAAGAGAAGGTTTCTGAAATTCTCGTACTTGTGTACTCTCAGATTGGCCATATCTAGTAAATTTTATCAATTGCCTTCCAATTGTTACACTATCTTGAATTTCAACTGATTTTTGCTAAATAAACTCTATCTTATTCGCCATTTGATATTTCACCATATGATGTGTTATCCATCTCTTTTGTTTCAGAAAAATCATTCATAAAGCCAACTACTCTGTCGTCGGTTGCAGCAAAGAAGACGAAGAAGAAAACCTCATCAAAGACGGTATTATCGTCGTTAATCGCTTATGACGACTCAGACTCTGATAGTGAAGAATAAACTTTAGAGAAAGGGAAAGATTTCAATATTTTAGTTAAAGTAGCGTTAAAACGTAAATAACGTGCCTATGGTAGTATGTATATGACTGCATATGCCTGTTAAAACTTTATGTAAATGTAACTGAAACGGGTACAAATACTAATTCCTTCCTCTGGACGTGTCTGCATTCAAGGTTTTAAAGTTTTTCTAGCAATGGCGATCTATTACATAAGGCCATGTGACGCTTTAATCACTTTTCGCAATTGTTAAGCTATTTAGTTGCTGCCAAATGTTCTGCACTTCTACGTCACGCGGAAGCCAATGCTTGTTCGCTACAATGTGATTGTCATAAGGCTTGTCGTAAGTCCTATACTCTTGCGCTCGGGCGACTGTTTCTGCGTGTGTCAACGTGTGCCAATGACTGCTTCAGCATTATGGGTGCAATAAAACATACATTGCTTTAGTTAAAAGGTTTAACTGTGTCACATCTCACCAACAAAACTTCTTCCATAAGCGGACTTAAACTTAATGTTATGAGTTTTCTAGAAAAACGTAATTGTATTGTTTCAACTGTAATATTTACTGTAAATCGTTCACCTTGATATCCAAATGACAACACCAGTGACTTAGATCTATTTTCATTAGCCTATATTCAAGTAAGCTGATCCCTCTTGATTGTAAACCTTTGATTTCGTTTCTGTACTTCAAGGTTTCATTCAATTTTTTATGTAAAGAAAATGCTGTTGTAAGTAAGCATGCTTGGATGATATTATGCTGCTCGTAGTCACAAATGATCCAGTTACTCTCAAATTTAAATCCGTGGCGTTTTCATGGAAGATTGCTATCTTTTGTATGCATAGTATCTAGCGTGTGAGTAAAACTGTAGAGCAAAAACGCCTTAAAAAGATACATTTTTGTACTGTTCATTTTTGGATACGATCTTTCACCTGATCTGTGTACTATCTTCGTCGATTCCCTGCTTGACTTATATCCTCGTTCTGCAACGCCAGGATCTATTGGGTTTATCATTCATGCCAAGGTGCAAAGCCCGAGAACTGCTTTTTGAATTTCTTTAGTCTAACTGTCTAGCTCGCTTGAAGTAAAGACTAAATTTCCCTTAAACCTAACCATAGAATCCTTGGAAGAAACAAACGAAAAACAGATCTAGGCTACCGGCTCACAAATCCTCCCATTCAATCACTCGAGTCAGGGTCTCTAAATATCTAAATGCGAACATCAAAATGATATTAAAATGAACAAATGAGTCACTATCACTTCATGTAGAATTCCAGTATTCTACTCTGAAGCGATAAATTTGTGACTAATAATACATCATATTGATCCACAGTGAGTCATATATCAGCATCCATTAGCTACAGTGCGTTCTGAGTACGCACATAGGCCATGAAACACGCCACCTGTCTTTTGATTTAAACATTATGAAGCATGTCTATGGATTACACAGGTAAGACCACTGTACAACTGGTAGACGACGCGACAGACATCTGAGGCTTGTAACATGCTCAAAGCCTGTTTCACAACTTGATGCACAAATATAAGATATGCTTCGTCAATTCTTCTGCAAACTTTTCATATTGGTTTTCTACTTTATAAAGTTGGCTCGAACTCAGGTAAACCCATTATCCTATTTCGTCATTTTGTTCTAGAAGCAGCATACTAAGCCTATACACATGTCCGGCAATCCCAGATTGCTCATATTTAGGCCATCATCATTAAGCCTAAAACATTTGAAGACATTTTCAAGCTTTGTATTTTACAACTAAACGAAAACGGTAACAGAATCACCAACTCTTAACCATTAGGCTTTTTGAATTGTGCTTCCATGAATTTGTGTGCAATCAAAGTATAAATTTTGCTGACAGCTTCAGCTATCCATAGATTGCTTGAATTCCTTCGATGCACCAACTTTTGGATGTAGCAGCTCTTTTGCTGATTCAGCTTTTCTGAATGCCAGCTTTCCAGTTAAATGACACAGCTTAATTTGTGTTTGAATATACCAGTGGGGTAGATGTTCGCTGCGTACAAAAATTGTCCACATGTAGGTTGCTTTTCCCTGGAGTAACTGAGATGAACTAGGGACCTTATCGATGAATTCTAGCATCTGAGAGGGTTCGACTACACCTAAAAAGAAATGAATTTATAGCATTAATGCTTAATTTATGCGAAAAATTGCCTTTTAATGGTGCTAGCTACTGGCTAAATCCCTTTAAACATCAACACAGCGATTTTTCTCATATGATATCATTATTCTGTTTTGCAGCAAGTAGGATTCAATGCGGCCATCGGTAGCAGCATTTCTGCAAATGTGACTTGTGGGTCTCCACCAGAGCAGTACTTCAATACGAGACAGGGGTATGTGAACCCTCGAGATAGAGTTTTGTCCTTGTGCAATGCCAGCGACCCAAAATATGCACACCCTGCTAGCAACATGATTGACGGGCAGTCTAGCACATTCTGGCAGGGAGCTAACAATGTCAGCGATGCATTTATTACTATCAAATTCAAAGAGGTGAACTTTCATGTTATTGTTAGTTTAGTAGTTTATTTCAATGCATTACCTTAATTTTACTTCATTTAAAGACAAACCTTGCTTATAATTGTCAGAGGTATGGATGTATGCATTTATTTTCTTCTATCAGTTTCGTTCTGTTTGTAGGCCATTCTTGTAAAAACTCTAAAGTTCACATTTGGAGATTATCGCCGTCCAGGCCAAATCGCCATCTACAAGTCGACTGATTATGGAAGGACATTCTCTCCGTGGCATTATCAAGTCACATCGTTGGCTGAATGCACTTCAGTGTTCAAAATACCGACGAACCTGATATTTCAGTATCCAGACAGGGTTAATCGGACAATCTGTGTTGAGTACCAAAACTATCCCTTGGAGTATGATGAAGTGGTTGGTATTAATGCTTAACACGCCAGTTGTACAATGTTTATTCTATCCAAAAACCCTCTGGTATTATGCACATGGTACAAGTCTTATCTCTAAGATCGCCAGTGAGCAGTGCAGTGAGGTACCATAATATATTTCAAGGCAATGTAAATGATATCAACACCGAGAGGTGATGTGAATGCTGCAAAAACCGTTTAAATTCAGAAGTTAAATTCATTAATTGACCTTTTTGGTACAAAAACGCTTGTCATTTGTTCCTTTATTTCCCAAGCTGTAGCTGTTCAAAGATGTTATTCTCAAATTTATCTTTGCCTCAATTTATCTCAAATTATATTTGTGGATTTCTCTCCTTCTCAGGTGACTGTCCAGTTGAACGGAGACCAGAGAGGCGATGGCTCAGCTAATTTCGACTCACCAGAACTCAGGGTACAGTTAATTCATGTCGGCAGTGTCTTTCATGTGCTTCAGAAACATATTAAGTTTTTGCATTGAATCAGCGTTGCATCTAAAGTTGCAAAATACTGAAACATCCTGTCACTTATATCTCCATTTACAGTAACCCGCAACAACATAACAAAAATTCCTCTCTTTTTATTTCATTGCAATATAACTTTTCAGAGGATCCGCATAATCTCGACCATGAATATGGAAGATCCATTAAAATCATACCTACTAAGATCGTATCCGTGTTGGTTCGGGTGGTCATGGTACCAATGATGAATCAATGACGAATATCAGTCATCTGTTTAAGTTCTTAATTGTTTCTTTCAGAGATGGTTGAATGTGACGGATATACATATCTGGTTTACTGGCTTGTTTAGAAAGTTTGATTTCATTGATACAAGATGGGTATGTCATTGATTCTTAAAGTTTTTGGTTTGAAGAGAATTCAACCATTTACAGGCTTTCAATTTTTCAATTGTCAGTCGTTAATTATCTTGGTTGAGCTGTGAATTCTTTTCCATTCGAAAATGCATCAGGTATATCATTCAAGTCAGTATAATCAGAATAAAGAAACGTTCTTTTGTTGCATGATCCCTTTATAGTTTCTACCAACGTCACCAGAATGCCGTGTAGCTAAAGATTTTCTGTGGAAATTCTCTCATCACTTGTTGAAGTAAAGAAGAACCTCTCTCACTTCAAGTGTGGGTTTACCAAAATATCAACTTGAAAACATTGAAACTTTAAAGATAGTATTCACAACATTGTTTTAACGGAGAGGGTTTACCTAAAGGGGGATGCTCTAGTATGTCGAAGATAGGGGTGTTTCGGTCGGGCAATGAAATTCTAACCCAAAAAATTATTTTTCTGTAACTTACATACCCAATTGCGTTATTTGGTTTCACGACTTTTGCTGTTATTGACTTCATTTGATAATCAAATTTTCCAGAAATGCCTATCAAAAAAATTTTTCTCCCCAAAATCTAAACCCCGAAAAGTATTCTGCGCATTTCTATCCTTATTATACAAGTACCCCCTGAGGAGGGGAGAAGGCGCTAATGGGTATTTTCAAAGGTTTAGCATAGGGTAACTCACGTTTTATCTTTCATTGGAACCTTTTGTTGATGCAGCATCATTACGTGGTTCGTGAAATTGACGTCATGAGCGTGTGTGACTGCTCTGGCCATGGAAATGGTTTGGTTTGTCCTGTTAATTCCAAAACCGGTTTACGAGAATGCCAGTGCTTGGGCAATACATGCGGTAATAAATGCGACAGGTGCTGTCCCGGATTCAATCAGTACCCGTGGAAACCATCCACTGCGCCGTCCTGGGGATTTGATCCAGCATCAGCCTGTGAACGTAAGTTTATCTGATAGTCAACAATAGGTAGGAAAATTCTCTTTGGAGCCATACAGCTTTATCATGCTTTTTTATGGAACATGTCACTGGATTGTATTTCTAGTCAAGTGAAATTATGACTTGTTTTTTAACATAATTATGTTATTTGTCTCTTGTTTAATAGCGCACATTTTTTTATTTATTGCTATTTCATTTTTGTCGAAAGAATCCTGTTTCACCATCATACATCTTTAAAGGAGTGCAAATTTATACGCCTAACTTGATTGATTGTTTTCGTATCTTTTAGAATGCAACTGTTTTGATCATAGCAGCGAGTGTGTTTACAACGCTACCGTAGATTCCTTGCGCCTCAGTCTGGACATTAAAGGGAACTATTCCGGTGGAGGTGTATGTGTTTTATGCAAGGTATGCCAACCGTTTCGACAATCATTTCGACAATTGTTTTGAAATCAGCCAAGCCTGAATCGGAAGGCACACATTAGAGATTTAGGTGTCCATTATTTTCCTGTATCCTTACCCATAACTAACATGCCGCTTTGTTTATGAAAACCTTGCATAAGTTGATGCTTGATTCTTGTTTCTAGGATAACACAGAAGGCATCAATTGTCAGAACTGCCAGAGGTTCTTTTACAGACCAGAAGGAAGAGCAAGGAATCTTACAAATTCTTGCATTGGTTGGTACTTTTCTTAGAACTCGTTTGCCTGATTGCCTGCCAAAGCATTAGCATTTCAGAAAGACAGTCCATTCAGAGCATAAAACGATACACAATTCTCTACAATCCTTGTAATATTTTAATTTGTTGCAAGATAATGTATCATGTATGTTTTATAAAGTGTATTAAACTTTGATTCAATTTTAATGCTGCTTTATTTGATTCAGGTTGCGGATGTTTTGCAAACGGAACCACAAATCAATCTGGTTTTTCATTCCTTGAATGTATAAGAGATGAATCACAGGCATTAAACTTCCCCGGAAAGGTAGGTTATCAGAAATATGGTTTTCAAATGGCAAGAGCTTTGTTTTACACGGAGAAGCAATAATTGTTGTTGGATGCAAGCCCGGTTAAACAAAAAAGAACCTAACAGAAACTATATTCTATGTTTTTACATGCTTCTATAATTCATTCTGTCTAGTTTTGCATAAACATTTGTTTAAACATATAGTGTAAGTGCTGTCTTTTATCGTGATGTGGCTCTATATTATTTCTATTTCTTGCCATTTTTTGCTTCTGTAGTGATTCAAAGAAACGCTTTACTGATTTGATTAAAAATGTGATTGTTGTTATATAAATTGTAATATCATTTCGCTACCAAGCCATCAATTATATGTTTATTCTGTTGCAGCTTTTCTTATTCTTTGTACCTTCTTTTTCTGCAGAAATCAGGGGATTGTTTTTGCAAGCAAAATGTAAATGGCAGGACTTGCAATCAATGCAAAAATGAATACTACAGATTAGAAGGAACAAATCAACAAGGATGTCTTCGTAAGTAATTTAATGCTTTGCATTTTAAACATTAATGTTATCACTTTCTCTTGACATGTTATCGTGTTATTTCAGTTTCTAATAATTTCCAAACCAACTTTGAAAGCGTCATTGTTTAAAGGCTTTTTAATCTTTCTTGTTCTTTAGCCTGCAGTTGCCTTTTGCCTGGGACAGTTAACCGAAATGCCACTTGTAAAAAGGTACTAGATTGATAAAGATTGACATCATTGCATCGTCAGTTCATAGCAAATATTTCTCTATAGTTTATTTCTGCTCGTTTCTAAAGACCCTGATTTCAACCTACTTCTTTATAAGAAACGTTTTGAAACATCCATCATTCTTAAAAACATGCAATATGGTTACTACCATTCACACAGACATTAAATGACTGATGCCGTTCAATACTACTATTGGCTGAAAATAACTTCAAAAGGCTCTTGAGCAACCAGCATGCTTTGCAGTAGCTTTTATTTTACACGAAACCAGATGGGCTGTATGTTATATTTTCATGCAGTAAGATATTAGGCCGGTTTTGAATATATATTTGCAAAGCATGTCGGTTGCGCAAAGGCCGTTAATCACAGCTTGAAAATATTCTTTATTTTGATTTATACCATTAATTTCTTATTGCATATGGACTCTTTATTATACAGCTGTATCCTTAATTGCTTATACGATTCAATTTACCTTTAAGGATTTCAATGGACAGTGCTCCTGCAAAGCTAATGTTCAGCTCAGAGACTGCAGTGAATGCAAGGATGGATTCTATGGTTTGCTTGACTCGGACATTTCCGGATGCAGAGGTATTGGATTTTATCATATTTCATTAATTTACTTTTATTTGACATTCAAATATTCTTCAAATATTCTTAAGACTAGACAGCGGCCTCTCTTCTCATTTTAGAAATTATTCTCATGCAATGAATAATCTGCTAGAAAAGTGAATTATGAAAACCAGCAGATAAGACAAAAGTTAAACTTCAGCAATAATTAGATGGTAGAAATCATCATTCGATATCAGCTTACACCTGTAATTATTGTCAAGAAAGGGCAGTTAGAATCGCTGAGGTATGAAGGAAGTCCCTATATTATCATTTTGGTGCACATTTAGAACCATCCTTAAAATTTTTTTATCTTTACTTGACCAAGATTTAGAATGGTAGCGAAATTCTTTGTTCGTTTCAAGTCCGAGAGAATGTTTAGAAACCCAAAAGAAGTTTTTTTACAACCCCTATGGACTATTACGTTGAAATTCAATTTTTTAGAATGCAGTTGTGATGTCGGTGCTTCTTCAAGTCCCACATGCAATAAGACAACTGGACAATGCCATTGCCGATCATACCTCTTTGGTAGAACATGTTTGAGGTATGAGACCGATTTTTCTGAAATGGCTAAATTTTTCCCCAAACTAATTTTCCTTGATTTCATACCTGAAAAATACCAAGTAGTAGCTCCAGTAGGCTGTTGTATTTTTAAATTTTTTGGCTAGGTTTGAAATTTATCGAAATTTTTTTACTGGGAAATCGACTATCCGAAATTGAGTTGTGGAAAAGTGAGGAAATCTTTGAAAATGTCTTAGTGAAAATGTCTCCCCGACTTAGTTTTCTCTTCGACTCTTCTTTTCAAAATTTTCTTTTCTTCCGATATTAAGCCACTTGTTTTCCATAACGTCCTCATAACATTGCATTTATTCGAGTTATTTTGACCAAAACTACATGTAAAAACATACAAAAAATGATGAAAAAATCTTTTTTCATTAAAATTCTTCTTAATCATTCTTCTTTGTATTCTTCATTGATTTTCAGTTGCCTCGTATTTATATATGTTTCTTAAATTCTTTTGTTCTTAAGCTCAATTATACAGTATCTCGCTGGTTTCATTTTTGTGTTACATCTAGAACTCTTAGCTTATCATAGAACTTTTTCAAACATTAAATATCGCAATCATTTAACAAATAATTTCTCATCCCTAGTGTGTTGAATGGGTACTACTATCCGAGCCTCCATTTTATTTTTGGCTCAAGAAACCTCTTCGTTTCTGCGTCAGTAAGTACTGGTGTCGACTTTTCCTTCGCTTCAAATTGAATTTTAGTGTCCTTGCAATGATTCTTTTTAGTAATAAGATTTAAAAGATTTAGAAGAAACCACTAACTTTTTGCATTAATGACAGTGGGCCAGTATTGGCCTCTTACCGGCAAATTTGTTTTCTCTTGAAATATGCTAGATTTTGAAATGGATTTCAGCTCGCTAAATAGTCCAAGACACACACATAAGTTTGTTACTTATGTTATATTCTTATCCATTTAATCTTTTATTCAAATATTACAAATCAACCATATTTCTATTTACTTTTACTATATAAATATTTTACCTTCACAGGCTTCGCTTTCCACCACCATATCCGTACCAAAGACAACATTATACAGAATTTACGTTGCTTATAGCATGTCAACAAATACCAACATTGTCCTTACGCTTCGACTACAGAAAGGCACATTTATTCTCTCAAATGGGAATTTCCCAACAACATCAACAAGATTTTGTGCTACAGAATGCTTTGCTATGTTTACAGTTTCTGCCACGAACAGTTTCAATCTGGCATTGGGAACATGGAATGTCACTGTTTCGTCGTCCATCTCCCAGTCTCAGCTCAAGATTGTAAGTCCTTTATCTTATTTCCTTTAAGTACCTCTTATAGCAAGTCACAACGGTAGCTCGCTGTATATGTCTAGTTATCGTCAGCTGTGTCGTCTACATTTACATGATCCTCTCAATCCTAGTACATTACTGTTAACTCCATTCATGTTTTTCAACTTCTCGCTCACATTTGTTGTCTTTTTTAAGGAGAGAGTCATTCTTATCCCACAAACATTCTTCACGGCGTCCATTTTGAGCTCCATAAACCGAAGCTGGTTTCAGTCCAACTGCAATGTAACAAACAATGACATGAGGTACGTAAAAATCTTCGTACAATTCATTCAACTTTAAAAACTTCTTTTCCATTGGCTCTTTGATTCACCGGTTGGCTTTCATTTAGATTCAAAATTGCCATATTATTTCCATATATGAAGAAGAATTCGCTTATTTTCAGAATTGGCACAGCAAATGAACAACGTTGCCTATCACATGTGTACAGCTTAACAACGTACTTCAACAATGGTGCCCTGCGTGAGTATTTTCACCTAACGAAATTAGTTATCTATCTCCCTTAAACAAGTATGTTTTTTATGTTAGGAAATTTATGATGTCGATATTTTGCTTTGTTATTTGCGCGAGAGCCCTTTTATTAAATTAACTTGACCACCGTGACATTGCTTACATTATTCCTATTGTTGTAGCGTGTAGTTGCAATGTAATTGGCTCAGTCAATCAGACTTGCCAGACGTATGCCGGACAATGTCACTGCAAACCAGGTGTTGATGGAAGAGATTGCTCCTATTGCCGTCCTGGGTTTTATAACTTTTCTTCATCTGGCTGCACACGTAAGACCTTTTAGGTTATTTTTGCTTACATGGCCATTTATATGACATAAATAGGTAGACAAATCGAGACGATGTTAGATTACGTCTAGCTGAGATCCTATCTCTCAAACTGCAGCTTTCACATATTTTTGTCTACTTACTTGAACTTTACCATAGCCTTCTTTTTGTTTACCAATTGATATCACATTGATTCCTCTTAGATATATCATTGAAAAATTCTGAACTTTCTTATCTATAAGATACATATATATATAGTTTTTAACCTAAGGTTGGATAATCACGAACATCTTTTAATCTTGCCATTCAATGCCATTGATGTTTCTAATGTGTTTGCAGTATGATCAGATTGATAGATTGATGGGTATAATTGATTGATAGATAGGTCAATAATGATTTCGAGTTGCACAGTATCATATTTTAGTCTATTAGATACAATTTTTATTCTTTCTAATGGATAAGGTGAGGAAAAATAAAAATATCATGTAAAATTAGCAAAACTTATTAACAGCTATTTTTGGAAATTCTTATTGCGTAAGTTTAATGTTTTTGGGATCTGGTAAGTGGCTATTCTTACTTTCTAATCCTTATCTTCTTTTAGCATGTAGCTGCAAAGGACTGAATAAGATCTGCGATCCAGTTACTGGGGTTTGTCAATGTCCAAACAACACTATAGGACGAGTTTGTGACCCTTGCGCATGTAACAACAACAGTAACGAATGCTTCAGAAATGGAGACTGTTTCAATTGTGCCTTTAACACTACATCGACACGATGTGAACTTTGCAGGGAAGGGTTCTTTGGAGATGCAAAAACACAAAGTTGTCGTGGTGAGTTGATCTAAGGAGGGATTTTTAAACAATATCTTATACTAGTCCAACAATAAAGATTGTTTAACTTTAGGGTGAATCTGCCTGTTTATAAGGACTTTATCTGCCTGTTTATATGGACTTTTCTTAGGCAGCAAAACACACTTAGAATGGTTTAGTTTGATTATTTGTAGTATTTGTGTTATGGTCTATCCTCGCATAGAGACTTTTTGCGTTGAGCGTGAATTGAATAGCGATTCATTGGAATTGTGTGCAGTTCGAACCCCCTTTTGTTGTTTGGACAATAGAACTTTTGTTGCTGTTTATTCAAATCGAAGCGTGGAGGCGCACCCTGGAGGACTGCAAAACATGTTGTTTGCTTCGTGTTGTTTTCGCTTAATTTTTTTTGGGTATTCGCGATAGGCTGGACGTGATATTTTCGAAATATAATAAAGGACATTAATGGACAATATTTCGAAAACCTGTTTTCTACCAATTTACTTACTTAATTTACCTACGCAAAAGGAAGAGTTTGGAGTACATGAGTTGTTTCTTTCGAGTTGTCCTACCGTCACGACATGTACGTTTACTGAGGGAACGAGCTCCCTCAATTTGTGTTCATGCTGAACTGCTCGTTCATATTCATTTGAAACCTCTCAACAACGTATGATTTGTGAGGGTTAATCCAGAATAATTTTTTACGACTGTGGATCTTGCTCTCAGTAAATAGGCGTTTCTCTGAAAGTTCATTTTGAATGAATGCAGGTAGAATTGATAATTTTGTATACCAATAAGTACATCTTGTAATGTTTAATTTTCCAGCTTGTGGCTGTCATGTCCATGGATCATTGAACCAATCGTGTGACACAATAAGTGGACAATGTAATTGCAAGGCAGGCGTTGTCGGACTCAGATGTGACAGGTGTTTGGTACGTTGATGCATTATTCTGCCCATATAACAGAAGAGACTTTCAGCCATGATCTAGGCTGTATGCAACAGTGAATATAAACAAATGGAGCATTAAGAAACACAATTACAAGCGCGTTTGCTTTTCTATCTTTAAAGACTTCCTTCTCTTTCCATGTGAATATGCAAATGGGTCCAGCTTGTCAATATCGTACATTTCTTCTCCACTACTTCCATTCATTGCTGACATGCCTACTGGAAATGAAGTATATGCTATGTGTTTGTGTAAAAACTGAAATTTTCGATAGAAGATGTTCATACTCAAAAATCAAACATTAACCCTCTGTCATTGATCGTTATCTTTAGCCTGAAATTCGAAAAAACTTTCCTCTCTACAACTTTGTTTAATGAATAACCAAGGCTAACTTTACATTATGTTTTATTTAAATATTACTCTGTTTTCCACAGCCCAACTACTACGGCCTAATTTCAACTGGCTGCTTTCCTTGTAATTGTAACATCTTTGGCTCATCAAGCACTCAATGCGCCTCAAATGGTCAATGTCCCTGCAAATCTCAAGCATCCGGTCTCAGATGTGACGTCTGTATTGCAGGCTACTTTGGACTGCCAGCTAAGTCTTGCCAACGTACGCATTTCCAATGAATAAAATCATCTAGTTAGCCTAAGAGATGTGTATACCTCTCTAAAGATTCTCTGCAAGGTTTATTAATACTTTGCCCATAAACTGAATCGTCAAACATTTTGACATATGCAGTACATTGAGTATTAGCATAATGTTTCCTAATGTCATTTAAACCTTATCAACTGCTGTATCACTGGTTTCAAAATGCAGAAATGTCAACAAAGAAATCTGATTTTACTTATTCATTTCTTTGTCTTGCTCCAAAATATTCAGATTGTATAACTTGCTTCTTTTTCTTTATGCTATCAACAGCATGCAGTTGTGACCCAGTTGGCACAATAACTGGTACTGTTTGCAACAGAGACATAACAGGGCAATGTCAGTGTCGCTCTGGTGTTACAGGAAGAACCTGCAATCAGTGCATGAAACAATACGTGAATTTTTCATCATCTGGGTGTCAACGTACGTTGCCATTTTCACTTTGCATTGCCCATAGTAAACGTGCTCTGAGAGTAGACTCTGTAGGCTTATTGTCAAAAATAAAATTAGTTTCTTAAACCTAATCATATCTATCCACATTTGTTACAAAGCTTATCTTTGTTACGAAGTATTTTCATGTTACAAAATGTTATGATACAGAGTAATGCTGCAAAGTATTCTATTGATATTTATATATTATATGATATCATATGATTTTATGCATTATTTCAACTATCTTTAGAATGATTTCCAGCCTTAATGATTTTAGTTCTCTTTTTCTTAAATCCGCTGTTGCAACATAGAAAATTGAAAAACCTTTAAATATTATCAAAAAATTATATTTAAATTTATGCAGTATTAGAAGTAAGCTTTCAGAAATTTGACATGTTAGTGACTATCCTGTAGCCGGATTTATGCTTCGCTAGGATGCTCATTATGCACACGATTGATGCAAGCCTCAGTAGATGTGATGAAAACAGAACTCGTCACTCTGCAGACAAGGGTGAACGAGACTAAGAATATGTCCCTCCTCCAAGCAGAAATTGTTAGAATGCAAACCAATGTAAACAATTTACAGGTACATCAATACCATATTTTATGTTATCAATTTTTTCCTAATCATTTTAGTCTCTATAATTATGGATAAAATCTTTTTTATGATTATAACTTTCTCCCTTATTACTGTTTTTTTGCTTCAAATGTATACTTTTATCAAAATGTAATACACTGAACTACTAATAATACTAAATCTGCTTAGGCCCCTGTCAATCACTAACTGGCCAATAGATAGGCACGATACAACTAGACTTACTCCATGAGCCTCTGTTTCGCTACTGCCTTACTTGACGGACGCTACAACAGTTGTAGCTCCGTCAAGTGAGGCAGGAGCGAAACAGAGGCTCATGGAGTAAGTTTATGATGCAACTAACACGGCTATTGATTAGCCAATAGCTGATTAGCAGACGGCTTAAACCACTTCAATATCTGTCCACTGCCGTGCAGTTACATCTGAAGCTTCTACTCTTATTAAACAAAGTGCAGCTCAACTTATGTTCATCACTTCGTCAGTTGATCAAATTCAATTCAATTCTATTGCTTTGTAATAAAAGATCAATTTGCTCACGTCACATATTCTAGGTTGCTGCTGTTATGTATGACCAACGAATCACAAAAGGACAATCAGACTACCAGTACTTGACTACTACATTTAGGAATCCGTTAACGCAGAGACACAGCACCCTACTTTCATCTGTAAGTAGAGGATTTGGCCTTTTATTCAGCCGTTGTTTCATGATTGCAATAAAGTCAGGCTTTTAAGAAACCCATTTCACAAAAACAGCCTGATTAGTTCGTCGTGCGAAAATACATAGCTTCAAAATAAAGTTTATATGCCACACTATTAGCAACATGACTTCAACACGATCTCTCAACAATGTTAAATTATACTTTGAAGAAAACGTACGAATAGTTCATGTTTCTCAATTGGTAACCGTGCACTTTTGTAGCAATTTCAAATGAACTGTTTTTATTCTTTAATCTCTAGATGCTCATTTTCATGAAGCAATAATATGTTCACATTTCTAAACTTGAATTTTAAGTAACAGGTAATATAATATCAATGTATACCCTCTTAAAAGAAAATTTGTAATAATCAACCTGCTTTTTGCAAGTAGGCGTAAAAACTCATTGTCTGAGTTTATGATGATACAGTTTTTGAAACGGGCTTTCACTGTAGTCCCTTTTTCAATCTGTAGCAGGCTATTTTTTGTAGTATTTTCTTCTTATTTATTGAAACAATTCATGAATAAAATAGTGAACATGAACTGGATATCATATTTTCAACCTCTCACATTTGTAATGATCTTATGTAGACATGCTCATTTCCGAAAACTCTAACTTTTCCAACTCTCTTTCTCAGATCTCAAGTGTTACGCTTAAAGCAAACAGCCTAACCTCGACTGCAATTTCAAACGTCGAAAGGATGAAAACACTCGAAACAGCAGCGAACAATGCTGCCTCGTTGACACGCAGTAAATATTACCACGATTCTTTTTTCAATTAATCCAAGAGAATAAATCATAGAAAGTCATATTCAGCCTGAATTGCATTTTTTTCACTTCAGAAGTCATTTGTCGAATAATAGATACAGGACATTATGCCCGACAGCTTTAAATATGATACGAAAAGTTGCCTATATGCGTTGGATATTCCTGAAACTACGCCATTTATCGTGTTTTTTCTCGTAGCTGCTGCTTCAACAGCTTCGTCAGTTTTTGGAACACTTGCTAGCATCACAAGTTCCAGCGACACCCTAGTTTCAAACACTTACAAAGAGATCCAGAAAATCTCTCTATCTCTCCATCAGTCTATGCTCACCAGCATCAATGCAGACTTGGCCCTTTCCCAGGCCGCACGCAATAATGTATCTGCAGCTGGGCAAAGTGTAAGTTTGATTTGATGTGATTCTCTTAACTGCAAAGATAGAGATTCTGTAAACTGTCATAAACTATCATTACACTTCTTAAAAAAATATCAGAATTCTTCAACCGCTGACTTTTGCTCTTTCAATGTTTACTCTTTACTTTTCAAAGTTTTGCTCTTTACTTTTAATTACATTAATGAGTTTTTACTTTGAGTTATTCTAACGATTAAAGATCTCTGTCTACAGGCTCAAAGCCAGCAGTCATTCTCAAACTCCATGACGTCCAGCATTCAAGAATCCTCTGCAAATCTGACTTTGTGGAATTCAACGTGGAGACAGCAGCTTCCCCAGTTTCTTTCGGATATTCAGAATGTTTATAGGAGAGGCTCTGATGTTCTGGCAATTATCAATAGCACAAGGGTAGGTTTGTACACCGATGTTTAAGAATACAGTGATCTCAATAAAGCAGTGAAGTGAATGGCAAGATTTCGGGGCTCCTTCCTTTGAGCTCATTGATTTGCAGATCCGTGTCTCTGTTAATTCTCATTTTGTTTTTCTTTAGATTTTGATTCTACAACAAGAGCAATATATGGCAGCCACCCGTGCAAGACAGCTATCAGTGCAAGAAATACTGCAGCAGGCAACATCAGTCTATACACAAAGCCTGGCCGTGTTTGAGGTTTCATAATATTCACATCTTTATTTTTCATCACACATGTATTCAAATGAAAACATTATGTCTGCTTTCAATGATAATTGTAATCGAAAACACGAGATTCGAAAGAAAAAAGCTGCCATGTAATCATTTACTTAGAATTTTGGCACTTTTAAAGCACTGAACATCCGTTTTATTAGGTAATATTTTGTCTCAAAAACAACAAGCTTAATCCTTACGTACAGGTATTGGTATATAATATTGGGACAACATCTTTACGTAGCCAAGATTTAAGGCTTTGAAGATCTTGAATTCGCCCCCAAAATACTTAGCAGTGCAAAATTTGCTAAAAATTTTTTCTTAAAAATAAGGACGCGTGTTTATAAGTTCTGCAGAAAATGATAAGTTTATACAACAAAATTAAGCAATTCCATTGTTAGTGTTTCTTTTACTGAATAGAAATTTGGACTCTCGGGAGCATGCTTTTTCCACAACTTAAATTTCGATGGCCTTTGTGCGTCACATAGCTTTGAGTTGTAGGCATTGAATTTTTGTCGTAATAGCTTTGCAAATGCATTCTTCCTTGTGTCAAATCATGAACTTAACATATCTTGAAGAAGGTTTAAACTTTGCCCTAATCAATCATTAACTATTTCGTCGACACAGCAAACCAAATTTCATACGACAACCGTCTCTGGGACACTGCAGGTTTCCATCCTACAACACCTCGCTTCGACTCTAACTGTCAAGGTACTAAATGGAAGGAATCTAGTTGCTCGTGACTTTCCTTCGCAATTGTCTGACCCGTACTTCACTGTTTCAATTAAACCTGACTGGAATTCAGTTGGATCCAAGCAATCTCGTCATTTGAATGGTAAGGACAAATCTGCATTTTTGTACAAATTATTAAATTATTTCAATGGTTCAAATCTTGCTATGAAAGGATTAAAGAAATTTGTTTGTATTCCCTAGATTATCAAATAATATCTATCATTTGTGTGTTTTCGATCACTGTCATTTGCTGTTAAATCCAGAATTCCTGGCTGACAAAAAAATGGTTGTAGGAGGAATTTTAGAAAATGGAAAGTACTTTTTATTTTTGTTATATTGTTTATTTAGTCAAAATTTAATCATGACCCTATCGTTTGAATGGATCTCTGCGGTCCATTTTTGATTTGACTATTTTTTCTTCTTCTTTACGAAACCTTTATTCTTTGCTTCAGGCACTCTCAACCCTAACTGGTCAATTGAAGATTCATACATGTTTGCGTTGACTCGTGAACAACTTCCGCAAACCAGTGTTGTCATCAACATATTTGACAAAGACACAGGCAACCCAGATGACTTTATGGGTGAAGTTATCATTAGTCTGGCTTCTCTTCCTGGAATTTTAACCGGAACTGTTACCAATACATATTCAGTTAGACCTAAGGTACCATATTATATAATTGTATTACGTTGCAACTTTCTTGTCTTCTGATGAGATTCAGCAAAACTGGCTTTTTTACTAAACAAGCATTTCAATAAAGACTACATGTATTTATATATAGTTCCCTAAAATTTCTAATGCATATTTTGCAATGAATGTTCATCTAGCCATGCCTTTACTCTGTTAATTGAATAGTTGTTAAAGGAAATAATAGTAGAAAATAAACTTATCTAAAACTCTGGTACACCTAGAGATGATTTAAACGGCTTAAGTGGAATAATTACTTTTTGATGTCCATGCCACTTGTTGCATTAATGCGGGTTTCAAAGTCTAGCGCAAGAAAATATATTGCTGAAAACGCATTTTTAATGAAATTGTTCTTCGCAGGGCTATGATCTGATTTGGTCTGGGTCATTCAGTGCAAATCAAAACAGTTTGGTAGACGTTCAGCAGATTCTCTCGTCCCAGATTTCTACGATCGAGACGCTGATGACGCAAGCAGAAGGCGCAGCCACTCAGGCCCAGACCGCTGCCAATAACCTACAGTCTCAGGCCAACCTCCTTTCAACGTAAGCTTTCATTTTTAGTTTTTTGTCTCGACTACCGGTTGTTGAAAACAAGTCAAATTTTTTTCGAACGACCGGTTTGCAAAATATAAGCTTATACCCACTTGCTTTCTTGACTTTCCTTCATTTTGGATTCCACACCACCAAAATCAATATTCACCAACTTCTTTATGAGCTACAACGTTATGTACTGTAGAAACATGACTTCAAAGTGATTTGTTGAAGTGTACCCTTAAGGTAGGAGTCCAACCTATATTATGCGATGGAACATCTTCAGAAGCTTTAAAGATAATGTAATGTTGCATTTAATGATAATTTCTATCCCACTGCTGATCTCTTCCACAGAATAAGAAAAACTGTGTCTTTCCTGTGCTATTCTTTTTGTGTGTCGGTGCAAAAGTTTAGAATGCTAATGACACTCTTTTTGTCTTAGATCATTTACATCTGCTAAAAGTCATGCATCTGCCGCAGTGAATGCCGTGAATACGTATCGTGAAATCTACAGACTGATAAACAGTTCTCTAGAAACAGCAAAGCTGGCAAACAACTCTGCTAACGAAATTCTTAAACTTGTGAGTGACGATACTTCTTAACCATAATACGTCCATTTATTTGAACCTTTTTATATGCTGGATTACAAGGTTTTCTCACTTCAAGAATACTTAGCCTGTCATTGCAGGATAGATATTGCCGATCAATTATCTTTTCTATTTCTCATTATTTTGCAGATGCAAAGTCTCTCACTATCAAACTTGCAGGCCAAGGCAGATGCTTCATTAGCCGAGGCACAGGCCCTGCTCGCAACATCCACTGCAAGAAATGTTTCTGTTCCTTGTGAGTTGTTTTTGATAATCACAGTATGAGGACGTACAACATTTTTCATTTTTTTTGTAATCTTTTGGAATATATGAAAGCCAAATGGTCTTCAGTTCCATGGCTTTAACTACTTCAGCTCAGGCCTGCCGAAAAGCTTTTCTTGGGCTTAAAACAAGAATAAAGATGGAAACCGATGTAATGTCTATAATGATGGGCCCCTCTTGGCTCGGGCGTAATGCAGTCTGCCCCCTTGTCCCATCTGGCAAACACCTTTTTTGATTTCTATTTGTATTGATCTACAGATAATCTCTATTGACCTATGGGGGAACCAACTACTTTTTCTTGTATAAAATATCTAATGGCTGTATTAAAGGTTCTGTGTGCCGAGAGACTGATCCAATTTTTGAGTAACAAGAAATTGACATAACTAAACTATACTACCATCTTTCATAAAAACAGTTTATATTTTTTCCAATCGCCTTTGAGGTGCTTAAATTTAATTACAGATATTGTGTTCTACTTGCGATCCGAGACCCTCCGCAACAGTGATATTACCACTCCACGCTCAATTATTGAAATAGAAGGCGTGGACTACAGCAAGCATCTCAATGGATTCAACATCGTCGTTATTGACAGCAAAACTGGAGTCGTCGAATCTTCAGTAAATTTTCGAGTTGATGTCGATCAAAGTGCAACCATGGCCATGGTTAATTACCTAGATGCCATTCCAGGTGAGACCGCTAATTTTGAAGGCTGCAGCTTTCATACTAATAGCACGCAATAAGAACCAATCGTAAAGAGTAATTGTTGCTAGAGCGAAAATTCACCAGTGTCCTTCTATGTAAGCTTGTGACTCACATTGAGACTCTACAACTACACATAGAGATCAATCTACTGATTAGAGATTATGTCAGACAGATCTAATATGCATAAATTATGTCAAACCTTCGTGAGGTATATGCATGGATTATGCCAAACTTGCTAAAATACATGCTATAAATCTTAACGTTGCGAATAAAATTTTCATGTTTATGCATGGGGTATCCCTTTGAAGAGGTGGCTATCTTATAGAAGAGTGCTTGGCTTGTTATTCTCTCTAGACGACTGTATAGTGGTGGTTGCCTGAACGGTTGCCTTAAATGACAATAGAATCTTCTGAAAACCTGATAAGACCGAATTTGGTGGATAAACCTATATTTTGAAGAAAATTATAGCAGCCTTTTTTATAGACTCAAACTAACTTTTCAACTTGTTTGAAGGACAAAAAATGGTAGCAATGGTTAAACAAAGCCACGCTGAGGTTTCATCCTTGTTCCAAGCGATGTTGATTGGGCAACTCATGTCTCTTGGTGCCATTCCGCCAATTTGGGGTGGAACGTGGGGCTCATATGCTCTGCTTGGGTACAAAAAAACCGCAGGAGAGTCAGTGACATGGGTGAGACAAGTTGGGAAAAATGAAGGGAGAGGAGCCAGTGAAATAAGGCAAACTGTACCACTACGGAGTAAGTATATTATGTCAATTATAAGCTAGCTTTATCAATATTGCTTACTTCTTCTCAACACTAACTTTTTAGAAAGAAAGAAGTGCTGCAAACTCCGAAATTATTGTCTATTTTCGTGAAATTTTTTATTGAGATTTGAGACGAATAAGAGTTTCGTTTAACGAAAGAACCCTTTTTTTATTTGCTGTTTGTGAAAAAAAATTATCTGTTTGCCTACTAAATGTCAAAATTGCTGTCCTTGCAAAAAATGTGAAAAATCAAACGGTTATTTGTTGAAGCTTTTCAGTATCATCAGAGGCTAGAGCCTCTTACTGGTAAAAGGAAATTAGAAATGCAAGCTTTCGTACTTTTAGCTTATTTTGATTTACTGGTCGACATAAAACCTATTGCTTTTAAATAGAAATTGCGCTTGTAAGTATGAGTCTAAAGTGTTTGTGGTTCTCTATTGCCAATTTGAAGGTGCTTTATTCTGTTTATTGCTCATGTATAAAATTCATCCTAGGCACTTTGATGGAGCTCGTGACATCGGCCAACGCGACCTTTCAAAGTGCATGGCCATATTGGCAAGAAGTTAACAGCAGATTCACAACATTGCAATCGGTAACTGAGCGATTCCTGCTTACAGAATCAATAGGTAAGTTAAAAATTGCATATTCTGTTTGTTATAGTTAAACCCTTATAGAATTATTCTTTTTCTTTTAAGAGTATTAAACAGTATCGTTTCTGTTTTGTTTTTGCATCAAACAGTGTTGTGTTGCAATTCTTTACGTCGCTTTTAAATCAGCTTTTCTTTTTCTCGTTTTTGTATTTCCTAAGGTCTGCATAAACTCAAATTCATATCAATGATAATGAAGCTGAAAATTCTATCAATAAGAAACACTTTTGCTTTTTCCTTAGCTACCATCGTTCAGTCATCATTACAAGCCGCAAATATCATCCTGAAACAAGCAACTGACTCTGCATCACGTGTGCTACTCGAATCAATTCAATTCAACAGAACAATTTACGAAATAACATTAAAATATAACCAAATTGTCTTCATGGTTGGAAATGCTTCCTCACTCATATCAAATGCTACTTCTTCGGGTAAACAAGATCTTTCGTCAAATATTGATTGAACTGCTTTATGGACTTTATTATAGTAGCCCAAGTTTTCTAGTTTTCCCTGATTTCACCAGACTTTCAATTTCTTATGCAAAACTACCTCTTTTCAGAAACTTGATTTTTGAATGTAGCATTAATAATTCTGCACATGTGTGAACATCTTTAGTGTAAAAAGAGCTTGAACCACAGTTAGTTCTTGTTTTATTATTGCTTTTATGCATGGTTATCTAGATTCGCCCTAAATCAGCTACTAACTGTCAGAACCCTTTTCTAAGTTGACCAATGAATACTGCTCCTTACATAAGTGCTGCGCATCCATAGAGTTGAAAGCGATCGCTTACTAAATCAATATGAATTATCATTTATGCCTTTGCTATCTCTTAACACAGTTTCTCAGGCTGAAACAAGACTGCCTTTCCAATTCAACAACGTCAACACAGCCAAGACTCTTTCCAGTCAAATCAACTCTACAAGCCAGCGAGTCAGTATTCATTTGTCTTCAATGGAATCGAAGCTAGCCAGACTGAAAACACTGACGTCTCAAATACCCTTTGCAATCCAGTTTGATGTTTCATCTTCGGTTGTGTATCAGCTGCAAGGCTACACAAACAGTATAACCAAAGTTTTTTATAATGATATTGGATTCGATTTCAAAGCAAATGCTAGCAATGGGCTAGTTTTTTATATTATTTCGCAGCCTGGAAGGATGGTGAGTCAATGTTTACGCATATAATCCTCAACAAAAAGATGAAAAATATGAATATTATCTTTGTTTAAAACATAACATATAGAAAATAGCACCAATTTGTCCTTGTTTAAAGACTTTTTATTCATATCTAAAGGTTAAACACTTCTTTGCTTTATGTATGAATTCCAAAAGTTTATTTATAATTCTCGTATTTTTGGCCATAGCCAAAGGTAATCACGCATATCTTTTTTCATTTTACTATTTATTCTACCATCTAAGCCATGTTTCTTCGTTTTGGCCAAATTGTTGCCAAAAAAAATGTTGTATTGATATTTTAGTTTCCATATATGCTAGTATTGATTAGCTTTAATTTCATTATACAGTGCTTGTTTTGCACTCATACAAAACGAGATTAATTGTTTTCAAAATTAATTTCATGTAAATGTTCATTTCCAGCAACATTCAATTGGACTTTATCTTCAAAATGGCTTTGTTCATCTTATATACCACCTTGGATTTGGACAAACTGTGATAAGAAATGACATGAAGATCACGCTAAATCAGTGGTACTATGTCCATGTAGCAAGGTATGCCTGCCCTTATTTGACTTCTATAATGGCGCGTCCTGTTGCTTACTGTTGTGTGTATCTTGATCTGTGATCCATCACCTATTATTTTTATATTTTAATGTGTATTAAAGGAAAAATTGTGGCTGTTGCATGACAGGTTAAATTTGATAGAAACATTTTCTTAAAGCAGGTATAAAACAGGCTCGCTGCTGTGAAATAGGAATCTACTTACCAAAGATTGCCATTGCCAAAGAATTTTTAGCATGTCTTAAAATGTTTGTTCATTCAAAGCCATTTTTAACACTGATTAGTATGCCAGAGTAGGGAAATAATTTTCTTTCTCGTTTCACTTGCAATACAGTCATACCCTGCTTTAATGAACTGATATTTATATGAACTTTTGGGCTACCAATTTGAATTTAAGCAACTTTATTAAGAATCTTATCCGCCCTTATTTCCAAGAAGGGTTCATATTTTAACAATTAAGAATATATTAATTTCTATTCTTTAATGAACATATCATTCGTGCAATATCATTTGCGAAATAAGAAAAAGGATTGAAACCCATTATTACGTGCCAGATAACAGAAAAGAGCATCTAGAAAGCACCAATTTTATAAAGTCACTTCAAACTACTCACTTAATAAGAACCCATAATGGCTAAAGTGAAAAGATATAGGTTCTTTAATGCAGGTTTCTACTAAATGCTCTTCTTTGAGAGAAATTTCTTATTTTTCTTTGTAAATTGTTTCCTTCAACCAAATCTCCTCTTGCTATCTTATCTTATCGTTTAAAAAGTAAAAGTGATATTTTATAAACCAGATATATTTTCTGTTTTAAAGGCAGGGTAAACGAGGAATACTGACAATACGACATTCTTCAGGAGTCGTAAACTCCGCTCAGGGGGAATCAATCTATTCTGGAGATTCTAATACAATGGACTTCACCTCAGCAAGCCGTGTTTACTTGGGAGGTTTTGCCCCCGGCTTTATGGTAAGGCATTCTAGCATCAATACAAAATACAATCCACGACCATTCATTTAATAAAGTGAAAGTTTTTTGCAAGCGTTGTTTTAGCCTAACTTAGCTGTGTATTAGTCTTATTCAGTATATTATTTCAAATATTATAATCGTTTGACAAGTTTGTCATATGGCCTAATTAATAGTTTTAGAGATCTTTCTTCAAATGCTTAAGCAAAAAAACATATTTTACGTTCCGGCTGTTGATTGGAAGTTCATTAAAGCAAAATGGACCTGGAAACAAAATTATTTTAGTAAAGACTCTGCTTTGCCTTTTGGAATGTGAGACGTTATTAAGTTTTCTCTTTGCTATGATGAACGTTTTTGATATTTGAAGTAACGTTTGGGATAGCAGTTCCATGCAAGCATTTGAAAATCTGTATATGTGTCTTATGTTTCGTTTCATTTTGCACAGTCAAGAGCCCACATTCTTTGCTTGATTGTGGGTTATCCTAATTATCCTTTTTTGTTACGTTTCAATGTTTTCGCCATTGTCTCTGAGACTTTAAGTGCCGGAGAATATGTTTGGCAGGACTGATCCAGAGCTTGCGATTAATTGTCTTATTCTCTTTTCGCCAGCCTTTCCAAGTTGCCATATGTTGGTCATCAAAGTTTGTCAGGGTCTCGTTTTTCCTTTCATCTCAGTTGCCATCCTTCAGAATGCTGGAGCATTTATTGCAAAAAATTCAGCAATTGATTTGTTTATGCAACATTATAGAATATACCTTTTTTGATATTTTCCTTACAGACAAGCATTGTGACCCTGTATGGCCAGTACAGTGGCATAATTGACAACCTGGAAATCAACACTATCAAATACAATCTTTGGAGCCAAATTTCGTTTTTTGGCAGCCCTTCGTTTGCTGCAACTCGTTACGGATTTAGGCCAACGATATCCGGTACGTGGATAAGTTTCTTTGGCAATGGTGCATTGCAGCTAAGAACCGGACCTTTGCAAATCAACGCTGACTACTCGGCTGTTCAGTTGGAGTTCCGGACGCTCAGGGATAATGTTGTTGTTCTTGGTGTCACTAATATTGCCGGGTCATTTGTCTATGCACTGTATCTTATTGGAGGCAAATTGCTCTTTCAGTTTTCATCCGGAGTCGGTCAAAATGCTGCATTGATAACTCAAAGGTATATTGACTTTTATTGTAGTTTACAGTTATTCGTTGGTACTTGAATGCTATGTATTTGCCAAAACATTCCCTTCCACATATATTAGTTTAATAATGTTGAAGGCAATACGAAGAATTTTTAATAAATATTTTACTCTGTATTTGACTTTTATAAAAGTCAGGCTAATATATTTGAATATATGAAGATAAAAATAGACCACATGTTGTAGAAGAGCACATAAAATTAGAAGCACCTTTTCAAAAATATTTGGAAAAATTTTCTCTTAACATTAGTTAAGAGGACAATTTTGAAAAAGTAGCCATGATCTTTATATATATGTACACCTTTCTGTATCCATTCGAAAGCACATTTGTATACGTTTCGTAAAATCGCCTTTAGTTCTCGATAAATGTTTCTGCAATAGGAATACCTATGTCGATGGACGGTGGTACAGGGTTACGATGACTCGTACTTCAATTAACGCGACTCTGTCAGCAACACTTGTTGGATCTACAAATGCTGTCCACACAGAAACGGTTAACGTCTTTGCTCAAACTCAACTGCCGCAAGGGTTTCGCATCATTCTTGGAGCACCACCTTCGACTAGGTATGATTTATTTATGCCAATAATGTAGAATTGCATTTTTGTAATTTTTCACATAGATATTAGTTGAAATCTAGCATTTTATGATGTCAGTGATCCCAACAAAGTCATTTAATTAATAACTGACAGCAGATATCTGTTGTTTACATTTAACACAGTGAAACACGAATAAAGGTGATAGACTACCTGAAAAGTTAACTTTTCGTTAACTACTTTGCGTTTCAACTGTTTGCTTTTTTATTCCATTATACCAATAAACTGTATATTTCCTCAAAACTTTATATTTATTCATAACAGTATAAGTCCTGCACATTAAAACTCTAAGATTTTGCGTCCCATGCGAGCTGAGATTTTTTATCCCCAGTCATCCCCATTCTTTGGCACGACATTCAATCCCCTTGCAAATCAAATTTGGGTCACCATGCTTGTGACACATGAGGGTACTTAAACTGCTACTATTCTATCTAGAAAACTAAGGTGGAAGGCATCTTACTTTCTTTGATGTTGAAATCTTTATTTTTCAGTTCACAAGGCTTGCCAACAACTGGTACATACGCAGGGGATATAAGAAATTTCTACGTTAGTTATTACACAACGAAGCAGATGCAATTGAGGAGTTTTAATTCAGCCGACAGGGTATCTGAATCTGGGACAAGCTATTATGGAATGGTCGCTGGCCAGGTAGGCTTGATAAGATCTATTTTAGATGACACAGTTTACAATTTAGAAATTTCAACAATGCACAAATGTATTCAAATGTGATAAGTTTATTCAAATATGACCTTTAGGACAAAGCGAATTTGCATTTAAGACCAAAATTACCATACATCGACATAAAATGATAAAGTAATTTTCTGAATAAACACGCAGGAATAGGAAGCAGTTAAACCAATTCGTTGAGATTATGCAAAATTTTGTTTGTGAATCAGAACCATGCCAATCTGTTCAAAGCAACCATGATATTCTGAGAGTTGCCTATATTTACCAAAGTAATGTAGATTCTTTAAATATTTAGGCATTCTAATATACATTTTCTTGCATAAAAAGAATTTTAAATAATTGTTCGAATAAATTAATGCATAACAAAAATAGTATAAAGAGCTGGTAGATAAATTATCATAGCTGATTCTCACAAAGTATTCATTAAATCAAGGTGGTTGCCGGAGTGCATTTTTATGGCTTCATGTGGTGGAAAAACTTCGGCTCCTACGCAGCGTTGGTGCCAGACTCTGGAATGAATTTGATGACGTCATTGTCGTTGGTCTTCAAAACAACCCAGCTAACCGGTACTATAATGTACAGCAGCGAAAATGTGAGTTTTTAATATTTAATGATAAATTCAAATTGAACTCAACTGCAGTTGTTTATTAATTTTAAATGTTATAGATATGTTTTGGAAGGCTGAAAAAGAGAACTAATTCTGAGGTTAGGCCCTGATTATCACCATTTTATGCTCATAAGAGGTTAGGCCATAAAACGAATTCTAAGGAAACACCAGTGCAGATCCCTTGGCTTATGCATTAAAACCTTCTCGTTACTTATTTTAATTTAATTCACTTAGCTCTATCAAGAAAAACACTCAAATTTTTCCAATGCAAAACTAAAAAGTTTATTTAACAATGAAATACCAATCAAGATTTCTATATCCGACTTGATAGCTAAGCCATATTTTTATTAGAGGTAAACAATTTTGTTTTTTTCAGACTCAGTACCTTCGTAACCAGGGAGCACTTGTTTACTTCTACGTGGCCTTGTTTGGTGGCAATTTAGTGATAACTCTCCATGATAGTAATTTTGCAACACTTTCGCCATACTTGAGTCAAAATTTAACCTTGAGTGATGGGCGATGGCACAACGTCTCTCTCAACTACATCGTGTCAAGGTAAGCATATTTAATTATCATCCTTGTATTTTACAGCACATAAAGGTAGATGTATTCAATGATTTATAAATAAAATTAGCCTTATGTCTTGCCATGCACTACTTTTTTAACAAAAAGTATATTGATGTTGTCAATAAAATCTGAATAGGAAAGCAAAGGCCTTCAGAAACATTGAAAAAGTGCATCCATTGAGAATAAATTCAAGGGAATATGAATTTTGTATGCATGAAATTAAACCTTTGATAAGCTGACATTTCTAATGTCAATCAACCTGAGTGAGCTACCCGAGTAAGCTATCTTGAAAGCTTACCAATAAACATTCACCATTTCCAATTACGTCAGAGCTGATATCTCTATGTATCATTCATGCATATGGGGTTCCATAAAGCTAGTCATCCTGTTGCATATTCAAGAACTTTATTAGAGATCGGTAGAACAATGATTTTTATTCACATTTTCTTTTCATTTTACAGTTTCCGATATCAGCTGCATGTTGACGGGGTACTGGTGCACTCTGGCTGGTTTGGCAACTTCCAACGAGAAATAGCAGCAAGCAACCCCCTGTATTTTGGTGGCATTCCTGCATCAATGAGCATTCCATTTGCTATTCCAACGCGAGTTTCCCTTGAAATGGATGTCCAGAGCCTTATTATCAATAGCAGGTTTGTGAAGTTTGATTTCGTTGCGTACTACATGAAGCAGATAGAATAGACAGAAGAAAGCAAAGCAGGCTGATTTGACTGTTGTTTCATTGAATGATTGTTGATTGATTGAAAGAGATAAAATAAAGTCATTTGCGAGTAAAAGCTGAACATCGATTTTTAAAGCTGGGTAATCATTGCTTCCTTGGCCATGACAGTCTCTATTCCATGTCTGTCTTGAAGAATTCTGAATCTTGCAAAAAATAGGTTGGCTGTCCAGTTCCTTTGGTTGACCGATCTTTACATTAATTGTGTAGACTACAAGAATATGCGGTGCGTTTTTAGAATTTTCTTTCTTAGCAGTGTATTTTGTTTTCAGGATTCAAAACTTTCACTCGAGTACATCTTACGGAGTATCGTACGCAGGCGTTGCACCCAGTTCCTTTGCTCCGCTACCACCCGGTCCTTTACCGACATGCGGTGCGGGCTTTTCGTCTCCGGTTTCATCAACTGAAGTAAACCAAATCCAGTTTGGCAACCTCCCGTGGCTTGGGAGAGAAAGCTACATTGGATATAATATGAGCGAAGAGCAAAAGCGCTTTTTTAAATCCAGGTAAGAGTTTGTCCAGGTGTCGTATGCTCATTATATTAATATTGTACTATAAATATTCTGCGTATGTATTAATATTGTACTATAAATTATCTTAGATTTTCTAATCTAGCATTCTAACAAAGGTGAATTAGTGCCCAGTATTGCCTTAAAAGTCCTTTTATATCTATTGAAGACGGCTTGCAAAGCTTTTTTACGGTTTAGGAGCAATGTGCAACAAATTGACCAATCTAAGGCTTCCAAAAAATTCACGTGCTACTTGTATACAAGAATTTTTTTTTATAAAGTGAGTGCTGATTCTCCTTTTTACCTTTAGTTTTGTAGTCACAATTGACTTTAAAGCTACATCAAAAGACGGTATTGTATTTTACACTGCCGACAATGCAACTGCACCAACACAACACATTTGTTTGGAACTGGTCAATGGGAGGCTTCAGTTTCGATTTGGGCTTGGAGCAAACAGTTTGATGATTTCAACGACTAATGATTATGCGGATGGGAAATGGCATTTGGTAAGTGGAAAGTTGTCTTCTGTGTGAATTAAACCAAATGCTCAAGGTGATATAATGATAATACATATGTCATGGCTGTACGGATTTTATAGCTGCTTTCTTGCAGATGTAAAGCATCATATAATTTGGTTATATTTTCTTCACTTGGAACTGTTTTAATCTTTGAAACTCCATTGCATGATGAAATCCGTAGACACAATCTGCATTAGTAGACACAATCTGCATTGCTTTAACGTGTCAGTGCAAGGGAAACAAATTATTTTCCTTGTGTATCAGGCCCTGGCTGTAAGAAGAAAATTATTCGATTTCCTATCACAGGACCCACGCCATGGGGGGATCCGGGTTGTCCTTGGCGTCCCCACTTTTTTGCAAAGCAAATGATTTCAAAGCTGCAGTAAAAGGTGAAAAAAGCCTTGACCCCCCACTTTCCTTAGCCTCCCCCTCCTCGTCAAACTTCGTGGCGTGCGACCTGTATCATAAATTTCTCTGAAAACAAATAAAATATACCATCAAGCAGGCAACAACGTAGTTATACTAAAACTCTTCTACGACAACTTTTACTCGACTGTGTGTGGATAAAACATGTACGTTTCTCGTATGTTTGCTTCCTGCAGATCCACATGCTGCGCATCAACACATTTGGTGCAATTTTACTGCCCATTTCGAAGGAGTATCAGAGCAATCATATATCGACTGTACCATCTGACATCGGAATTAATACTCCCTTGTATATAGGTGGCATACCAAACTCTGTCAATGCGCCAGTCTTTTCAGGTCGTAGGACGGCATTCAATGGGTGCATTCGAAGATTCGAGATAGCATCCTCGTTTCAGTTCTTCTCGCTTAACTTAGCAGCACCAGATATTCGTCCATTTTCCTCAGGACCTTCTTCCTGCTACATCAATATCGAGCCAGGCACCTTCTTCAATGGCTCTGGATGGATATTCTATGGTAATAAATATGTAATTTTATTGATGTACATGTATATATGTTTGCCAATATTTGTTTGCTAGTCACTACTTTCTAGAAGCTTTCTTGCTTCACGATCACTAATAATAGACGTTCCAGGCGTGTTAAACAGATGTAACCTGGTAGGGTACAATATTTGTAACTGAAATCAGAATAAACTTCTATGTAGTGAATATAGCTATAACAAAGCAACATGAAGATACACATTTTGCTGGACCCTGGAGTCATAAATATAGGTTTCTGATTTTTTATTGCACGCATATCTCTCATGTGAAATATTTTAGCAAGGTGTCTTTTCTTTTTCAGCCAATAATTTCCAGCTGGGAGCGAATTTCTCCTTTTCCATAAGTTTTAAGACCAACAAACGTTCAGGAGTGTTATTCTACCTCTTCAGTAATGACACACAGAATGGGGCAGGTAGGAAAGCGGTGTTGAAATGCATTGTAATTATGTTTTAAATGGCATAAGTTGTATTATCATAACATGTACTGAGAATAGAACCGATAGTTCTGGTTTAACGACTCAAGAACTACGAAGGTACATTTTCCACACGATTTTATTCATTTACAAATTACAATGCATTTTGTGATTCCACTTGTAGGCTTTAGCTTTTAGAAGAAATCTATTACTCTGAAGAAATGATTTCTGCTGTGTTTATGATGCTGTTGTTTTTATTTGCTACTAATGTGCTTTTGACTTTTATAAAATCTTAATAACGGTCAAATTTATCTAATTTCAGGGAATCAAACTGTGAATGCAAGATTCATTGTTGCTGAATTGAATCATGGCAAGGTAAGGGTTGGCTAGTTGATTTTCTCCTATACTCTGGACAGTCGCAGTTGAGATTATAGTTCCTTGTAGCAAAAGCAGTACCTTCAGCATAAATTTATGTTATAATGGCTTTTTCTCTGTTATAATTATAAATGATGAATTTATTGTTCTTGAATATGCAGGCACATTAAGGGATACTGTCACGTACTACCTACCTAGAGGCTATTCTTACCGTCCCTGTGATTTGATTGATACTGTTTCATCTACGGTCTCCTTTTTACAGATCTACGTCAACTACAAACCGATGCTGAATGAAGCATTTGAAACAGCAATATGGAGTGACCCTAAGTCAAACTCATCGTACTTGATTTGTGATCAACAATGGCATAACCTGCAAATCAAGCTTCAAAGCAACGCCATTTCAATCACTGTTGACTCTGTTACAACCAGTTCTTCTTTCAGTCGAAGTGGCAACATTGCAGGCAACCTGTATATTGGTGGAGTGCCAAGTAAGTTGTGTATTAGCTCGACTTAAGTTCAAGCCTGCTTTGCTAGCTAGATATTAATATTTGTGCCTTAACTATCATAGACCTAAAGTAAAGATTTTTGAAGTATTCATTTGGTCGATAATTGATTTTCGGCGAAGGTACAGAGTTACTAAAAGCTTCGATTCAATTTAGAAAGTCCACTGCTTTCCTCTAATATTCTTCTCTGCAAAATCATCAAACCGCATCGCATTAATCTCGAAGTTAGATTTGTACACTACAGCTTAAATGATGCATTAATTCACTGCTTCTTCATTAGAAGAAAGCTTCACCGCATCCGGACGTGGAGGGACTGGGGGATTAAGTTCTTCCAGTAGTTTTAAAACTGTACTTAAAACAGTACAACAAATATCTTCCGTTCGACCTTTTGCATGTTTATACCCACAAAACCTTTTTGCCCCCGTAACTTTTATTTTTCTTATAGTGCCTGATTTCACTAATGTTGTTCTATCAATTTGCACCCTTCTTTTTAGACAACAAATTAATATCAACAAATCAGCTATTGGTTGTTGTTGCTTTTATTTGTTGTTTATTCTTTTTATCGCTTCTCGAGGGAAAAGGGAATGAGAATGTCTGAAATCGTCTCATTTTCCCTTGACAGGTCACATTGTGAAGCCTGGTAGTCCAGCGAAGTTTTTTGGTGGATGTTTGAAGTCAATTATTTTCAACACAAGACTTCAAATATACAATGCAAACTTTGGAAAGAACGTTCAGTTAGGCTGCCCTACATAGCATTAAAAATTGATATCTAATTTAACCATTGAAAATTCTATTCCAGATGGTTGCCATGCTTTTGTAAATCGTTTTATTAGAAATAAGAATTTCTTGTACTTGGCAGCAAAATGTTGAATTTAAAACAAATTTTCGTAAAATTTTTTAGCTACGTTTTATCATGATGCAAGAAATGTTAGCTTCTTTTATCTAGAGTGTTTTTTCTTTGTCTCCCTGTCTACTTTAATCTGCCACATTGAGTATGTAATAATGGTAGGATTTACAAGTCACTTTAGGCCTATGTCGCAAAATCATTGGTAATTTTCAACTGCAAATTATACAAATCAATCAATACCAATATGAATTCGAACTTAGAATAGAACAAACCTTTCCATATGCAGTTAACTTTAGCTGGCACGAGAAAGAAATTTTGAACACATTGATAACAGAGCTGAATTTTGAATACACAGTTGCAAACAGGAAAGTTTCAAGATGAGTTTTTAGAGATGTTGCAGTACATGGAGGATGACAAACTTTCGATTACCAAAGCAATTGTGCCTGCAGTAGCAGAAAAAAATTAAAATTTGAGACAGAACGACTAATCCTGCTCTAAACATGTTTGACTAGCACAGTAAACTTAACTCCACAATACTACACATATTTTATATAAGAACATAGTCTATAAGAATATTAAGGCTCAAAATCGTTGAAATTAAAGAATAATTCATAATAACGCAAGGCTCAAGCTTCATCAAGAATTTAATTTTTGTTTATTCGAGTTTTTTGGATAGCAAAACACATGCGCGTTTCACAACGTATGTTTTGAAATAGAAGTATCCGACTTAAGCAACTTGGTTACACCCTTTGCCGCTTAAGAACAATTTAAGAATAATGTCAGGCTTGAAATAAAAAAGATAATTAAGAATATTGAGACTCAGCAAAAATTTGGATATTCTTAAAAAAAGTGTGTAAAATGACTCTACTGAACAAGTCTGCAAAATGAATAAACAAAGCAAGAAAATGGCAAAGCAAAATGACCTCTGAAATTCCTAGCTATTTTCCATGCCTTGTTTTGTATGTTTAGTTTGAACAGGGCCACAATTACCCATTTGTTGCTCCACAAAAGACAGTGGTCGGTGGCTAACTATATTCACCTCATTGGTGGCAACGAAGTTTTGGGCAAAAACTACTGAAAACGAGGCAAGCCTCACATTCAACATTAAATTGGCCTAACTTGCCCATGCTGACTTTCTTTCTAACAAGAAGCCTTTAGCAGAACAAGATTTTCGATATGGTGCCAACGGAATCTGGCGAGAAAAAAGCACCTACAGCGGCCCATGATAGCGCCAATAAAGATTTTCTTTCAATATTCTGGGATTTGGTTTCGAATGATGAAGGAAAAAGGACTCACCGTGCTGCAGATCTTGTGTCTATTTTGAAAAATAAAATCCAAGAGACTGATCCCGAAAATGATGAAATGGTTTGTTTATGTATTTTGAAATTCACTTATTCTAAAACCATTTCACTACGCGGTAACTGTTGAAGCAATTGCTGTAATCATCTAGAAGTAAAAAATGTTTTCCTTCTCTTTGTATGACAGAACACCAGCTTATTAAGATGGCTTAAAAGTAGGTCTAGTTGAGGCATCTCCGCTAAATGCTTTAAAAGAATTAGGAAGAGGACATTTGTATTTCAAAAAAAGAACGTTCTTACAAAATTATGTACAAACAAAAGGATATTGTGTGAGAGCACACTTTAAACTTTTAATGCTACTGTTTATTTAGCCATATTATTGGCCGTTTACTCCAAAACTCCCTTCTTAATCCCCCTGAATAGATATGAAACTGTAAGCTTATACAGCCTACATTTTATTTGGTTTTATATGTCATCATTTTTTTCTTTTTAGCAAATTCCTGAGGAGTTGGATTATTCTGTAAAAAGGCTTGTGAAAGGAATTGGATCAGCAAGGAAAGGGGCCAGGCAAGGTTTTGGCACAGCTCTGACAGAAATTATGTGTCACTTTGACTGTGTTCATACCGATACAATTTATAAGCTGATGGAAGATCATCTTAATGTCCAAGGATCTTTCAAAGCACAGGTACAGGAAGTTTAATTGTAGCACATTATTACTGTATTTTTTCAAGTGGATACGAAACAGTGAGCACCTTGTATTATTAATAAAACAGAGAATTAATGATTGTTATGACTTAAGGAGTTTTGTGGGAAAAGTTTGCAGAAACCAGTCTTTGTAATATGAGGTGTGTGATCATACATCATAGCTTTTGAAAAAGATAATCTACTTTTTAAAGAAGTATCCTAGTTATGCCTCAGAATTGAAAAGCTTGTTGAGCAAAAGATCAAAGCCTTTGTCTTTGGTTGGAATTTTATTTTGACAAATTTTATTGATAAAATAATATTGTCAGTTCTATTGGGGGCAGAGATAAAAATATTTGAAAGTATGTTTAAGGTATTTCTACCAAAAAAGGTTTGTTTAAGTGACAGGTTTGATAGAATATACATGCTTGATTGCTGAAATTAAAGACGTTATAAATCTCTATGAAAATATAAAAATGTTGATGTTAACAAATTTGTGAAAAGATTTTACCATAGAAGCCCTCAGTTTTGTTCCTGGTTTCCAATTTATTTCCATAGTTGTATTAAAGAAGCTGGAAAATGGCTTTGAAAAAAACATTTCAGAATTCATTATAAGGTTCCGAAAGAACAAGATTGAATATATATACCCAGTTGTGGTTGAACATGTACCCAGTAAAGAAATTAGATATATATATTTTTTCCTTCCTAGAAATGCAAATTTTCTAATCTAGCAAGAGATGTTAGACATTTTTCAGTGTAATTTTCAGAGAGAAGCAAAGCCCTAATTATTATCTTGTTTGTAGGAGGAAAGGGATGCATTCATTGGTAGAACACTTTGCCTAGCTGCTATGATCCAGTCTCAAAACCCAACCATGGTAGGATGCGTTAGGATTAAACTTTCTTCTTTAATATAGAAATAGCCAAGTCAGGTGCAGAAATGGCCTTAATATTAACATGGTGTTAGGTACTGAGGTACAGAATTATCACTAAAGTTAACAAAAGTTGGAATTTGGACATACAGAATACAGAGAGTTATCTTAATAAACTAATGAAAGAAGTAGATAAATGAAAACAGTTGAGGTTATGACCTTTTGGTAAGATGATTGAGTACTGTATACAGATAGACTGTTCAATAAAAAACATATTTGATTATTTTACTGGTCATGTATAATTTTTTCAGGGATCAGATATGGCATACAGGCCTTGAGTTTGCTACTCCTGCATCATGTCAGATGCTGGATACTAAAAATCAAGACCTGAATAGAGTTTTCAAGTGATCATGTCACAAATATATATATTTTTTAGAATTTTCGAATTTTAACTACATATAATAAAAGAACACCATGAAATACTCCCATATATGCAAAATCAGTTAAATTTGTCAAAAGTTGGGTTAGCTTTGGCCAAAAAAAGATTTGAAGTTTGCTTAGCATTCCTGTTATTTTGGCTCAGTTCATAAAGTTATAAACTGAGACCAAATTACAAAGGTTTGATGGGGCCAGAGCTTGTGCTCATCTGTCCATATCTCAGCCAGTTTGTAATACCTTAAAGTGATTTTGCAGATTTAGAGGTATTTCATGATCAAGTTATGGGAACAAATTTAAAAAATTCTGACTTTAAAATTTGTGACAACGTCACTTGACCACTTTTATATTTTAAAGAGATCTCAGATGTTTAATTTTGTTTGAATATTTGTCTCAGTCTTTCTTTAACCATATTGATAAACATATTGATAGGTTCCGTCATTCAAAATGATTATTATTATGATTATTGAAAATGATCTCTTATTGCCAGGATAACTATCAAGAATTCTTAAGTAAAACAGTTAAAATTCTGATGGATATGATGAAGAAGAAAACTTATCTTTTGGAGCTTTGTACAAAGTTGGTTATAGACACACTAGAGAAGGTATTTCTTTTAAATCTTCTAATTTTGTTTTTTTATTCACTCACATTTATATTTTTACTTACAAATGAAAATATGAATGTCTATCTAATATGATATAGTATCGTTCAGCAACAGGCATGAAGCGAAGTTTGTTTACTTCAGCCAACCAGCCCATCTAATTATTTGATAATTAGAATTATTTCATTTCTTGAATTCATATGACCTGCATTATATCAATATGCAGCTGAAGTTTTTCTCTATATTTCAGATTGATGAAACTTCTTTTACCAAAACTGTCTTCCCAATCCTGGAAGATTATTTAACAGAAGGATGGCAGAAATCTACACCAGAGTCTTTGTGCATTTTGCTTGCAATTAATAGATGTTTCAAAGTATGTTTTTTATTAATAAGCTTGATTGCTAAGTGTTAAGGAATGTTTATATTATTAATAGATTGCTAAGTGTTACTGATAGCATTAATTTGCATAATTATTATTTTAATATTTAGTTGCTATGTATTTCTTCAATTTTCTAAATTGATAGAGTAAAGAAGCTTAGTGGAAAATATAGCACTGTTTACAAATGGTTCTTTATTTCCAAATTTGCAAAACTAGTTAACAATTAACTGCTAGAATTTTTGAACCTCCAAGAAAGGAAAGCTTTAGCTTAACAAAATGTTGTGCCCTTCAAAGTTAAGCCTCAGTGTTGTGCAATATGAATCAATTTATGTTTCAAGGATTTTTAAAAAGCATCTTTTCCATTTCTTGCTTTGCTTATTGCATTATTTTACATTTTGTACTCTGGTGAAATTCAAGGAAGCTGCAGATTCATTGCTGAAAGATCACTGGAAGTGCTCAAACATCTTTGAAGAAGAAAATTTGAAAAAAGTGGGCAAAATCATAATGGTATGTCTTTAAAAGAAAATTTTGGTTTTTAATTTCCCATGTCACGAAGGCCTAGACATGTAAAAAATATTTTACTATACATGAGAATCATTCATTTAACATTTCTTTTGGTATAAGCTCTTGATAGTCTTAGCAATTTGTCCATGTTTTATACACAAAGGAGTTTTGGGTGAAAATGTTTTAGATTTTTAGTATAGTTAGGCTTACTGGGTAATTTCTCATTTGTTTTACACTTAAGGACTGGATTGCAGAAAAGGTAGCTCAAAGTCTTGTGAAAATTACTCATTTTTTCTACTGCATAAAGTCTTATTCCTTTGAAATGTTGTAGAGATTAGCAAAATTAAGCATTTATCCAGTTGTAACATCTTAGCTTATTCAAATTGTTTTTGAATTGACATGATGCATTTTATCTTTTAGGAATCTACTATCAATGCACACCCAAGAATGCACATTGTTTGGAAGGAAGTTCTTCCCTGCTTATTAAGCAATGATGAAACTCTGAAATCTTTCTGGCAAATTGTAGTTGAAGGTAATTATGAAGTTTGATGAATGCCATTGTGTCATTTGATACAGCATCACATTGTTTTTATGAAACAGCTTGCAAACTGCTAAGCAAAATGTGTCACTTTCCTTTGGAATGTGGAGCTGCCTTGCATCTTTAAGAGGCATATTAAACCATCTTTTAGAAATATTTTCTTTTTGCCTAGGTCAACTGATGAAATCATCCCACGAAAGAAAATTTCTAGCTTTCAGTCTATTGGAAGAACTTTTCTCAAAAGTCACTGAAACACAAGTAGGCTCTGTTACACAAATATGTTTGTCAGTTTTTTGTTCTGTGCAATTAACCCCCTTTTTTTTTAAACAGCTATCATATGAGTAACTTTATTTTCCATAACTTTTATTTGTAAAGCATCTCCTCTGCTATAAAACAGCACCTTATCAATTTAGCATTTTTGCACATATATGTGTTTTACTGCTAATGACAACTCTTTTGTTGTTAAAGATTTTGTTAGTTGTTTGACTCTAAAAGAAAGCAGTGGTCGTGAAAGCCATTCGTCGAATATTTCAATTAGTTTACCCGCCATGTTTTTATCCAGGTTGAAACTGTAGTGTCAGAGGCATTGCTAAAGTCAGTAATAAATGGTTCAAGCTCCGACAAAAACTACCTTTGGTCTGCTTCCAGGAAACTGGTAAGTCACATGCCTTCGATGGCCTCTTTCATATGGTTCAGGTTCAGATTGCCATTCAATGGAAAGTTGTTCATCCTGCTTTGTAATTGCAGAACCAAGTTAATTGTTACATTTAGAGAAGCTGATTTTGCTTTTAGAATAAATTATTTAATTTTTGGCCTATATGACCAAGATCCCTTTTTAAAAGAATTAAAGATAACAATTACTCTTTAAGAAATTGTGTGCCTTTTTCTTCTAGTTGTCATCGATACCTTCACAAGTCAGCCAGAATTGTAACCAAGGTGTATCGTTAGCAGTTATTCGTCAAATAATCTTCAGGTACCAGGCATTATATATTTTAAGCAATAAGACTACAATATTGATGTTAAGAGCCATATTTATTCAGTTTAATGTTATTATTCAAATCTATTTATTTGCTTTAGCAATTTTTGGTTTTTTTACCTTAATAATATTTGATTTTTAGGTCAAAAACGATTGTATTTGACTCGCTGACAAAATCGAAAGCAATTGAAAATCTGATAGGCAAGGTAAGGAATTTTGGTAACCTCTTCAAAAATTTAGAACAAGTATTTAGTCATGATTTTTTGTGAACCTTTTAATTTATGATTGTTGTTTTGTTTGCAGTTGGATTCCTCCGGTATTCTTAGCTTTATTTCCTGGTTAAAGCTGATTTTTACTCAAGGCAGTATCGAGGAGATAAAGACAGATGAAGACGAGTATGACAATTTATTTTTTCTCTTTATAAAATATGACATTTTAGGCACAAATATGGGTTATTATTCCTTACTACCAATGGATTGTGTGAGAGTATTTATTGTCTGGCTGGACGCATATTGCCCTCCAAGTTGTATTCAACTAACTTTGTCATGTTGCTGAATTTTAAAAGGTGAAAAGTTTTACAGCAGAGGAAATATCTCGCTGTTGTATCGGCATATCAAGATTATTTTTATTCCTAGTTACTTTGTTCTATCACTGGTATAGCCTACGTCACAGTTATGGCCTGTGGTGCAGGTTTCCACAGGAATTAAAGATTATCACTTCTTTCTTATTCATTTCAAGGGATGATGAGGACACTCGGTTGCAAATTAGGAAGTGGGCCGCCTCGCAGGTGATTCTTAGAAATACTTCATTTCATTACCTAGATACTTGCACGTCTTTCGCAAAAATCGCAGGTCATTTTATTATCATCAAATATTGATCTTTGTTGTCAATAGTTCTTTAAGCGTTCGTGAATGACGTAGTCAGACAGCTGTTCAGCTGTTGTTTCAACTATTATATTTTATGTTGTATAAATCGATTCTAGTGACAAACATCCCATTCAGAAATGCCTTTAAATACATTTTGAACTACATAGTCTTCGTTTTAAGAAACGCTCTTCCAATTTTAGTGCATAAAAATGTCAACCAATAATTTTGAATTCGACTTTGCATGTTACAGCCTTGCTTTTTGGCTGAAAATTTCGGCGTAGAAATATCACATCAAATGCAAATATGTAATATCAAATAACAATTTTTGCAATTTTTATTGCCTTCTTGTCAATTTTCTGACATAAACGTGCTTAGCTAAATCCAGTGATTTGTATCCCTGGGCAAGAGAACTGGTAGCTAGAGATCGACACTTTGGAGACACGTCCAGAAATTACCTACTTGTTCATTTTACATATACTGTTAAACATCGATTTACAATTTTATAATTCAGAAACTGCTTTGCTTTCCAGCTGTTGATAGTTTTACGTAACTCCTCCTTGAAAAGAGACGAACCATGGGTATTAGACATTGCTAAGTTCTTGTTTTTCCATGGTCATTTTCGCGCAGTCAAAACCAAAAAGGGCAAAGGAGAGGTGAGCATATTGTCAGTTAGTCGGACAGTTTCTAAGCGATGCCTCTTTGAAATTGGCTTAATTGTGATGTGTTTGAATTTTCTTTAATGGTTAGGGTTAAACTGGCAATCAGTTATACTTAGTATATACAGCATGAATATTTACACAAAATTGAGTTAACTTGCATCATTATAAATGCACCTTTTGTCTAATCAAAATCATAGCTATTTGTAAATCTTGATAGATTCAAAAGTTTCTACCAGGAAACCTGGTCTTTTCAAGCCTCCAGGTTTTCAGTAAACCAATGATGGAGCAAAAAGTCATTTACTCTTTCAATGCAATTAACTCTTTTATCTAGAATATTTGTATACATAAGCTATTACAGAATTAACATCCCCCATCGTAGTAGGGAGCCTTTCTCTCATAATGAGTATTGTTTATCCTCTCTTGTTTTAGCTCTACCGTGTGGTTGATCCAGCTTTAGAAGACTCTGTTATTGGTTTGTGCAAAGAACGTTTTCTTGGTGCTCTTGGGGAGCTTTCCACGACCCATCAATCAACCAAAGGTGCTTTAATACAAAAGCAAATAGTTTTATTACTTCAAAAGATGTTTTTGTAGAGGTCACATCAAAAGAGGTCATTTGATGAAATTTTGTATGCAGATTTCCTTTACGACAGAGCAATACACTTCAGCAATGTATTTGCATAAGTTATTCAGTATTTCTTTTTGAATTATAATGCTTTTGTTTTCAGAGAGCAAATCTGGTAAACATGCTGTCAACTCTATACCTGGTATTCTAGCAAATGGAGATTTCTATGCTTATCATCTGGTGCAGTTTTCGCAGGTAATCCTTGGCACATTGATTGATTCCAGCCAGTTTTTTGCTCCAGCCTTGGTATCACAACTTTCGTCTGCGACGCCAATCTTATCTAAAGTCTTTCTAAACTTTGTGTTTTCAGCCTTGGCATAGTTTTTTCATTCTCTATTTTCAATCACTTTGATCATTCACTCATTTCCTGGAATATTCCTGTCATTTCTTCTTATTTAATTCGTTTCTGTCATTGGCAAGGGGCTCTCCTATTAAAGTTTTATCTCCAATCGATTTCGCCTTCCTATATCCAGTATTGTTGCATTTTTGTCTTTGTAAATGTACAGAGTTGCTGTGGCATTTTGCGGTGGTTAAATTTCCTTTCATTGAATCCTGTCAACTGCTTCCAATAAACAGTTACCAGCCCCTAAGTTACCAATGAAGCTTTATGTACTCGATTTTATATACCCTGAAAGTTCTCCTGTATTCATTTCTCCAGGAATTATTGAAGGACAGTAAATACATTGTGCTAATTAAAGAATGGACCCCAGAAGTGAGTACAAACGCCTGTTAATCGCTTTAGTTTCTGTTACATCTTTAGCATTTTATAGAAGTGTCGATCAATTGGTAAATGAATTTTAATGTTTATGCAATACACCTCTGTTACTTCAGACTACCGATTTTTATTCTATTTCGTATTTTTGCAGCTTTTTGTTGCCTTGCTGTTAATAAGATTCATTCTCACTCTTTTAAAAGTTGAAATATTTTGTATTTTATTCTCATACATTTTCAATAAGACTAATTTTTAATGCGTGGCATTTGAGTTTTTTAATTAAATAATTTTCTTTTCAAGGCAAAGGAAACTTTTAAGGAGGCTTTGGGCATGATAGAAGAGATCAGAGAAAAGGTATTATACATTATATGTTATGTATTCTTGTATTGTCCAATTCCATTACAATATTGCATGCAAAACTGTTGAGTCGTGAAATCTTTGTTTTTAAGCCCAGACATTTTTAGCTCGACGGGTCTTGTATTGTAGCTGCGATCAATAAGTCATTGGGGTTGCATTTGAAGCAGGAAAGCCTGTTTTATTTATGCGTTTAAATCTGCTTGTTTTGGTAAAAATGAAGCAGTTGCAAGATTACACTTGACAGTACCTGTTTATATGTTGCTTTCTCTCTTTTTGCCTTAACCATCATGTGTAGCCTTTAGTCATATAACAGTTTATATTAAACGATATATCTGTTATTTACCCAAACGAACTTGTCTCTGATTTACTTCAATTACAATAATCCATCAGCCTGTTAAAAAACGTTTGAATTTGAAAATACGGCTTGTTTGTTTTCTCAGGTTTCCCGAGACTCTGTGATGTCAGAAGACAGGGCCTTTGAACTCCTCTTTTTGCACAGTTGCCTGCAAATGTTTCATAACACTAACGAAGCTGCAGATGTTATCCAGGTCGGAATGAGATTATTTCCTCTAACGAGAATGACATGAATGTTTAATTAGGCAATGCCTGACTTTGAGCAGCAGGATGCACCCACTTATATGTTTTTATTATCATTAGTAACTATAGTTAGTTCAAATCCGCTTGAAACGAAAATAAATTAGTTAGTTTTTACAGAAGTGTTCTAATTACTTTAAATGATGTCTTGATTTGCTGCACGCATCTCATTGAAATCAAAAAGCCATTATTACTTGCAAATAACAGTACCATTCATTAAAACGGTTTCCCGCAATTTTCAGTACGTTCTACCATTATACTACACCAGTTGCCGTGCACATGCTTTTTGCGTGTTCAGTCCAAAGATTATACAAAGAAGTAATTTATGCAACATGGTAATTTATGCAACAAAATAATTTATGCGACGTAGTAATTTATGCAATTTATGCAGAAAAGTTTATTGCAACGTGCTGATTTACTTTTAGGAGTTGATTCAATGCTACAAAAAATTAAAGGAGAAAAAGAAGAAAAAATCCAGTGAAGGTTTACTGATTCATAGTTTTTTGTTGGCTTGCAAAAATAATGAGATAATTTTTATTTCTTTTTATTCTCGCGAAAGATCACATTTTATTCTATTAACGACTTGATTCTGTTTTTCCTCTCGTTTCAAACCTATGAATTTCAATGGAACTGGCTAGAAGCATTTTACCCTGAAATACGTCATAAAAATTCAGTATTATTTTCCCAGCTCTTTTGTAAGTTAGGTTATAAAAAAGACGAATGTTATAATTTTTTCAAACGAGAGAATAAAAAAAATAGATTTTGAAAGATGTTTAAGTCTGTTAAATGGGTCATCAAGGCTTCTGTTGAACCATGTTTTATACTGCACTGTCTTCTTATCAAGACATTTATTTGACTTTATCTTCTAAATGCCTACGTTGTTGTCATGTTGCTCCCACTGTGCTTGTTAAAAGGCAACGGACAGATACTAGAGTGGCCTGAGCAATCTCTCAGTGATAATTGGCCAATCAATAAACGTGTGAGTGGTATAAAGCTTATTGATTGGTCAGTTTTAATTGACAAATGGCTTAAGCCATTTAGGTATCTGTTATTGCCTTTAATATCCATGGTACTTTTCTTGTTGCAGAACCTCACTGGTCTGAAGTTCTTACTGAAATTCTATTGAGTTTTTTGGCACAATCATCCCATATGATGCGGCAGATTGTTAACCTCGTCTTCACAATGATGCTTCCACATATTACCAACAATGCATTTCAACTTATCATGGAGGTTAGTATCAACAATGTCGATAGACTTCAGTTCAAGGATGACTTAGGCCTGTTGCAGGCCTGTTGTGGGCCTGATGACTTAGGCCTGTTGCAGCGAAAACAAGTCGAATGTTTATAAATAAAAATAGAAGTTTCAATTGAAAGCCACACGTTTTTATCTGTTCTCTTTTGACACGTGTGGAGAATCTTCCTCTCAGCTTGTAACAATGTTGTTGAATATTCTGATATTATTGATAAACCTGAGCCTGAAAACAATTGGTAAACCTGAGCCGGAAAGAATAGACAAAAGTGCAATCCTGTCCCAAAATCTTCAGCCGAAAATGGGACCCTGTTGGCAGGCACATTCCCTGGCAATCAGTAAACTAATTACCCCCCCCCCCCCGGGCCACAGGTAGCGTTCAATGTTTAATGCTTCTGGTGGTTTCTGCTCTAAAGCGCGGGTAAAGGCGTACACAAACTTTTTTCGTTGCTTTGTACTACTGTAATTTATGAATCGGTAAACCCCACCCAAGAGCTAAATAGCCGTGTATCTCATCTGTATGCGGTTATATATCCTGGTGACCTTCAAAATGTGATGCAACACAAGCTAAGTATCAATATGTCAATCTTTCGTAGGCCCTGCGACCGAAGAAGAATGCTGGACTTGAAATAGTAGATGAATCTGGTAACTTCCTTTAAATTTTATTTTGGTTTTAAAGGCATTTTAAAGCTTCCAGTTCTCATTGCATTGAATGAGTTAGCTCGCTGGCTCTGCTAATAAATGTCAGCTTGTTCTTTAGCTGCTTAGCTCGAGAAGCATAGATACGGTACATACATTTGTAATGGTCAATTATTGTTTGACATGACCAATTGTAAGAGGCTTCATTCAGTGTGGTATGCCCCTATTCAATCATGTAGATTTGACATATACATAAGGGATTAACGCTTGAAGTCCCCTCGAATTCATAAGCTTGAAATCCCAATTTCATTAACTCCCTTTCATTTACTTCCGTCATTGAAGAAAAAATGGCTTCCAGAATGATATGCGTTTGGTAAAATGTGATGGAATGGCCAAATGCTGATTTAGTACTTGTTTATTCTACTTCAAATTATATTTTGTACTTGATTTTGATTGTTGCATTTTCTTTTTCTTAGAAGACGAAATGGAAGCTGCTGAAAATGGAGATCATGAGACTGATGTAATTATCTTTCGTTCAAACACACTTTTTTGATATTTTAACCATGATAAAAAATAACATATTGCTTTGTTAGTGATAAATCTTTGATAAATTTTATCCAGCTTTTGCCTGCTTTTGCAGAGCGAGGAAGACGAAGATTCTGATGATGACTCAGAATCTGAAGAGGAAAATAACAAAGACGAGATCGATGAGGCCTTTAAAAATGAAGTCAAAGTCGCCTTAGGGGATGCTGCTATTGATGAGGAGGTGAACTCTGATTTAAAATTGCTATATTTGTATTGTCTTTTTAGTTATATCCTTCTTGAGAAAAATGACTCATTTGAAATGAGTTGAGCATTGTATTTGCCTGCCATAAGCCTTTTTAGTTTTACTATCTGTCTTTTTTGTCGGCTATTATCACCGCAACTCAATGCAGCTCTACCACGAAAGAATACAAATGCATTCTATTGCTCATAAGACGATGTATTGACACAGAACCAATATTTCTAAATACTGTATTCTTTATTAAAGAGTGACAAGGAGGAGAGTGAAAGCGAAGACAGTGATGTCGATATGGACACTGTAGACCCGAAAGTTCTTGATTCGATGGATAAAGCCCTGGCAGCGGCATTTAAAACTCGAATGCAATCAAGAAGTGGCAAGAAAAAACAGAGCGGTGAGCTAACTGTACCTCCTTTAGACATTCTCATAAGAACTTATCTCACGTCATGTTTTTGTATTAGGCCTCTTTCCCAATGATAGGCCTTAGAGGGTGCTCAAAGTCAAAAATATTTTGTTTTTTATTTGGAAAACTTTCTTTTGTTTGTACCTGTTTATCGACTTGAAATAAAGTACCTCACTGGTCAGGAAATCTTATCAAAACTTTTTTAAGCTTTATTTTGTGCACAATTTTTAATGTCATATTTTTGGTGTGCTATTTTGCTCGATGTATATGTATTTATTCTATGAAAATCTTTACCGGTCTGTCAAAATGTGCTTGATGTCGTACGCGTACGTACACGTAAGCTGTACACGCTTTTAGTGTCAAGAACAGGACAGTTCTATTTTGCTGCTCCTAACTTCACGCAATTCAATCACCAGGCAAAAGCGTTTGTATTTATTCTATATGTAATTCTCATTTGTAGAGGAGAAGAAGACAATAGTACACTTTCGATTAAGGTAGATATTGCCAAGCAAACTTTGATTTAATCTGTTATTGCTCAACTTTATAGAAGTAATGAACGAGTCTATTGACGTCAAGAATAGTTTTCGTGTTCCTATTTCTAGTTCTTGTTTAATGTTTATTGTTAATAAATGCATCAGTATTACCGCAACAATTCAGCGATACAAAGATATATTAAGCTGAACGCTACTCGTAACCCAATACATTTTTCTTTATCATACGTTCAACTAGGTTTACTAATTCGTGCTGACATATCATTTGTTTGTATAAACGAGTAATTGAAATTTTGGCTGGTTATCAATGATTGGTTTTCTTTCTACTTCATATTATCCTACACTAAATCATTATTGTTCAAAATTTGCGTCACAGTAAAATAATGAAACTACAAAATTCTTTTTCTAGAGTTTTGGATATTGCCGAACTAATTGTGAAAAAAGAGCCAAAAAGTCCGTTTATTTTGGTATGATATCTAAAGCTTATTTTGTGATGTATTTCATATTTAAGTGTTCTTAGCTAAGGCTTTTGATAGATGTTTAACAAGCCCTGTTTTGCTAAACATTCTTTCCATTTATTTGGTTTTCCGTGATTAACGTTAATTGTGACGTGGTTATGGAACTCTCCTCTTTAATACTTCATCTCATCTTATTTGATGCAGCAATTTTCTTCTTTTCATAGGAAATGATTGAACCACTTCTGGAAATAATCAAAGTGTCTTTGATGTATAAAGAAGAAAAAGAGCTGCATGACCGAGCTCAGGGAATCTTAAAAAACAGAATTTGTCATGCTCGAGAGGTTGTTAACTCTGTCAATCTATCCAAGATTAGATTGTTTCTGTTGATTTTGTTTCGCTTTTTATTGTGCTTTAGGCAAGAGTTTCGCAATGCTAGCAGCTTTTCTACAAACAAAATCTGTTGTATTGCATTTATATCGTGTACACGTTCAAATAGTGCTAACTCAGAGCGATATAGGACAATAATTGATCTCTGATAGGCTTTTTAACTTACTATAAGGTGTAATGGGTAGGAGATCTTCTTCCGCAACCATCAAGATTTGTCAATTTGTAACTTGAGTGCTCAATAAATTTTCTTGCACCAGAAAGCTTTTAGCAATAACTTTAACAGTATTGGTATCATGTTGCGTTGTAACTCTCATGTAAACTTTGTGTAAAAGATTGCATTTTCTCTGTACAATTTCAGATTTTATTTTTCAGATTCCAAATGGTAATGATGTGAACAAAGAGGAAGTTCATACGAAGATCGAGAAACTGCTGGAATTAGCCCAGAATGGTTTGTATCTTTATTATTAAAAAACAGATCTGAACGTTCAAGGTCTGAAATGCTGTAAAAATATTCATGAAGGTAAAACTTTGTTGCCATTCATAAGCAAATGATATCGGTCATAATAAAATGAAATCAGATACGACTTTTGAATTTCAGACCTTAACCTAATAAACTGTTTTCTTTCAACAGCCTCCTCGGTTCAAATGGTCGACTTGATTACCAATTCATGCATGTACCTGGTGAGTCACTTAGCTGTAAAGTTGTCTCTTTTTAACAAATGTCCGTCTCAGTACCAATTTTGGCACATCTTATTGGTGGCTGGCAATCTGTCGCTTGTACATAGGCTTACGTAGATGTTTTTGTTTTTTTAGGGAGGGCAGACCGAGGATATTCTGCCCCATTCTGTTGTCACAAAATATATGTAACACAAGCCAAAAATACATTGAGGACATAATGGCTTGTATTAACCGCACCTGTGTGGAAATCTCAACATACTTTAATATGATTTCATTTAATGCTAAGAAATTCAGCGTGCAACTGAAATAGTTACTGGAGATATGACCTTTAGACGCAATTTTGAAATGCCCGTTCACAATCTGCAGTGTTGTTTTATTTCTGTGACGTGTTGTTTAATTTTTGATAAGGTATTCTCTAGAAATTTTTGCTGTTGATTTTCGTTGATAAAGTCTTAGTATAAAGAACCCTTTATCTTTTCTAGATAAGAGTGTTGCGTGGCAAGGAAGACATGAAGGAGCCGTCTCCATTGAAAACCAGAAAACAGAGACAGAAAGATGACGAAAATAAGGACAAAGAGTCAACAAATCCTGTAAGTCTCTTCACAGCCTAGACATAACCAGATGTTTTCAGAATGAATATCGCTACTAAGTTTATTTCTCAGCAAAAGCTTAAAATTAAAGACATATTGGAGCATAATAAAAAGAACAAAACATGGCTCGCCCTTCTCTAGCTGATGATTCAAAACTTTCCCAATCTTCCTTGAAGGGTTTGCTGACGACAAGGCGTAGTATGGGCGTGGTGGCTGTAATCCTTTCACTAACCTTTCTACCGTTTTTTGCTCTAAGACTGCCTATTTTTCTTGACTCTGGAAAAGTATCTACTTTATTTAATTCAGCATAAAAATAAGTATCTACTTTATATGGTTCTTTAAGATATCTTGATGTTTTAAATAGCATGGCACATTGGACTGTAAAAGAGTCGTGCGAATGTTTGAGGGTGCTTTAGAAGATTTCATGACACGAAGGTCAGTATTAAATCTCATAATCTCCTTGATTTTCGTACTTGATATAGACGAGATTATTCTTTCCAATTGAATTCTGGAGTTGTATAAAACATGACGCTTTTTGTGTTCTAGATGTTAACATTTTTACAATTTCATGTAGAGGAGAATCAATATTTGTTTTCATGTCTATAATTTTCAAATACACTAAGAAGATTGTTAACTCTTTTCTACCTTAGATCGGTAACAGCTCCTTGCGTTTTGAAAAACAGATAAAACAGGCCCTTACAAATTGTTTCTTCGCCGTGAATCCACCCATTGTTTACGGTACTAAAAAGGCCCTTCCCTCCATTCAAAAGGATTGCGTTCCTACCTCACAAAAGAGTTTCGTTGTATATGAATTTACGTGCCAGTGTGATTCTGGCTACGTAGGACGCACTACCCAAAGATTGGAGAATAGAATAAAACAGCATGTTCCGTCTAGTATTAGAAACAAAACCCATCCCCAAAGAGAACAGCCACTTCGGGTCTTGCAGATCTAAAAGTACAACTAAAACCTGCGATTCTGCTATCGGGCAGCATTTACTGGAAAACCCAGATTGTGCACAACTGGGTAAATATATTTCCTAGCGTAGACTTTTTGAACTGTCTGACGTTTTAAACTCTGAAGAGTGTCAGACGAAAAGCTTCAGCTCACTCAAATGTTTGCTTCTTTCAAAGTTATTTTCAAGTTTTGTACCACCAAAAGATTCGTTTCTAGCTATAAACCTTTAGATATGTTTGATGGCTAAGTTATTTTAAAGCAGCTTTTCAATCTATATTCGTTAGAGGCATCATTTATGATTTTTGAGATCGATCAAGCAACATAATGAATATTTTATAAGTCAGGGTTTGGTATGCAGTCTGCTGCCCTGTATTTTAGATGTATCAAAAGTTATGAATTTTATCTTTTAGGAGTTCGCAATTACATCCTGTTTTCTTCCTGGAATTCATAAAAAGATACCCGGTAAGGCTGCATTAACAGAATTGCAACTGATTCAATACTGGCAATATTCTTATTCCAGGCATAGCTTAAACGATATCCTGCAGCAACTGCGTTTCGTTCATTTCTTTCTTAATAACAATACAATTTCTTGATAAAGACTTTACCATTGATATTTTAGCCACGATGTTGCTCTTTGTTGCTGTATCTATGATTATTGTCAATTCGGACAAGCTCGAGTAAAAAATATAACCAAGTTTTCGACTGCTGTTAATTTTACTCCGTATTAAACTTGTAAACATACTGATATGATTTTTCTGCCTAGGCCATCGCATGGAAGCTTTCTCCAGTTTTACCCAAGTACATCAATAAGGCTGTGAATAACTTCAGAAAGGTTAGTTCAAATCTTTACGACTCAGATCATTATTTTTTCAGACTGATATTTTCTGTACATTTTATAAAATTTAGTTTTTTGTTGTCCTTCGTAGTTTACAACTTAATACCTCTTTTTTCTAAAATTTTGAAAAGTATTCAAGTGTTCCACGCGATCAGGGAACCTTAAGATATTAAGCTGGCCTACATGATAACATTTTTGTCAATAGACATAAGTATAAGTTTATAAGTATAGTTGTAAATAAGTATTGTCAAAAGACATAAGTATAGTTAATAATAAGTGATGCTTATTATTACAAGTCAGTTATATAATTTGCATAATCAAATTGTATAAATTCTTTGCAGGTCCAAGCTTGTGAGATGCTGCTACAACTTTTGGCAAGAAAGGTATCTTTGTATTCCTATTTGTATACCCTGTGTTTGATTGAATAATTTTAATAATTATTTGCATTAAAACCAAAGGGTTTTTTCCTAACCATCGAGATATTAAACATATTTTTTACATTATTTTGGAAAAACCTGTACGCAGTTTCAGAGACTGAAAAGTCTGGAGCTTAAATGTCACCAGTTGTGAGCATAAATATTAATGAAAACAAATTTAGTGTTAGTATTTATCAGGTTAGCCTTTGATACTTAGTGAATGGGTCCTAAATTCAAATCATAGATGCAGTTTCGCATGTTTATGAAGACATAAGTATGAAATTGTTTCATTTGGTTTTTGTAGGCAGATTTGAGACCCCTACTAATTTCCTACATGACTGAGCTTTGAGCTCACTTGATAAAACCGTCCGATTTATTGATGGTTGTTACTACGGACCTTTCCTGTTCTTGCATCAGTAGCAATGTGATAATACATTTCGTTGATTAACCATCTTTTGCAGACTGAATGTGCAGCAGATGACTTCGAAGGAATGAGTAACGAGTTGCAGCGAGAAGTTATTCAGGTTTGCTTCGTTTATTTATTAGTCCATAAACTTTAATTAAGTTGCCTAGAGGCCAATCATTACTTTGTTTGGTGTACGGGTTTCACATACGATCGCAGGTCGCGTCCGATTTGCTTACGCTGATCCTGAGTTTGCGATGAAAAGGCTGTTTGGGCCAATTTAATTGTTAAGAATAGCAATTGAGAACATGCTTGTGGTTACTTATCACCAGGCGCATTTGTCAGATTTGTTTTTGTTGAATTGAAGATGGCTGCTGCTGTTGATCTGCAAAGGAGGCTGTTGCTTCTGTTTATTGTTCGTGGAAAAGAACAGTGAAGGCAAGCTAAGTTTAGAAAATAATATTGAGTTGGACGAATCCTCCAGAAACTACAATATCAAGGAGACTATTTTACTTTTTTGCGGTACCAAGAGACCGTAAAGGTTTATACAAATGTTTTCATATGACTTCAAGGCTTTTTGAACAGATTTTAAATCTGGTTGCCCTCTCCTCGTCACGAATTCTAACCTAAAATATATTGCTCTAGGAGAACATCTGTCAGTGATATTAGCTAGGAAGATGAGAATCATTTCCAAAATTTTATTCGGGTGCTTTTGGTTCGCTTGTGAACGTTCGGAAAATAAAAATATAACATGCGAACGCTTCAAAATTGAATACGAACTTTCGGACGCGATTGCGGAGTTCAAACAAAAGATCGCATGAATATTCTGAATTTCGTATCAAATGAAGATGTGCCTTGATTAGATGAATAGTACATTTACTACTTGTAAAGTACTTAATCTTGTAAAGGAAAAAAACATTTCATGATCTTTCTATGTGATAGCTGTGTATGTTTAACAGATAAGAAGCATTTCCTCAGTCTGTATTACATAAGATTGTTCTAATCGTTTTGCTGTTTTATTTAGACATTGAGGGAAACCCTCGATGAAAAATGCACGATGAAAGCAAGACACATCAACGAAATCGCCAAACTTCTGGACAGGTTCCTGAAGGAGAATGATGCAATATTTAAGGTAGATACTGCTTGATTCTTGTACTCATCCAGTTTTTCATTATCACAAATTTACCGGTCTACTCTCGTTTTCAATGATGGCAATTATTCTCGTAATTCCTTTGCATTCAAGGTGCCAATAGACGACCAACTGTCTTCCACACTAAACGCAGCAATAGACGGACCAATAATTAGCAGATCTCCCCAGCTGGTTGCCTATTGCAAACGAATCGTTGGCGTATTGTCAGGGTGAGTCAGAATGTTCTTCGTTAAAGCTATTATATTCTCATCGCATTTGGATTCAAAAATTGGCAGCTTCTAGGCAAGTGGTTAGACAAGCGAGAACCAGTGACTCTGCTAAACTTTTTTGATATTGTAGGTTTTCTTTTTCTTTGATCTAAAGGTCTATCCAAAGAGAGATGTGTAAGAAAATAAGGGTAAGAGTAGTAAAAACATTCCAGGAAGTTTCTTTTTGTAAGATTGTGCTCAGTATGCCGAAAGCCCTTCGTTGGAAAATATTTATTAGTTTATTGTAATTGCTCATCAGGTGCCTGAATTTTTAGACTATGTTAAATTTGTTTCTTACTTGCATCTACACTTTGTCAATTTAGAATACGCAGTCGATGATATCATGTCTTTTCATCCAGAAAAGAGATGTATAGATCCGGAAGGTTCTAAGTTGCTACTCCGAGTCATAAATTATAACTCTGTATCTTTTGTCCAGGGAGCAAAAAAGCTTAGAAAAGACCAAAAAGCGAAAAATCAAACCATCGCCATCTTCCAAATTAGAATGGAAAGAAACCGCTACTGTATCACCCAAAGAAGAAGTCAAAGAGTCAATTGAAAATAATAGTGAACCGAAGAAAAAGAAGAAGAAGAAGGGCAAAGCCAAAGAGTGATAAACATGATAGCTATGTTTTATCATTTAATGCTAGTTTTTTGAGCCTAAAGGAAAATTTATTAATCATATAACTTTGTTTGTATATGCAATCAAGGGCAAAACTGAGCTTTCTAGATGCATTTTCAGTCCTTCTTCAATAGATATAAGAGGTGTGTCCACTAATCTGGAACGTGACAATATATTTAGTATATTTGTAAAGCTAAAGAGATTTAAATATTATTTGGAATATTTTTGTCACAGCTCTCCTGATGGAACTTATTTCCTTTTATTGGAGATGAGAACTCCAAAATGGCGTTCGTAAATATCCTTGCTTTCGGTGAGCATTGTCTGTAGGTTGGATGGCTGATCTGTTTTTTAAACTCGTCGTTCCCTTCCCTTCTTCTACAAACTTTCTGAAACAACAAGCAAATGACAGTTCCACTAATTGTAATGGATAGTTTTAGAAAGAAAGGGACCAACATTGACTTTGACTTTGTTTTGAATTTTGGCTCCTAAAATATAACGATGTATAAAACATAGGTATCCTGTCGCTGTGTACGAAGAATGCCGGTACTCTTTTGATGCTTTGTAGGTAGTTTCATAGCAACCGCTACGCCAATGGTTAGTTTTACTTCATACTCGAGTTGCTTTTTGGAATGGAAACCATTATAAAGTTTTCAGTATTGACTGATGCGATGATCTTGGAACCTTTCACATTTTCACCTACAGCACCTGGGTACCTGGGGACCTGAGGGCAGAAACGCCGTGCCGCGAAATTTAGCTGTTTGTTGCGACAGAGATAGTTATAATTTGTTCACTTGCTTTTTTGATTTGAAATTGCTTTCATTGGAAATGGTGGTTTTATGACGTTGCTAAGTATTAGTTTAGGTGACACGATTTGTAAGATCTTTTCAGTCGCGAAGTGCATAACTCTTAGGCACATTGGAGCGCTAGAGTACGTGGTGAGGTATCTTCAAGGTAGGAGCACAGGGCTCTGGTATGCGAAGAAAAACAATGGCAAAACAGACAATAGCAATACACTTTCACGAATCAAAACTTTTATTGCCACTATATCCGTTTCTTAAATCACATTATATCACAAAGGATTGATTGTTTTCGCGAAAAGCCGTGCCAACTTCCCTTCTGGCAATGATACAATACTTCTTTGCATCGTTGACTTCGTAATGACGTTGAGTCAACATCATTTCGTGGCCGCAAGCTATAGAAATCGGTACCCTAATTACAGGAAAACGACCATGCCTTGCATCGCTCCGATAAGTTGAGCACTCTAAACAGCAATATGATAATCAATATAATATATAAATAAATGTATATGTATATATATAGGTATATGTATGCGTTCCCCGCGACCCACTACATAGTGTACTCAATTTTTCGTACACAAAAAGGCGTGAGGTATTAATTTGTTTTTTAATCTTGACTGGTGGCTTATGGTTGATGACTCGTGGCTCGTAACCGATAGCTGGTAACTTATGAGTATCGTCATCAAACACAGTGACGAGAACATTTTTTCTTTCATTTGCTCTTCAGCCAAGAAAATTGTCTTTTGTGAGAACCCGTTTGATGTTTGGTCAACAATTTTCATGCAAAATTTTGTGACTGATCATTTATTTTTCACAGTCAATTCAAACAAAAATAGTTCTTGAAATTTAATTTGTGACGACGCAGTGCTAGAAAGCCTGAAAAGGTGTTTGGCAATTTTTTTCTTCTATGGTTTTGCGGCCAATTTTATCTACGTCACGCTTCAAAAATGTTGGAATTCGGTGCAAAGTCCGAAAACTATAGCCGAAACGAGGTCGTGGATAGAATTGACAATTCGCAGCAAGTTTCCAAGAAAATTTCATTCATTTGATACAATTCTTGCAGCTTATCGTCACGGGAGAGTCACATGCATGCGAAAGAGGAAATTGTCCGGAAAATCAAGAATGCGTCCGATAATCGGATCAGTTGTCTCAGCTTACTCAGGCGTAAATTTCTTTTGTTTTCTGATTTTGATTGTTTCGGTTCAATGCTGCTAAGTTAGTGCCCAGTGTCCTTGGACGCGCAACAGGAGGGGATGCAATAATGGTTTTGAAGTGTCTGTTTTGTTGAGAATTGCCGCGATAAACTCGCATGGGAGCAGTTAAATACAATGCATTTTGTCTCTGTATATTTATTTGAATAGGATATTACAGTTAGCATTTTGGGTCCTCAAATCCGGGCATGTACATGACAAAGTTCCTAAAAATGGAATCAGGGAAAGATCGAGAGCCTGACCCTCAAACAGAAGATTTAAGGGTAAAGTATATTGTTTACAAAATTATTCTTATCATGATGTATGCGTAGTTGATTTTAAAAGTATAATTTTTTTTTAAAATCAAGGGATAGAATTATTTGATCCATCCTAATTTCTTTGAATTGGTGTATGAAAGGGTTCTGTAGAGGGTAAGTCGCTGTCAGGAGAGTGTTGCGCGCCAATTAAAAGTTTAGGCCTAATTAAAGATTTTGTACGTTCTAACAACCTGCAGATTGAGCTCTTCCACTTGTATTAGTGTATGGAGACATATCCCAATGAAGATTTACTCAGGAAGCTGATTTGCTAGGTTTTAAAGGGTTATTTAGAGGTAGGGTTGAGTTACGCAATTTTTGTGTAAATTCATTCCCGCACCGTCTGATCGTACCGATTTAGTTTGACAACAACCTTTGTCTAGAATAAAATACAATTTTTAGATGTTATTTTAAAACGTGAGCAAAATTTTATTTACAAAGATGTGAAAATGTATGTAAAACGTTGCATTTTTAATCCGGCTTCCGAGAAAATCTCATGTCCAGCAAAAAGTTTGGTTAACGCTTTTGAAGGAAACAGGAAGGGTATTCACTGCTTGCATTTTTTAGTATCTCTGGATTTTAGGTAAACTTGTATACATGAGTAGGGATTGTATTCAATTATTGGCAAACTTTTAGCATGAAACCTATAAAAAGCCCCAGGGAGCCTATCAAATTGGGATGTTTTTGGGTGAGGGGGAGGATGTTGAGGGGGGTTAAATAATTTTGAAGATTTGCAAAAGTCATTTGAAACTTGCTTTACAAAAGGCTTAATTTACGTAATGTATATTCAAATGCTTATTCAAATGTGGGGGGTTCTTGACAGTTTTCACTTCCAGATTGGGGCTAACTTGAGTCATATACAATATGGCCCAGTTTTAGAAAAATATGAATTTTCAAAAAAGGGATTTTCAGCTGCTTAACTATCCTTTCTGGATTTCCTACCAAAATTGCCAGCTTGGGTGCTTTTACTTTTAATGGTTTAAACATGGTTTTTCCTGAATCATTTTTTGCACAAAAATATTTATTCAAAATGAAATAGGTATTACAAAATCACATGCACCCAATGCAAAATGTTTCTATGCAAAAGAGCTATAACATAGCAGTGGTAAATTGAACAAATGATGCTAAAACAAATGATGATTCTTTTTCTTTCAAGAAACAGATCTTGGCATTAAACATTATGTAATATATATATTCATTGACTTTTTTAATGTCTGCTGTTAGTAAACCTGAATCTGAAACATTACTATTAGCCTTGCAAACAGCAGCTTTCTAAAAATGTTTGAAATGCAGAATATTTTTCTAAAATTCAAGATATGATATGCTTTAAAGTTGTGATATATAATATGCTTTAAAGTCATTTTATCAACTACCAGGAAAACATAATCCTGAAGGTACATATATTTTCAACATGAATTTCTCCACAAAAAGATTTTACTTTTCAAACAGTATCATAAATAGATACAGGAAGTAGGTAAAGCTAAGATCAAATAGACTTGTTTCCTTTCAGGCTGTTTATTTCAACTTGTCATAAACCAAGTAAAGCTTATATATCTGTAATTTGTGTATGCAAATAATGCATGTTTTAAATCTTAAAAGAAATGCAAATAGAAACCTTTTGTCATAAACAACATTTCTATTTCTCATTCATAGCTAAAATATGAAATATTGTTAAATTTGTTTATGTTAATTTGTAATTTTTATCATCATTGTGATAGAATGTGCCAAATTTTCAAGTGTATGCCAGCTCAAAAGAAACACTTCATAACAGCATGGCTTTTCTCTTATTGCAGTTCATAATATCTCAAAATCAAATAAAATAAACAGTTTATCTCTCATAGTATTGTTGTATTTCATGTGCTTCAAAAAATTCTGCATTTAATGTCTGAAATTGTGATGGTGATTTGGAAAGTATGGGTAACTCTTAGGCAAATAATTGATAAAGTTAATTAAAATTGTCTTAATTTTATCTACATTTTTGCAACTCTGCTAACTAGGTTTTGATTTTCTAACTAATTTATAAAGTGAGTTGCCTATAAATATATTTCTATTATAAATATATATATCTATTTTTTGTGTAAATGTTTTCCAAAATGATTCCTAGAACTAATGGCCCTTTAAAACATGCCCAACACTTAACTGATATCTCTAAAGACTTGAAAATACTGCCATTAAATTTTGTTTCTTATGCAAGGATACTTTTCATGGCTGGTTTGATATTGTTTTCTATAACCTTGAAAAGAAAACTGACAATTTCTCAGTATTTTTCATATATACAAAATATATATAAATTTTTTGTTTTGGTTTTTTTCAGAATATGCTTATGAGATTTAGAATTTCTGAGTTACAAGAGGTACTTTGTGCAGCTGGAAGACCAAGATCAGGGCGCAAGCATGAACTATTAGGAAGAGCTTTGAGTTTGCTCCGACAATCAGAAGGAACTAGTTTACGAGAACGTGTAAAAAACAGAATTGTTGAACTCCATAGGCTACGATTTCCTATTCGACAATATCAAGGTGTTGATATACCACAAAACAATGGGCCAACTCTGATTCAGCCTCGAAAAACAACCTCAGACTTACTTGACTCTTCAAATAGCTTACAAAAGCGTGGTTCTCATGAGAAACAGTCATCTTTGGCTTCACTCCTTTCACATGAAGACTCTTCTAGTATTTATGATAAATATACTACACAAAAAGCACATATACCCACAACATTGGAAACTTTGATTAGGCCACAGAAAGGACAGCCAAATTGTGTTTCTTCATCTGAGCAAAGTTTACAGCTAAACGGAAGTTCCTGTCATGACGGCATGCCAGTTCACCCTGATGTTCGATTTATCAGCCTTCCATTTGCAGAACTTCAGGATGTTCTCATCAAAGCTACAAGTCTTGGTAAGCTTTGCTCTATTTGTTGTGTATCCAATTTAAGTCAATCCTTGTCCATCACCAAGATTAGTTACTTTAGTCTCTGGCAATGCCAGTGTCTTTGTCAATGCACGTTGCTTCAGGATGACTTCGTAAAAAGAGACTTGTAGTTTTAGCAAAATGTCCAGTATCCCTTTTTTTAACGACCAACAATATTTTGCCATTTAGGACACAGATTGTATATTTATCAACAGGTTTTTTCCAATCAACAACAAACATCTAGATATCTTGCTTAGGAGTCTATATTGCTTTGTATGCAAGGTGTCCTTTGATATGAGTTCCAAGAGTTTTCATAGCTGGAAGAACAATTGGAAGCTCCTTTGTAGGACTTTCTGCCTTTTTTCTGACATTTGCAACCATTTTCTGTGAAGTACAATCTATGAACTTTTATTTCAAGCTATGAATTCCCAATAACTTGAACTAATGGCTACTTTTTCCTAAAGTTGAAGTTATTAAAGCTCTCTAAAACAAAAACATTTGATGATTTGAATCACTTCATTGGTCCCTTGGATGTTTGAGTTATTAGGGGTTTACTGTATTTTATCATCAGAATATCTTAAAAGGGCCTACCTATGCTTTTCTTTGGGTAGTACTCTTTCTTGGCCAGTATTTTATTCATTTGTGTGATTTTTGTTATATTCTAACAGGACAAAAAAGAATGTCGGGGTACCAAGATATTACATTGGTTTTTCATCTGTCGCCACTGCAGGTCCAAACTATCACACACTCAAGGTTTATCTTCTTTGAGTTCTCTGATATTTTATTGTAAAGTGAAAACAATGAGTTTTTATAAATATTTTATGAGGTCTTTATGTTGTTTTGGATTTGGCTTTAAAACTTGAATGGCTTATGTATTTAAGCATGAAACATAATAAAGTATATGTGTTTTTTGTTGTGGAATGGAGCTTTATTTTTTCTTGATTTTTCTTTGTAGACTTGAAATTCATTCAACATTAAGTAACATTTCTGTACACTAACTTTCTGTTTGATTTTTTTAAGCACTCAATACCAAACCTAAATATTGAAATGTTTTATCCCATGCTTGAATCTAAAAATACAATGTAAGAATCTAAAAACCACATTCAAATTGAAAAATATTTGTTATGAAAAAGTGTTTATGACCAGAGGTAAATTAGCAATGTGTCTCTTCTTCATTTTTTGATAATTTTCTGGCATTTTCAGGTATCTTTCAGTTTTCCTTGTAATTTAAATATTATTCTTAACCTTTTCCCAGGTCATATTCTCTACAATCAAGAATAGAGTACAATGTCCAGGTCTTACTCAGGTGAGCACTATTAATTTTCTATAGAGCACATGGCTACTAAAGCATTTTAAAGCATTTGTATTTGTCTGAATGATGTTAAGTTGGCTTTAAAGACACCCAGTTTCCAAAGAAGTTTATTTTTCACCTGTTGCCTTGAATGTTTATACAAATCATGCCATTTCATAAGCCTTTGAGTTATTGTAAGTTAAGTGAATTCTGGATGGATGTTTATTGGAACTTTATTGAAAGATTTCTTGTTAGCACCTTATTGTAAAAGCTGAAATCCAAAGGATTAAAACTGTACAAGAAGCTATTGGTAGTAGCAATGATCTCAATGCTATCCATCAGGCATTGCATCAGAGGGGCAGCCCCCAATAACCATGTACAATGAATCATCTTTCTTTTTGCTTTTAGTAATCCATAACTGTTTGGTCATTCTAGCCCATTTCAGCTGAATTTCATGAATTGAATCCTCTAGGCAAAAGCACTAAATTTTAGCATAAACGTTCTGCCCATCAAAATACAGTTAAAATTTATAACCAATCAATTCTCTGGAACCTTCCAAAACAAACCTAAGTTTGTCATTGTCCCCATGAAAACCTTCCACCCTTAGGAATATCAAGGTTTTGTAAACCATAATTGCTATGGATATATTTTTATTTGCAGGTTTTGTTTAGCAGAAACAAGTTGTATTCAAGAAGATTCATATCCTTCAAGGTGTTCTATAAAAGTGAATGGAAAAATATGTCCGATTCCTGTATGTATTATGATTCAATTTTTTTCAGTCTTTCTTTTGGGTGGTCTTGCTTGTCATATTGCATTCAACTTGTAATCTACTGCTATAAAACATACAGGAAAATATTTATGCCATAAGATATTTCCATAGCCTTGGTAGTTGGAAGGACCTCTGTGAATCTAAACTTTGTGTGAACATGTTTGAAGCTGCTAAGCGCATCTATTCAAAATCAGCAGGCAAGAACCAACCTTTTTTAGTAGATGATTTGCAAAAAATATTTGATGATGTTTATGGTTGTGATGTTTATAATGGGCTGTTTTCATTTGCATTTGTGTGCAAATTATTAAGTTGAGCTATACATACTCTATACTGATTTTCCTTTGCCTTCAGGGACAGCCACCTCCTAATTCACAAAATATGGAACCAAAAAAGCCTCATCGACCTGTGAACATAACATCATATTGCCGATTATCACCGATGATGGCAAATCAGGTTCAAATATCATGGATGCCTTCCGACTTGGGAAAGGCAAGTCATCTCAACAACATTTATTGTTTTTTCATCTTAACCATATTATATTCTAATCAGAATTGATATTTTGTTATGCTCTCTGCATGGTTTAGTCTTTCATATAGTATCTGAGTAGAAACTCTTTCTATGACATGTTGTTGAGTGTAAAATAAGCTTGACTGTAATTCATTGATGGACTGTATAATGATTTCCATGACTTACGTATTAGCTTATATTCTAGAAACATTTTGTTGTAAAATATCCCTTTATTTGCGGAAGTAAATACACTTTCAAACGAGCTATTTCTGGCGTTCACTTTCGTGCAATTTGTGGCGCTTTCTTTCGTCCGTCATGGTTCTTTCTCATGTTTTTTGTTGCTCTTCTTTCTTCAGAGGCATGCTGCAAGCGTACAGCTAGTCAAATGTGTAACTGCAAGTACTTTGGTACAGCGGCTAAAGGCCAAGCCTCTTCGCAATGCTGACCATGCAAGAGCCCTAAGTAAGTCAGTTTTCCTCGATTATTGTATTGGTTTTCCATCCAGTATAAACATTCAGTGTTTTAAAGACAAATGCTCTTTAAAGACAAAGTAGAATATTGGTCCGCGATTTATGCTATCTGTAATGTCCCACACTACCTGTAGCTTGATGTTTCAGAGACTGTTATAGGTATTTAAGTTATACAATATTCATTGTAGACAGTTTAAGAGTTTTTTATTCTTCGAAATGTTGCGCAGGTAGATTCATGTCTCTTGAATTAAGTTGTTATTACTTTTTCTTTTTCATAATTAGTACTTAAAGGTCCATCCCAGAAAACTTTGCCCCTAAATCAATGTTAAATAGAAATTTGCCAGAACCCAACAAAATATAACAGCCCGGTATAGGTGTAGCACAGGGTTTTCCAATTAACAACAAACATCTAGATATCTTGCTTAGAAGTCCTAATAGCTTTATATGCTAGGTGTCCTTTGATAGGGGTTCCAAGTGTTATCATAGCTTGCAGAATGTTTAGAAGCTCATTTTGTAGAATTTCCCACTCTTTTTCTGACCTTTGCAACCTTTGTTTTGTAAACTACCCAATTCACAGTGTTTGGTTGTGAATCCCCGCTCCCTTTAAACCCTAATGTTTATGGTCCTTATTTTAAAAGCTTTGAAGACATCGCATTCAAAGGCACCATCATATAAAAACTTAAGCTGCAAAGCCAACGATGTTTGTCTGTTAAGACTGCCATAAACAACTCCTATAAGTGTTTTCTGATATCTTTTTGTAGTTAAGGAGCAATTGGCTCACGATCCAGATAACGAAGTCGCAACCACAAGTTTGAAGGTGTCATTATGTTGTCCTGTAAGTTTTTTGTCCCTTATACTGTTTTATTTAGAATTTTTACTGCAGTTATTTCTCTAATTCTTATATCGAAAACCAAATATAGTTTATATACTATTTCTTTCAAAATTCTTACTACAATGATTTTAAAAGAAGTAAAAGAAAACAATTCATGTTAATATCAGGAAAATCATGATTCAACAGTGAAGCCTCCATGTAGCTGGCCCTTTGAGACTGTCGTTGCTTTCGGCTGTAATGAGTTTTCCATTGTCTGAGGGTTGCTTTTACAAAGCCTTGACAAGAGAAGAGAAGCTTCAGAAGAAAGCATTTGTCCACGTTTTGTAGGTTTCAAGGGGTGGACAATTCTGGTAAAAGGTGGTCCTCGGGTGGGAGACCAGCAGCCCTTACAGCGGTCTCCTGCATATGGCCTGTTGTCTCCTAGAACAGAACTCTGGCAATAGGGGTGGACATTTCCAGGAGAAAAAGGAACGCCCGGCGGCTACTCTGTGTAACCATAAAGAGTCTCCCTCAGATAGAAACCGGCCGTCCCGGGTGCACAGGAGACCAAATTGTCCACCTTTGAATGTCAGTTGTTGAGAGGTGTCCATTGTGGGCAGATGTCTTTTCTTGAGATGTGTCCTTTGTTTGGAGATCTCACTGTTGCTGATTTGCCACAACTGGTCACTTCCACGTACTAATCATGATACTAAATTGGCTTTTTTTATCTCTCATAGATTGGGAAAACGCGGATGACAATGCCATGTCGAGCAACAACTTGTAACCATGTTCAGTGCTTTGATGGATCGCTCTACATCCAAATGAACGAAAGGTGCTTCCTCCTTGCTACGTGCTTTTATTCAGGGTGGTTTTCAACAAATACAATCGAAGCGATTCGATATTCAGCAAACATGCGCTCTTTGAATCATTTAGCAACCAGGAAATGAACCTAATAATTTATAATGCTGTGTTTCATAGTCAGCTCCACTGAACCTGATGTATGTTGTATTTTGCTTAATGGAGATGGCTTGTTGTGCGAAGAGACTTCAGTTGACGAATTTTTTAATAATTGCCACTCAAAACATTCAACTGCCAGATGAAAAGAAGATGTTCAATCGCTATTACTTATGAAGAAAATGATTGTTTGTTTAGGAAAGGGAGACACAACAAAAGTACCATTGATTCGATTATCCCAAAAAAATTATTTCTTTGTGATTTTATTTGTGTTCAAATAAATTTTTGCCCGGTAATTGATTTCCTGTTTTTTTAAATAGAAAGGCTGGGTAATATTCTGAATTTCAAGATCAGCTAAAGAGTATTACCAGTCATTTGAAAACTATTTATACTGGAAAAAATTCTTTAGAAAAATATATATGAATTATAAATGATATTTTTAATATCAAACTTAATTAAACTCAAAACGAGTAATGTTCCGATTCATATATTATTCGGTTCTAACAGATTCAATAATCTTTTTACAGAAAGCCCAACTGGACTTGTCCAGTCTGTGATAAAAAAGCCTTTTACGACCAACTCATTGTTGACGGGTAAGTTGGCGCATGTTTCGAATCTACAGAAGAGGAAGTAAAACTAAGTTGACGCATGTTTCGAATCTACAGAAGAGGAAGTAAAACTAAGTTGACGCATGTTTCGAATCTACAGAAGAGGAAGTAAAACTAAGTTGACGCATGTTTCGAATCTACAGAAGAGGAAGTAAAACTAAGTTGACGCATGTTTCGAATCTACAGAAGAGGAAGTAAAACTAAGTTGACGCATGTTTCGAATCTACAGAAGAGGAAGTAAAACTAAGTTGACGCATGTTTCGAATCTACAGAAGAGGAAGTAAAACTAAGTTGACGCATGTTTCGAATCTACAGAAGAGGAAGTAAAACTAAGTTGACGCATGTTTCGAATCTACAGAAGAGGAAGTAAAACTAAGTTGACGCATGTTTCGAATCTACAGAAGAGGAAGTAAAACTAAGTTGACGCATGTTTCGAATCTACAGAAGAGGAAGTAAAACTAAGTTGACGCATGTTTCGAATTTACGGAAGAGGAAGTGAAACTAAGTTGACGCATGTTTCGAATTTACGGAAGAGGAAGTGAAACTGAGATAGTGCACTTTAGGTGCAGTTTAAGATAGTGAGAATAAAGAGGTCAAATTAGATTTGCTTAAGGTTGGGCTCTGCAGGGAATGACCCGAAGTGACATGCGAATGTCTCATAAATCTAGCCATCTCATTTTTCTGTCGATTTTTCAATGATGCCATTAAAATTAATTTCTAAGCCAAGCTGCATAAAGATTTGACGTTAAAAACAAGAAAAATTATGATTTTTCTACGAAAGGGATAATAGTTGTATTTTTAAGCTCTACAGCGCCAGAAACGTCTCTGTAATCTTCCCAAACTCTCTGATATGAAGACCGTGCCTTTCTTCATCTCATGGCCAGCATTGGTCTTGTTACAGGTTGTTTACTGAAATATTACGGAGTGCGCCTGACAGTAATGACATAGTGTTTCTTCAAGACGGGTCTTGGAAGGTCCAGTCAGACAATGGTAAGGTGTCATTGAGTTTAGCATCGTGAAGTTGTGACACATTGTTCTTGCTTTTTTGCTTCAAAGCCGCTATGTAGACACTAAGAAATCAGAGAAAGTATTTTTTTAAACGTTTCTTCTGATGATACTATTTGAGATAGGTAGAGGATGAGCAAGGGAATAAGATTATAATGAGATATGGATCTAGAAATGACTTTGTTTGGATAACAAGATCTTGTCATAATTGTTGAAAGTTTTCTTCTCATTTTAGTTTCATGGAATTATGTGATGCATATTTATTTTTTAATTAAACAAATTTTAATGTTCGGGCTAGAACTCTGTATGCCAGGTGGACAGATTGATTTTTGCAAGGAATGTCTATTGGATGATTGAAATGTAATGTAAAGTGTTTTTTCAAGTTTATTCAAGAAACTGTGATCAAATCGTATTCAGGCTGGTACCATTTGTCTATATAATATTGATGATCGGCTCTTGCAGTTTAAATCTGACATGGTAATCATATGTCATTCTGTATTTTATAGATCTGGAGAGCAAAGCGTCAATAATGACCATCATCGGAACCCCGTCTTCATCGAGCAGAGGTGAAGGTATGATTGGTTTCTCATGCCTCTCTTACTTGTGTTTATCGAATTAATTATAATGAGCCCGGGGGTGCTTATCTGACAGGCACAAAATGTTTAAAGTTTTGTGGCCCTAAAACTGGATTAAAATTTACTAGTTAAAGATCGCTGAGTTAAATTGCAAGAATCTACATATGGGTGCCTTGATGCAAGATGTAAAGAATTTTTTCCAAATCTGCCGAACTAGTAGGGGGACTTATTTTAGAGGAAGATAGTAGGGGGATATTTCTTTTAGAGAAGTAGGGGGATATTTCTTTCTTCACATAGCTTGGTCTAATGCCGAGTGCTTTGCGAATGATATATAGTATAAGATCTACTAGAAAGGTGTCAGTTTAAGGCCTTGGATTATAAGCCAGCGTTACAAAGGCGATGCTTCTATCGTGCTGTCGTTGGCCAAGACATATTGTATACCTTATGTAAACTATATCTTATATATAACCATTGATTGTTACTGAAAACCAGTTGAAGAGTTCAAGGGTATTAGATATTTGGTTAGAAACTGAGATCATCAATGTGCAGGCTTGTGCCGAAAAAGGTTCTTTCGTTGTTGAAATTGTATTTACAATTTTAATTCCATTCTAGAATCAACAACAACAACAACAATGAAGCAGAGGGAAAGAGACTTCTGCATGATTGATTTAACTGGAGATTCAAGTGATGAGGAGGAGCCTCCTCCACCACCTATCAAGTCAAAACCAATGAGGTGCGTTCATCAACTTTCACATGCTATTTTTTATCCACGCTTATGCCACATTGGTAACATTGCTATTTGTTTGCCTACCAGCTGTGGCTGGATTTCCCTAGATTTTGTTAATCTAAATCCCGTGATTTACGGTAGATAATCGTAAAAGACAGTCTGAGAAGAAGAGAGTCTGTTCGATCTAATTCAAACTTGTGTTTCCCCATAAATTTGGTCAAAATACCATACTATTCTGCTATGCTAACACTTTTATTTTGCATTCGCAGCTACAATGCAAACATCAGTCATCATAGAGGCCCACGAGTTCGTCAAGTTCCCATGGTTTCATCTTCGACTATACAATACCACCCTTTTCCATTATTTGATCCTGAAATCCAAGGTAGGCCGTGTCAATATTACTCATGCACTCATTATAGAATGCTTGCAAAGGAAAACTCTTATTGAAGCTCAATAGTTCAGGTAAATGTCTTTTACAGGTACAAATTTGCAACATGAATTCTTGTTTTAATAATACAATTACTTTGCTTTGACCAAATTTTTTAATGTTTGTTCTATCTTCGACTCCTTGTTTGGCCTAAGAAATCAGTTAGGCAAAATTTAAACGCGAAAGTCAAATTCAAACCTGTTCTGCCATAAGGAAGGGATTCCCCCGGCGAAATTTGTTTGATAACCACAAACCAAAAAACTTGGAGCGGAGTTGGCTCATAATTTCGCTATGAAAATTATTGTAATGCATTTTTAACTCCACGTTCTGTTTTAATTGCCATGAAGTATTTAATTTATCTATTTTTGCAGCTCCTGATTTTTACTCTGTTCTACCAGAAGAGGAAAGGGTAAGTATTTCTTCTTATTAGATTCTTACAGTGCTTATTTTTGTGAAACTTAGAATTAATTTTCATCTTGTTTCATGAAAGCTTTAACTCTGAAATGACTGCATTCATTAACATAAGACTAAAGATCAAACATTTGTTATTTAAATCAGAGTTGCAGATTTCTCTTTTCACTCTGATTGGCATCACTTGACAATTCCATAATTACAACGTTATGACAACTGTTACATATTTTTGAGAACAATGATATTGAAGCGCGGGTTTTAAACACTCTTTTTTTTAATGTTTGTTGATTCTGTATTTTGAAGCGGTACAACTTAAGAAGCAGGGGGACCCCTTACCGGTAGCATTTTCAACAGTAGAAGGTGAGATACGGTGCAAGAAATAAAGATGCATAGTTCAAAACATCAGTTTATAAATACAGCTCTTTACAACCTTTATCTGAACTTCTGGCTAGGATTGTTGGGGAGACAAACAAGTGTGAGGCAACCCTCCGTTCTTGAGTCAAAGAGCGAAGTCAGTATTATGCGTTCTGATACCGGAACGGAGGGTTGCCTCGCACATATGAAGATCTTCTAGTAGGGGTGTACCGGATCAGGATTTTCAGAATCCGGATTTTACCGGATAATCTGGCCATTTATGGATTTTTCAGTAATAAAAAGTTTTGAGCCACTTTGTGATAAAATGTATAGCGAGAAGATCAAAGAGACCCATTTGAGTTGCCAGATTGAATTTACAAACGAAGGCTAGACTGGTAAGCAATTTAAGCCAAAATTCTCATAAAAAGGCCAAATCAAAAACTTTCTCAAGAATCCATCGAGCAGGCACTGGTTATATTTCTACGCTTGTGCCTGTTAGATAATTTCATAACTTAGATAAGAATCTTACTTTTTTCCAAAACCCTTTGCTAATTTCAAGATAATATTTAGGTTAGGTGATAAAATTTGAAATTTGGTTAACACTTTGTAGTTAACTACTAATTATTCCATGAATTTAGTAATTACTCATTAATTTTAGACGTTCTGCTGAAAAGGCCAACAGGGTCAAATTTAAGTAGTAAGCAAAAAAACAATTTTTCCAAGCAATCTAAATCTAAAAACCAAAAATGAAAAATTTGGCCTAAAAAGCCAATCTAGCAACGCTGGACCAAATTTGTGAATTATATCATCCAGTCTTCCTGCTTCGTGATGTCGAGCACTTTCATTTCACCTCTGTTTTCAAGGTGCTTGTTTTATCGTTGATCTTGTTAAGTTCTGGAAAATCCTGCAAATGGCCGGATTTCGGAAACAATCCGGTCGGAACCGGATTTTCAAAAAATCAGCGATCCGGCGCCGGATTATCCGACCTACCAGATATCCGGTACATCCCTATCTACTAGAAAGATATGCTCTAGGATTTATTTGGCAGTAATAACTGTCAGGTTTTGGTTCATTATGTAATAACTATCAGATTTCACCAATGAACAATTAGGTGTTAACTTACTCGAGTGAACCATTATGCAATGATTTTAATTCACCTTTTGACAGTCTCTGAATTTTTTGACTTAGAATCTTTTAGAATTTTTAATGATGATTACTTATGCCCCAGTAATGATGATTATGATTTTATTTTGTTGATGGTGGGAGTTATTAAATTTTTTGGTCTATATGCTTTGTGTTTTCTTCTGCATAACTGACAACTGTTTAGAATATTTTTATTAACGAAAGGCAAGATGTTGGCTGAGTAATAATCGCCAGTTCAATTTCAGATGGCGGCAGAATTATATTTGACGCAATCAGGGTTACTTACGCATCTACACGAATCGCGTCGTTCGCCCTCTGACGTCATATCGCTTGACTGACGGTACCACGACCAGCAGCGATTCTCAGAAAATTGAGAAAAGAATTTGAGATTGTTAAAATGGCAAACAGGCTGCAGACAAGAAAAGTGTGAAAGTTACAGCCACGTCAAAAGACATTAAGTTTAGCGACAATTTATTAGCTTTTGAAAAATGTAAAAACAACATTGTACAAAATTGGTTATGAAATAGAAGTAATCTTGTTTTTAGTAAGGGGCTGCATCCACCCATTAAACTTTTTGCATCCCTCTGTTACGATCTGTTTGTTTTTCGAGAGATCTATTTTGTGGACGAGTTGAATTACTAAGCAAACTGGGGTGGGTAGGTTCACACGATAGCCTCGACTTTGTCTGCCTCATTTGAGTGAAATTAAAGTTGAGGGTGTAAGCGAAGTCATGGACAAGTGTAAATATCTAGCTTATTAGATTTTAAGACTTTTAAATTTTTATGATGGAACAGTTTTCGTTGCATTTTGTCGTCTTTCAGATTGCTTGAATGGCTAATTTATCTGCATGATTTTGTCGACCGTTACTTAGTGATATGCATCAATCGTTTTAGTTTCTTGTGTGCAAAATCTTCTAATTGTCATTTTCCCCATCGGACATAGAGACAATTAAGTATTATGCATGTCTTGATTTTCTCCTATGTGCTTCGTAATTTGATTTTGATAATCTTGAACGGAACTCTTACAGAAATCCCTATTGTATTGAAAGCCAAATGGCCCCTCAAGCAAGCATCCCAAAACTTTGGTACGCATAGTACAAAAAAAGAACCAACGTAGGCATACCCTTCATTAATACCCTTACATTCCCCTCACTTAAATGCGGTTGATTCACTTTCCTGCTAAGTCCCTAAAACGAGTTCTAATAAAGCACCTGTAGCTATGCTACGTTTCAGGTGAATTCAGTTGGTTTGCAAATATTATGTTTTCCAGGTTATTAATTATTCACGTTTTCTATTCAGTAGATGTTGCAGAATGTTTACTTTTTATCTTAAGCAGTTGTGTTAACCAACTAAGCTGCATTGAAAACCGGCATTGTTGTAAATGAAGCTTTAATATGTATCTAGATGGTACCATATTATTTGTTTTGTAGTTCTTCAAGTACTACATTTTGCGCGTAATTAATCTCTTATAGAACATTTAATACTTTCGCGTAGCTGTTAGTCTGATAAAATACCTGATAGATCGAACAAGACTGAAGCAAAGTTTTGAATGCGTTGAGAATCAGAAGTATGCAGCAACCCCTGCGTTACACAGTTTATAGTTGCTGCAATCAATGTTCTCTCCCACATTGAAAAGAGCTCACAATGCAACCTCTCCGGACAGTTGGCAGACGCGTTTTAAGATTATTCTCACTTTACGCGCGGACAGTGATTTCGTGTACTGTCGCGCGCGCGAAAAGATGATATATAGTTCGAACGCCGGTATAGCAGTCAAAATCTATGCCCATTTTTATCCCCTTTTCTTACACATTGCTCAGCTATATATTTTTAGAAGATGTTTGCTTTTTCTTGAACAAACCGCTAGTTGAATTTAAGAGTTTTTTACTCAATTTATTCCTGTGAGTTATAAAGAATAAATTCCTTGTGTTTTGTGTTGTTTTTCCCTAACCGATCATAACACAGTTTCCACGACTGAAGGCAACCAAGCCACAGATGTTTTTAGAGGACAGTTTATGATCTGAACCTTATTATTGTTTATTATTGAACCAGAAATTATTGTTTAGAAGCATGAAAAGTCAATATCTATATTGTGTATCAGTGAAAAATTGCAAAATATCTAATTTTTTGAACATTGGTTAACAAGACTGTGAATTTCTACTAACAATATTATGATATACACTCTTTTCTAATAAGAACCAGTAAATCTAAGTTCAGGCTGACTGTTCTTAATTTTTTCGAAAATCTGAGGCTGGATTGTTCTTAATTTGTTCTTAATCTAATAGGGTGTAGGCAGTGCGAGTGCTAGCTTTTTCGCTCTAGGGTGGTGTTCAGGCCTCATTTGCCAACGAAGTGAGTGAGACAGCCTTAATTTGCTGAAAATTTTTGAATATTCGCCGATAAAGCACCCGCACATCGATAAAAATTCTCGATTTTGAGAAAAAACGTTGTTCAAAATTGCATTAGCAGATGTAGAAGTTCAGCCTCAGCTTGTTCATAATTTTTTCTTAACTTTTGACCAATTTTGAGGCTCGTGTTCTTATAAAAAAGAAGAATATAACTACTTAAAATTTTAATTAGGCCAAAATGGCAGTCAAGGATTGAAGTTTACAGAAAAGACAATTGAACTAAGAGAATAGCTATGGATGTTTAAAAAGCTTTTTTTAAACGTATGGTATTATTTGGTTTCAAAAAGATAAAGTTAAAGAAATCGCCCCAAAAGTTGAGCTATAGACAATACCGAAATGCAATAGATATTCAAAATTTATTCGATGATTTGATTAGCCGAGAAATATTAAAGAACGATCCTTGCAATGTTGGCAAGATCCAGTTAACACGTTTTTGTAAGAAAGAAATTTCCTTCGCGCAGCTGAATATCTAGCTCAAGGTGTCAATGTGATTTATAGAAAACAGTTAAACTTAAATTACCAGTACAATAAACTCGAAATTGATTTCATTAGCAAATAGGATAATTTTTGCTGCAGATCTCATTAAAACGTTTGCGTTTGAGGAAAATTGGAGGGCCTAAAAGGCCTTTCTGAATAGAAAACGAGTCTCTTTGTGAACATAGGTTTTCTGTTTTTGAATGATCATGCATGTAAGTTATTTCAGTGTAAAAGTTAGCTATTGGAACAAGACACAATACAAACGAGAAACTGCAAACCATAAAAAGCGTTAAAATGTACTTACATACGAATTCAGGGACGCCGGAGCACATTTTGATGAGGGGGGGGGGTGGCTCTAGAAAAATTGGCAATTTTTTATCGTAGTTTTTCGACCATTATATTTGATGCCACAACATTAATATCATACTTAAGCAAAGAAAGTGAGGGAGTTACAGCCCCCTCCCCCCAGTTGCGGCGTGCCTGGAATTTAAGGTCATTTGAAATCCTACCATCAAAAGAAGAACAGAAAGCTTTCAAGAACAGCCGGACATATATGTAAGAGACATGGGGACTGAGAGGGATGCCGCCCACCTGATCAGGACAAATTCGTCGCATCTCAGGCTCTATTCGGGCACTTTTCGTACCGTACTGGGCCCCCCTGAACGTTTATCATCCGCTACACCTATGCAGAAGGAGATAATCATTTGATAATTCGTATAAAAAGCATCCTTAATCAACTCTTCAGATGTTTTCAAATGCTTTTCTTTGCTAGGATTAAAACTGTTCTTAAGGAAATGAATTAATAAATCAAAAGTGTATTTTTTCGCTCCACGGTGTCCCTGTAACTAAACACTTTAGTTGTTGCTGTTGCAGAGGCAGTAGACTCCAGGGGAGAAGTGCTGGGCTTCGAGTTTGATCGCAGAATGATTAGGTGATTGCCGTTCGCCAGAAAGAACGAATTTTAGACACTACCTCACTGATAGTTCGAGCCATAACCATCTGGAATAGATCTCAAGGATTCGTGTTTATTAACTTGGCCGGGAATGGTGATGCTTTGCTAGGAATAAGGTATGACTGTTTGTCACAGTTTTCGTTGCGGTAAAGCCGAACTCCGTCTCTCGCTGTGCGAACTTACTGTTTCTAATATTGCTGTTGAATCAAAACAGGCTTTCAAATTTTATTTAAGCTAGATTACTCTTCAAAGACAGTTTTATAAATCTAGAAATATTCTTGATATTTGCTGCTCAGAAGATGAGGAAATTTCAGTGTCACTTTCAATTGTGATTTGTTACGAAGCGTCAGAAAGATTTGCGAGGATCTCAAATCATGGCCTAACTTTATTTTAGGTATATTTACAAATTTACCGCGACGTGACCATGTTAATAAAGTCGGTTTCTACTTGCTGTAAACCAATTATTTTCCTGAATAAGTTTAAAGTTTGTCGTAAAGGATTATGTCAATTGTGTCTCTCGAAAATGGCCTGTGATCGATATCAAAGCGCGGTTTGTAAAGATCACAGGAGGGCGCAAGTTAATTCGTCGAAAAAGAAATCACATTTTGTGTTTCGTTATGTGTTAGAAATAAACTTTCTTGAACCACTTTTTTCGTTTTCTCTTTGACTTGGGTTGGATGATCTGGATTTCGATAATAGGAAGAATAATGCACACATTTACAATTTACTTCTACTTTAGTGGTCAAATTGTCAATAGAATTTTGTGGTCGCAATGATCACCCGAATTTCAAGCTGAGAAGGAACTCTACACCCATCGCAAACAGTGAAGAGGAAAGGCGTTCGTTGTGATAAACGATGGAGGGCGAAGACGAGGATATGGAGTGTCAACAAGACAGTGGTGATGATGGTAATTATGCTCTTTACAGTCAATCTTTTATTTGTTTTGAGAACGATTACATTGACATGTCGAGACTGAGAGCTCTCGACAGTAAGAGTGCAACTTCTGGTTATGAATGGCACCATTTTCTAAATGTATTGTCTCGATTTAAAAAAAAATTCTTATACCTTCGAAGGACTTTTAAACCTTAAAAGAAACTTAAAATTGATCGAATAATCTATCGCTGGAAGTCACAACAGACGGATATTGCTTCATCTTCAAGTTGTATTGTTCCCAAGTGATTATTGCCATTCACACCCAGTTTTACGAATTTTCTTCTAATAAAGGCGATTTAACTTAGTGAAAATCCAAAGATAGACTAAGAGTACATAGAGAGTACATAAAGCACTGGCTTGTGCATTATTATGAATACCTAAACAAAAGAGCCTTAGGGTGCTATGCAAAAATGTCTGAAACCATCTTAAAACCTCTGTGACTCTTTCATAACCTTTTTGCTCCTCTATTTTTCAGTGCACCCAGTTCCTTCCCTAGTATTAATGCTTATTAATTAGTCATGGGAATGAACCTTATTTCCCTGGTTGCTAATAATTTTTTGTTTCCACATTTGTGGTCAAGATTAAGTTAATGACAGCAACCTGTGTTTAGTTATGGAGGGATCATGGTTGGGGAAAAATGAACAAATATTTTAAGCATGTTGGCCATACAAAAGTACACAAGCCTTGCAAAGAAGAGTGAAATAAGAATATTTTTATACACCAACTATTAGAATTTACTTAGATTATTGATCAGTTCTTTCAAAGCTTTTTAAAAGAGATATCCAAAGATAGCAGTAATGAAAAATCAAACAAGAAGCTTTATCAGTTCTGATATCACCAAATCTTGTATGAATTTGCAAAAGTTTATGAATGTGTCATTATCTTTTGTAAATTTGCATTATGTTATTAAGCAAATAATAGTATGATATGATAAAAAAAATATTTAAGGCTAAGAATGTCTTAGATTTTATGTTTCCTTTGAAGCAGATGCTACCAAGTAGTTTTGCCAAAGAAGACAATAGGGATACTTTTGAGGGGGTTATTTCCCTATTTTCAACAAGGGGTGCAGATAGGTTTCGAAAAGTCAATCATAAACAAGTAGATGGTAAGATCTTATACCTTGGTAGCAGGTTATTGTATTTACTCAGTTTTCATTCACATTAAAATATTTCCCAGGTGTTCTAAAGTGTGTAATCCATAAAGAATTATCTCCTTCAAGTTTATTCCATATCTTGTTTTCTTATCTAATCCTCATGAGAACTGAAATTATTAGAGTCTATGTTGGGGCGGTTCAGAAGTAATATCTTGCTTTACAAATTGACTAGACATATCTCAAAATGTGATGGGGTGTGACAGGTTTCTAGATTCTTCAACTTCCTATGTTAATTTTCTTTATTTGGTAGAGTAGTTATGCCTTGTTTTAATGTCAAACAAGAGAACAAAAATTGTTGATCCTCATTGAATAACCCAGGTCTACCTAAAAACATTCAACAAGACACAGTACATCAAATGCTGATTGAGAGTGTGCTGATTAAATTCATCAGAGTTTGAAAATAAAATTAGGCATATAACAGCTTTTTCCACTAAGAAGTCCACTTTCCTGTTTTACAGAATTATATTGTTTTGTTGGCAAGTTCATCTGAGTTTTAGGAGATTTGTAATAGAGTGACAATCCTTCTCATTTCAAGCACAAACAAACACATTATTGAAACAATTGTAAGCCATTTGTATTCCCAACAAATATTTGCTGGTTTTGCCTATGCTCAGATTACTAGGAACATTATAAAAGATTTTTTTGCAGGCATGGTGGAGCTAGGTGGATGGGGGGCTATAGCCCCCTCTCTTTTTTGCTGAAGTATGATATTAGTGTTGTGACATTAAGAATTATGTTTGCTACCATAAAGGTTTGCTATTTTATAAACCTCATCTCCTGTAAATCCCACTGCCACAGCCAGGGTCAACATAGCTATGAATGATACCCATCTTTTTTGAATGTGAAAACTTTTTTATGAAGACAAAGGGTATCTCAAAGCAAAATGTACTACTGTTATATCCAATTGTTTTTACTATGATTTGAAAAAACAATATCATAAGTGTAAACTTATTACAATCATTGCAGGTATTTGGGACGACCTAATTTTTACACCAACAGAAGCACCAATTTATGTAAGTCATATTCTATTTGTCAGCTGTTTTACTTAAAATGGTTTAAACTTCAACAATGTGCAGTTTTCTTTTTCTGTTAAGCAATTTTGCAGACAGAATACAATGATAAATAGTTTTAAGGTCATCATTTATAATACAAATGGTGCTTTTTGATGTCCTCATCTCATGTGTTTTGTATGGTATAATTTATTCAATGTTAGTTGTTGAAATAGTAGATAATCACAGATCAAGACTAACATTGAGCAGTTTCATTGATTGCATCAAGCAGTTTTATGGATTGCATTAGGCAGTTACTTACTGCAAAAATAAAATGTGCATTTATTTTCATGGAACCAAGTCTTAATCAGATTTTTGGATTCATCAGAATTCTGGGCTATTTTTATTCAGTCTCGAAGCAAGTTCAAGATTTTTGACGCTTGAAAACTGTGTAATCTGATTCCATAATTTCAGCTCTAGTCTTTTGTTTATTTCTAGATTTTGTACACAAAGGTTTTGACTTGTTAGTCCTTCATAAAAGTAGGATTAGGATTGTTGAGAGTTTTGTATACTTCAAGTGCTAATGTAACATGTAGCAAGTCTTGAATTGTTTTTAAGTGTCTGTTTAATCACTTAGCAACACAAAACCATTTGAATCATTTGAATATCTCCACCAACCATAAAACCAAAATTGAATCTTTCATCATTTGGTTTCCTATCTCTAGTCATGTGACATTGGGCACTGTGCAAGAGACCAGAAAACAAAAGTTGTTTTCACTTTAGATTTCTGTGATTGAATGGAAGTAAATTTGTAGAAAACTGCATTTTTCTCTTTAAGATTGATTTATTTTGTTTGTTTAATGTTTTGTTAGGTAATTGCCATGAATCTCTAGTTCTGTTGTAATGTTTTGATTTGACATTAGTGAAGTTTCTAGTAACTGTTTGAAATATAGCTGTTTATATTTTAAACTCCAATCTCCAAGTAAAACTAATCTTCAAAATGAAATTTTCATGGCTAGCCACATGCTATCTCATCTACAAAAGCCAAAATGTAAATAAATATATTAATATTGTCCAAAAACAAACCTGCTTTGTGAAGAAGGCTTTCCTTGTCTGATTTTCATAATTGTTATACTTCAGTTGAGAACAAATAGATTTTCATGTGAAAGGTATGAAGCAGCAAAATATCTAGGTTATCTTTTTGATAACCTTAAACCATAAATACAAACATTTTGTTGCCTGTGAAAAATTTTTGAGTAAACTTTATTTTTTGTACAGCATTTTTTCAATGTAATCTAAATTCTGTTGTTCAATCTAAATTCTGTAAAATTCTGATCATCTAAAAGCAATTTTACAGAGCAAATTTTCCTAAATTTAATTTGGGAAATCAACAATGTAGTAAAGATAAAAAAAATTTCTTTGAAGATCAAAAATTTTCTTTGAAGTTATCAGCTGTTAACCAAATCTGGCATAAGGTAGATAGAGGCTTTGGGTTACTATGTCAAATTCCAAAAGCACTCTTTTGGTGATGTATTTAGTCCAGTCATGCCCTGATGCACTAAATGACATGTTATCTCATACATACTTGTCTATTTTTCAGGGTGGTCAAAGCATTTTCATTTCATGTGGAGGCCATTTATCACCACTGCAAAAAGATGTTGCCTATTATGTACTATTTGAAGGAACAAACTTGCGTCATTTAGCATCAACAAAATTTGTTAATCCTTTCACTCTGCAAGCCATAGTACCAGGTTGGATACCAATCACATTCTTTTACCCTGCTTTTTATGATTATTTGCAGTAATATTGAAATAAGAGAACTGAATCATATATAAATAATTTTGATCTAAAATCATGTGAAGACCAAAGCTTTATATTGGCCTATACTTGGTTAAATAATTTCAATGTGAATTTATTATCTAAGAGCATAATGCAGCCACTTTCTTTAATTAAAACATGTCGTTAGGTCAGATAAGGTATGGAGTGTTAAGTCTTGAATGTAAGCATTGCGTCCAGTTTCTTTCAAGATGAAGGGAAATACTGTCCTGTTGACTTGCAAATGTGTCAAATTTTGCGGAGAGTTGTAAAGAGGCTTTTGTGTTTTATTATTGACTTAAATCACGCGTATTTGACTTTTCGGCAAAATCTTATGAGAAACCTATGTCTGCTAATCAGCTTTACTGATAAAAATTTAAACTCGCCTTGAATAGCTGGTACGGTTTTTGGCGTCTTTTATTTCGTTGTTGTTTTTATTTATTCCGATGTATTGATTGTTTGTGATGGCCTATGAGCCCTTTTTTCCCGCGTTTATATTCTTCAGATCACGATATTGCGGAGACTGTTGATCTGTCTGTCACGTACAAAGCTAATGATAATTACACGATGAGGAGCAGGACAACATTCACTTTCACTCTTGATATGACAGTTCTGCTTGCGCAGTCGTTAGCAATGAATGCCTGCAATTCGGCTGCACTGAAGCAGCTTGAAGCGATGTATAGCTCACTCTTGCTGGTCACTGCTGACGAGCTTGTAGGACTGGATCAAAGACTGACTACTGCATTCTGTCAGTTAGAATTACCAGTTACTTGGAGCTTAGCGAATAATCAAGGTGAATCTTTTACCCTATCGCCAAAACTCCATTTAGGCCTTTCACTTGGCAATCTAGCTCTTTCTTTCCGAGAATATTTTTTTAGCTCAAAATAAACAAATTATATTTTAACCGTAGACTTTGAAAAATCTAAGTGCAAGCATGATCAAAACTTGGCAAGACCGGGATTCCCTTGAAAAGGAAATCCTCTATCAGCGCTACTTTTTGGAAATAGCATTTTCATAGTTATCATGTAAAATATATTAGAAATAATGAATTTTGCAAAGGATCCTAAAAACAGATCGAAGATAAGTCACATTTAATAATATGCAAATCGCTTTGTTTCTGGAAGGCAGATACAATATACCTCGCCTTTTATTTTACCCAACTCCACAGTGACTTATAGAAAGCTGAAATGTACTTTATTAAATCATATATTTGAAAGTAAAAACACTGGAAAAGACTTTAAAGATTCTATAACCGTATAATGAAAATTTCGAAAGAATATTTGCAAAAATAAAAAACTTTTTGTATCTTTTATGGATTGTATTATCCATGTGTTTTAACTTCATTCCAGTTTAGATCTCTTTCGTGTTGGCTACCGTGCTCCGCATTTGTTCCTATCCGAGTTTTCTTGGCCTATAGGATACGGTCCTATCTTCTAGAGGTATCAATTGGACATTAAAGCACTTTTGCAAATCCTTCACATTATGCCTTACAGTGATGCTCTGGCTCTAAGACAGAATAAGTCTTGCCCCGACTGTCTGTACGACTTTCCCGACACTTTCAAATAAGTTCCCGATGCTTGACCTGGTACATTTACTGGATAACTGGATTATCCCTGAGCTTTTGGGAATGCTTTCATCATAGTTTCATCGGCTTAAAATACCGTGGGATATTTGGGATTGCTCTGTATATAACGGTCACTGTCGATTCGATCTTAAGCTTCCAAAATAAAAGGCCTGTTTTCCCCTTCGGATACTAGTTAATTTTTCAAAATCTGCAGCTGCTTTCTTTTATTCCTGAAAATTTTCAATAATCAAGGTATCTCACGTTTTTTGCAGCATCCTGGACTTTGCTTCACTTCTGTGCCAAGTATGGTTTTGTAAATTTAGCAGAGTTACTGTGCAGGAATCACGACACTGCCGAGGCGCTGTTGGTTAAAGACGAACACAGCCAAACGCCAATGGACATTGCAATCACAAAAGAGAACGTGGAGCTAATGGAGCTTCTGTCAAGGTGAGCTTGCTAATTAAGATAGACAATTGCTTCGTTCAGCGCTTTGTTCAAATACACAATCCCTGCCAAAAGTCGTGGAAAACTAATGTCAGTGTTCAGGAGAAAATTCAACCATCCTCCTCTCCCCGAGCAATTTTGGCATAATAGGAGTGAAAGGGTGAAAAGAAATTTTGTATCTTAATCCTGAACTTTCATTGTGGCTATCTTTTCAAAAATGTCTAGATAATAACGTTCAACCATCAAAAGGATCAATTTTGTTTGTTTTTCATAGCAGTTGCTATTTATCAAATTGTTAATGATTGTTATCGACTTTTTTCAGTCGAAATCTTTGTTTTTAAAATTAATTACATGCTTGTGGTTGTTTATGCAGAGGTTTGGCCTACCGCTATAATTGTTACTCTAGGTCTTTGTAGCGCGTTTGTTTAGAATTCAAATATACTCATAGGCGGGCTCTTAGAATGTCACTCTTGCCTACTTCAGCCATAGTTGTTTTTCCTCTCGCTTAGAATCTAATAGAAAAGGCCTAGCTAGATATCAGAAGGTTGTTTAGCGTTTTGTAATCAATTTTGTTCAATTTCATATATGATTCATGTGCATTCATACGAGAATTTCCATGAAATGAATCTAGCAGGTATTTTTAAATCGACTTATCTTAAATCCAGATTCCTTGAAAAACGGTGTTAAGATTTGGACCCTTCCCTAATGTATTTAGGGGCTTTGGCTAGGGCTGAGACGTCGTGTTACATATGCGCCAAGAGCTGAGCTGTGTAACTATTTACGATGGAATGGTATTGAGAGGGGTCCTTGCATAATGATTAAATAAGTATACAAATATCAGTGACTTCATCAAGGACTTTATCTCAGTTTTCTTCCCCAGGCACAATAATGCTTGTTACACTTCTTTGGACCAGAAAGATTACGACAACTTGTGGGTTATGCACCTTGTTGCCCCAGGCCCCTGATTGACTGAAAGTGAACTGTTGGTCCAATCAGAGCTGATCCTGCCTTTAATCAGCTGACCGTCCACAGAGCACTTTGAGGCTATCTTTTTTCATATTTAGCTGCTCTTGATTTTAACAGCTTTTGGTTAAATCTCAATCGTATCTACAACCCCGGACAGAACCAGTTGATGTTTTCTTTCGAAAAATAACCTTTCCCCTCCCCCGATTCAATGTTTATTGCATCTTTTCGAAGCGCAAATGATGGAGTTACTAATCCAAAATTGATTGGGGGAAAGGAGGATTTTAATTTACAGGGGCAACGTAAAGTAGAAAATTGCAAGAAATTACATTTTGTCTGAACAATTTAGTCCGGGATTGTAGCTAGACCAACTTTTTGAAATGTGAAGAAAAAACTCACTGAATATTTCATGAGCAATAAAAGCTAGTAAGATGATAAAAAAATTAAGATAAATTTTACAAAAATCTTTTCACGCAGATTTTTTATCACTTTTTCTTGAAAGGCAGCCATTGGGATTGGAGTTGATGAGTTAAAGTAAATACAGAGAAAAGGTGCTTTGCAATTTCTCTTTTACCAAAACTAGACCATTTTTGCCCGAAAGGTAAAAATGCATTCTTTGAAAGCATATTTTTGCAGTATATCGCAATAAAAGCTTTTTTGTTGAAGAACTTCTGTATTGTCTGAAAATTCTTGGTCGATACCGTAAGCGTCTTGAAAGCCCTATTGTAAAATGGACTTAGTAATTCAAGGAAAAAACATCTTCAGAAAGCTTTGAAGTGTTACAAATGCAATTAAAGCTTCATTTCTGCCCTCATGTGAAGCTGCTTTTCATATTAAAATCCTGGAATATGCCAATAAATGTAATTGTTATGCTCGGAATTTCGTATCTGGATTTGGTTGTCTGGTAGCGATGGGCCTAATTGTTATCTGGTCTTTGCTATTTTTGTTGCCAACCAGTTTCATCCTCAGACACTTTATTCTCTGAATAAATATGGACGAATTCTGGTCAACTTTAACACATTTCGATGACTGGGTCATTGTCGACACGCTTTTGTAAGTAGCTTTTGCTGTTTAATACAGTAAAAAACTTTCTTTCCTAGCGCTGTTGACGTTCAAGTTCTATTTCGCCTACGATCGAATACCGATCGCCAGTCTGCAAATTTGTCTGCTAAATATTACCATTGAAATTTGATTTTATTCGCATTAGTATTGAGAATATATGCTTCTAAACACATTTTTCCCCCACTTTTCCTGAGAAGCATCCAAATGAATCAAATGTCATACCTTTTCTCATTCTTTCTATACGCAAATTTAAGCCAATGTCCATTTTTCAACCATTTCTTTGCTCTTCCATGCAAATCTGAAATCCACTTGTCATTTAAAGACATTAATACCATTAAACTGGTAACGAATTATGATGAAACACAAAAAAAATTAAATATGTAATGTAACATTATATAATTTTGTTTAATATAATACAATATCATAATATGTAATATGATTTAATATGATATAATATAGTATAATATAATATGATATATTGTAATAGAATGTAATATAATATGATATATTGTAATAGAATGTAATATAATGTGATATAATATAATATAATATAATATAATATATAATATAAAAAATTATAATATAATATAATATAATTATAATATTAATATAATATAATATATATATATAATATAATATAATATAATATAAAAATATATATAATATTATAATAAATAAATTATATATAATATAATTTAATATAATAGGGTATGTAATATAATATGATGTAATATAATATAATATAATGTGATATGGTATGATATGATATAATTTTGTATAATATATATATATATATAATAATATAGGTATAATAGTATATAATGATGTACCTGATACTGCTGATACATAATAATACACTCTTAAAACCTTGCTGTCTGGGCTTTTCTGCTTCTCCCATAATTTTAAATTTTGAATAATTTATCTTTCAACCTTTATTTCGATTTCTTTCAAGGAAAGCTTTAAGTACAAGATAGCTCATAGACAGATTGGGTCGAACCTTGATGCTTTTGTGGGTCATTTACTTTTTTACGACCCAATTGCAATCCTTGCGATCCCGTGACCAACTGGAAACGTTTTTATCAGGCAAATGGCATCATGTCGAAGCTCTTTTGTAGCGTGCATAGCTCTTGTCGGCTAGTTATTGCGTTGGCTTACGAATCATTTGTGACGTCACAAAGTATGTTCGTGAGAGCAAACAGTTTTGGCGGTCTAAAAGGTATATGAGCTTGTTATTGTTTTACAGGAAACAATGGAAACCGCCCTCACATTCAAAAGTATTGAACCAAGAACTGGGTCATTATCTGATATAATTTTTCATTAAAAATCCCGCGTCAATACGTCTGTTTACTGTTTGGGTGTAAAAAGAAAAGAGCCTGAGTCATTCTTTGGCGACCGTTAGCGAATGAAGTATAATTTTGCAAGTGATATTGAAGTAATATTGACATTGATATATCAGTTGTTATGGTTTAAAAGTAGCAGTGGATAGAGGCCTAGTTGTGTTGGTTTACGTGGAGTTGATACATATTGTCGTTAAAACGTAGCTTCTGCTAACATTGGAAATGTCTTCGCGTTGGTTCTCGGTTTTATGCAAGACTGAACTCTGGTGAGATAAGCCGTTCTTTGTCTGTTGTTTGTATTTTTCATACAAGAAGAGAATCCTTCTTCAAATATTGAATCACATTGATATCGATAAACTTTCTCCATAAATCTAAAGCCTAACAGATCCAAACTTCTTTACCTTTTGCCATCAATGAGAATGATCTTGTTGTTTGTTCTTTAGTTATAAGCTGCTAATAAGTGTTTTCACAACTGCCCATTGAACATCGTTTAAGAGTCCCAATGATTTCCCAGTATGGTTGTCGCATTCAAGCGAGTTCCTTGTTGACAAAGAACTCCAACCAAACATCATCTTTAAACAATCTCTAAGGAAATCTTATAAACCAAGTAAAATGTCTTGAATTTTAGACAGTAAAATCGAAAAACCAGACTATTTATTTTTGTAACAATATTTATATGTACACCTTAGTTGTAAATGTCTTGTTTTTGTTTGGAGTAGGCATTGCGAATTTTTTGTAGTATAAGGATTGTTGCATTGCCCAGGTCATGACTTAACCGAGTCATCGTAGCTTTTTTAATGCCGTTACATTTCCTTAGCATGCCCATTATCTTATTTTAATTTCTTATGCGGCAGGTGGGGGTATTTGTCTACTTTTGTATTGTATCCAGGTAATTATGCTGGCCGCTAACGGTGCTGGTCTGTTTTAATTGGCAAAAAGTGGATTCCGGTTAGACCATCGTCGGGAGATTGTCTGTATTAATTAGACGTGGCGTGGCAGGCATTCGGAAAAGAGGGTGGTGGAGGAGGAGTGGTGGGTGGAGATGAAGGCTGTGGAGGAGGATGATTAGAGGCAGACTTCTAAAAGTCGCTGATAAGCAACAACAAAAACCTGAAAATAATTCCCACTCATCGTTTAACGATGTTTATGTTTTTGCAAACATCTCGATTCTTTAGAAAATCGGGAAGAAAAAGTTCAAGACTTTAATTGCGATAATCATTACTTTTAATTGGTGCGAATTACTGTATTTTAATGGCTTTGTACGCAGAAAAAATGTTCCTATTCTAGGAAAATTCTCGTTATATAAACAAATAATGAGTTGCCGTCTGTATTGTAAAGTAAACACAGCCCTATTTCCATGCGATGTATTTTGGATTGATTCACTGTTTCCATGGTTCCGATATTATAGGCTTGTTGTTTCCGTGTTGAGAAGTGCCTAGAGTAGAGCAGACTTTTTAGACAGTTTTCGTTTCTTGTATTATTTTTTCTATATTATTATTGTATTATTGTATTTTTTCTATAAAAGCCACCCTTATGAGAAACAGCAGGCTAAGATTTGTCCAAAAAATAAGAACAACATAAGAAACAAGGCAGGCTGAAATATAACAAAACTCAAGAAACAATACCAGCAAAAATTAAGGAATAACGACAGAAAAGATGAAAGCAATGAGCAAAATAGCATAAATTACTTTTTCAAGCACAGGTTAAGTCCAAACACTACTATGCACAGGAAATTCCATTACAAATTGAAGGCTGAAATTTTGCGAAAAAAATAATAACAACATATGAACAAGGCAGGCTAAAATCCAAAAAAACTCAAATAATAAAATATCAGCAGAATCAAAATAGCATAAGAAACAAAATAAGAAATACGAGAGCCAAATGTTTTTTTAAAAATTGGATTGAAATTTCAAAATTTGGTATTTATTTCAGTGAAGCGAGTTAGAAGTTCTGCATATACAATAGCCTGTGTTTTCAATATATATATAATTTTCAAAACTCTCTAAAATGTTTCCAAGGGACATATAAACCATGCTTGGCTGCGAACACCTGCGTTATAAAACATGAATTTACCGTTTGTAAAACCTGTTGTTTATAAAGTTGCTTGAGGAAGGATGTCAGAATTATTTGCGAAAACGGAGCAGGTTTTGAGAACATTGGTGATGTCGTTGGTCGCGGGCTCGAGGTCTGCTCTGGCTGTTTCATACGCTCATATTTTCTCTGAAAATTGTTTGTATAAACCCCCACCCCCCTCCCCTCCCAGATTACTTTAGAACCGTAAATGCGAAGTTTAAAGTATTATCGATTTTGTCTTAGAGATCATGATTATGATTGCAACCAACTACAACCAATTGCAACCAATTACGACTTTGTGAGCTAACACCAACCTTAGTTGTCATCAAAAACACAGATTGGAAACAATTTTGCAAATATAACTTTAATGAAAGTTCAGCAAAGAGAATAAAATTTATTTTTTAATTCTTCATCTTATCTATGTTCGTTTTTAGGGGTTCTCACGAAAAGAATCCGGATTCGTGCGAAAAAGAGGAAACAAAGAAACCAGTAGTGAAACGAAATAAGCTCGGCACAACAACAATAACAAATGTCATTGCAGACGGCCAGAGAAGCATCGGTGTGTGCTTATTCCTTTTTTGATTTTAGTGATCAAACAAGATTTCCAATGATAAAACTTTTTCAATCCATCAGCAGGACATGCTACAAACGTCAAACTGACTATATCTGATTGAACTGGCAGTTTTAATTTGAAGTTCGCTCACAAAAAATGACAGAGGGGTAGTTTTCAAGTTTCTCGGATATTTACTACTCCACTCAATATGTGCTAAAGTTTTCTGTAAAAAGCAGCTGTTCTGTTCTGTAAAATGAGTACTCCAAATTTCTTAGCAGTTTCTTAATTTTTCGAGGTAAAAGAAAACAAAAGGACGAGAAATTTACTTACTTCCTTAGTTATGCGGAAAGTTATACGATTTTTCGGTGCAAGACAACTTTAAATGAATAAAAAAAACATCCAACCAACCACGTTGAAAATTACGAGTTTCTTAAACCATTGCACAGAGAAGGGATTATTTGCTCAGAAGAGCACGAACTGAAGAAGCATTAAGCATAAAGTTGTCCTTTTTGATCGTCCTTATCCAAGGGGAAAAGTTAATATAATTAAATAACGACTTTGTACACGAATGAAAGATAAGTATGATGTTTCGAGCATAACTCAACACGCTGAACTACAATGATTATCTAAGGGGAGTTTGTATCATTCATGCCTAATCTGCAAGTCAATGGTTTCTAATGAAAACTAGAAATTTCTCCATTGTATCTCCTTATAAAGGTTTTGCCATTGCATTATCGGATTTGATATAAGGGGATTTGCTGTAAATACTTGTCACACAATTCTCAATTGATTGTAAAAGACTATGATTTGACCTTAAGATTTACTTTAGGCCATTGGTTCGGAGATTTCCCTCTTCAAATCTTACTAATCTTTAAATTCAAATTTTTGAGCTCTTATCTGTCAACAATACTAGCTTTTATATCTGCTGTTAAATGTTTTCACAAAAAATATATCACATTGAATCACGTTGATTGGGTTGTTGACATAAACGAAATCCAGCAGACATCTCGCCTTACCTCTATCTGTCGAAACCTGCTGCCCCATGGTCTGAAGTTCCTAAGTGCCACTTACCTACACAATGCTCCATCATCCTTTGATGACAATTAATCCTGCAACTTTAAATACCTCTTCCTCTCCTTGTTGTGACAAACAAGCAAAGTGTTATTGCTATCCTTCTTTGAGATTGCAGCCTTTATTCAATGGGTGAATGGTATGCTATTTTTCGTGAATATTCTTTGATACCTAACATTGATTCCAAATAACTTTTTCACGACCATTAAATCGATTGTTTGTCATTGTAACTTCATGAAATCATTTGATCATTTTGGAGTAATTTTGTTGTTGTCAATGATGCACTCACTTTTGGATTATTTATAAATAGTTAGAAAATATTCATTTGACGAAGGTTTGTCGAGTACCCATTTTTATCATTATTACCCTGATTCCTCCATGTGTTATCCTCAATTTTTATTTTTCTACAAAACATCCATCTATTGCAATCAGAATTCTTTTTTGGGTATCTTCTCCAAATTTTTAAAGTGTGATACGCCCCTTCATTATGTTTTGCTAATTTTTTCACTATCTCCTTCAATTTCAGTGTTTTTCATATTTATAGAACATAGCGAATATTATTACTTTTTGTCAATCGATAGAAAAAGAAATTGCTTCCAACCTTGTTAATGACTTTCTAAGACAATTCGCAGTCTGTGAAGATCATTTTCTGATATAGTGTCAAATATGAGTCCTCTGCAGCAGTCTTTAGAAATGAAAATTAATTCAAATTCTTGAAAACCAATATTAATATTCTTTTGCAGAACAAGATGTTCAGTTATTAGAAGACTTAAACAAACTTGCTGTTGAATCCAAGAAACGTGAGTTTTCTCATCCGCTTTGTCAGGTTATTTTGTATAATGACGACATTAATTAATTTCTCTAGCGTTATTTTAATGTACTTTTTTTCCTTTATTGGATCCTTCTAAAATATCGTCGTTATCAAGATGTCAGAGTTTTTAAGACCAGTGTCTCTGCTTTCCGTGTAATATTGGCTTTGATATTCATGTTTGAATGTAATAGTTCTCCTCTGTATGGCAAAAATAACACATCAAAACTGCTTCCACGTTTTAGGATCTCTCTTAATAGATGCTCTCTTTTTTGGTGTCAGTTCATTTCAGGCATCTTTAATTTTTGACTGCACCAATTTTCGGTTGCCCTTCTCCATTTTAATTTTAAACTCTGTTAGAACTCGAACCCCCAAAAAGTTCTGTAGATATTTCATTTCAATTCTAAACTTCCGTAATATTTTACGTGAATCTATAACTAAAGTCATTCGCATCCCAAGCATATTCTCTAAATTAGGTTGTGCCGCATTCATATTTACAAACACCTCCCTCTCTCCACCCCCTCTCTCCACCCCCTCTCTCCAACCCCTTTATTCTAACCCTCTCTCTCCAACCCATTAGTAGGAACCCTAGCTCCATGATTTTAAAGAAGTTTTTTCAAGCTAAATTTAAAAACATATATATACTAATGTAATGAAATTAGTTCTGAATTGCTCATCATTTTGCTGTTATGTATCGGCAATTATTACAAATCTTTACACTACTGTTCCCATCAGAATTGGCTGTGGCTGTGGGTTTTCTTCAAAGAACTTTTATCCAATTCCCAACATTTTTGTTAGACTGCAAAACTCAATATCGCCAAGTCGCATTGCGTTTAGTGCCTCATTTGCAACCGTTCCATATTTCCTGAATTATTATCATTCGCTTTCCAATAGTCATGTGTATTCCTTAAACTTCATGCCAATTTCCCTTCTTTTATGTCGTAGTTTTGCTTTCCAATAGGCCTTCAGCCATTTTAAAATTCCTCTGTTTATTTTCTCTCTATATTAATAAGTTCCACTATATTAGTTACATTCTTTTGTAAACGAATTTGCGAAGTCAAGGTTAACTATATCCTGATTTAATTGAAAACTGTAAACTCTGTTGGATTCCTGCTTTCGTTGGTTACAATTATTCTTTAAAGAATTCCGTAAATTAACGAAATTTGACCAAGCCCAGTGCAACAGGAAGCCCCAGCTGGGATATTTTATTTGCTGTGTGGTCTTAATACTTTTCCTTTATGCTTAGATAACGCCATTTTACTCAACGAATAACTTATTTAATCTCAAGAGGATTTTGTGCTTCACGATAACGGTTGCGTTCTAGATGTATCACTGAAATCAAACTGCAAGCCAGAAGGCGCCTTCTCCCACCCGCTAGGTATGGCAACGCTTTCAGGTTTCTTTATGAATTGAATACTCTAACCAATCAATAAAATCATATTTTTCCCAACATGTCTTTTGATACTCAAGATAAAAACAAACTAGGTTTTTAATATGAATCCTTCTCATTGGATAGTTGTTTTTAGGCTATGCATCATGCCTCACACGTAATGCCATAACGAATCAGCTTTCATAAGGACGTTTCTTTAGCTGCTAAAAACTCTTTTTTAAATTCATTTCACTTTATGATCATTGAAAGCTCAAAAGTATCTTTGAGACTAAATCACGTCCTTTTATTCCTTTAATTTCTTCAAAGTTTTCAGCTCATGCGATCTTTTGTAAATTTTAGTTATAAATTTATACGTATTATTGAATAATTTTAGTAAAATACCTTTAGTTATGAATTTCTATATCCCACATTTTGTAATTAGTGATACAGTATAATCTCGTTATAACGTACTCGGTTATTACCTACTTTCAGATATAACGTACTTAATACGCTGGTCCCTTAAAGTACGTTATAACCGGATTATACTGTACATGAATATAATATTTGTAAAAATATATACTATTATAATATTTGTATGTATTAGTTTTTGTTTTGCTTTATTTTGCAGCAAACAGTTTGCTAAAGTTGCGTGAAATTAATCTTGAAATACAGAGATTACGATGTCTAACTCAAACCGAGAACCTTCAGGTAAGTCCAACAAGGTTTGAAAGATACACGTCCAATAAAGATTGTCAAAGATTGAATTCAAGTGGCTAAATTGTGTTGCGGAAACAGAAATAAACTAAAATTTATTTCAGTAGAAAAGCGATTTTCTCAAATTTCTAACTGTGAAAGACTGTTGCAGAAGTAGCCACTAGACCAAAACTTTAATAACAAAATTTTGCAAGGCTTGTGTTTTTATTTTTTGCTTCGTTTTATGTTTGCAGTGTTTTAAACTTTGGCTGTTTTCAAATAAAATATGTTTCTTCACAACTTATCAATTTTAATCCATATTTATTCCCGCTTGAATAAGCATGTAAATTTTGTTTTCAGTTCTCAAATTGAATTCGCACCTTTTTTCGCGTAGGTTGACAAAACTACTGAAGAAAGAAGAGCAAGGAGCTACTCGTGCCCAGACTCCATAACTGCACGGAACACAGACAGGATGGGTTTGTATAGTTTTAGCTATGTTTGTGTCTTACCCTGGAAGTTTCTGAAAACAGTTCCCGGCTGACGTAGGTGGAAGAAATTGGGTACATCGTTAGCAAGCTACCCGCTTTTTATCTTATACGAATATAGTTAATATGAATGTTATGGCTCAAGAAATGTTTTTTGTTTATCTGGGTGTTCTCGTAAGTTCTAAACTCTATTAATTGCTTATTAAACTGCCAATTTAAAACAGGTCTATTTTCCATGAGAACTCGCGTGATTTTATTTAAGTTCTGAGCGAAATATAAAATTTAAGCCAAGTAAACCCTTTTGTTTTTATGTGCGATAGTGTCAATAAAAAATAGCTCAGGAATACCCAAATATCGAACAAATTTAGGTATTTTTTTCATAAAAGTGTATACATTGTCGCTTTCTACTTGAATAGCTCCACAGCCTTTTTTAACATCCATGAAATATATTCTCAGAGTGCTCCTTTCCTCTAGCTCACGGCGTTCGTCGGCGTAGTGGGTCATTGACTTCTTGTGGTGAAGAAAACGTCGAGAGTAGATTGCCAGGTCTCACTAATGAATTGAATGAAGAAGCTGGAGATAATTTGGGCGAAGAAGACTCGCATGGGAAGATCAAATGTGATTTTGTACAAGCAGAGAGTCAGGATTTTGAAGAAGGGGAAATCGAAACGGAGAAATCGCTGTTGCACGAATCAGAAAGGAACTCATCTATAGAAAGTGGATCTTCTTTAGATGAGGCGCCGGGAAATGAAGATGCGAACAATGATAGCAGTAAAACATTTGCTCATAATGAGCCTTTTACCACAGACAATTTAAAGACAGAGTCAGAGAGGTTTGTTGAAAGTACATCACTGGGAGATAATGTTGGTGATAGCAGTCTTAGTGATGTTGCAGATGGGAGCATGATTGACCGAAGTGTGTGTAGCACAGAGGAAGAAAACTCGGTCCTTGTTGCGGAAGAGGAGAGCACCGATGACCAAGAGAATTCGGAACTGAATGTGGAATCCCCTGAAGATATACCCTCAATCAAGGTTGCAGATTCATCAATAGCTGTGTCTCAAAATCAGGCCGAGGCTATGGCTGGAGAATACGCAGATGCCAATGTTGTTCATGAAGATCTTGCTGTTGCTACACAGGCAGCTCAAGATGAAGCGACACAGAGTTTTGATCAACAGGATTTCGTTGGTCGATCAGGCAATAACATGATGTCGGAGATGCGCATGCTGACTGCTGTTACGGAGGAGACTGAAGAGGAGCTCTTGGAGCTAGATGTAAAAGAAACATTAGACCCGAACACGCAGAAAAGCCACTCGATGGAAGAGTTGAAAGCGTTGCGTCGTAATGAGGAGAGGCTGCATCGTTCGGCAGAACATGTAAATTTGCCTAGAGTTGTTCTACGAAAAGGAATTTTGAAAAAGGACCGACCGTTATCTGACAATTATGAAAACATCAAGATGGTTGCAAGAGAAAGTCAGTTCAACAGACTTGGTAAGATGTCCGATAGTGACGATAGTGTGAACGGCCTGGACAAAAGGAAGAGCAAAAGCCTTGATGCGATACTTATTGATGAAGAGAACGGAAAATCGCCCTCTTTGACGTCCAGTCAGCTGAGTTTGTCAGACATTCATGGAAGCGTAGAGTCATTGCGGTCGATGGATCGATTAGAGCCACAGGGACTGCCGCTTTATCGAACGAAAAGTATAGGGTCTTCTTCACGGGATCACAGGGCATCACTCAACGACATTACCTTCTCGGTACAAGGAGATCTGGATGAGCCAGCGCCTATGCTGAAGAAGAAAAGGTCGAGGTTTAGTTTCAAAAGGAAGTCAAAATCAACAACATCGCTAGACAAAAAGGGCATTGGTTCACAGGATGACGGTAAGAGATTGAGTGATCTTGAAAAACTGTGTTTGTTCTTGCTTGCTTTGAAGGGCAATCTCACTACCTTCCTCCAGTCAAAGACATGAAGAAAAGCAATCCACAAATGACATTTGGTTGCACAATTTTTTGATGATTTTCTTGAGTCTAAAAAATGCAAAATGCCGGGTCTAAATCTGAATTGTTTGTCATATTTGATTTCCAATTTGTGCATTTGTTTGTTTACTTGTTTTAAATAGATCATTTACTTGTAGCTTATTATGTAAAAATTCATATGTACTAATCAAACTGATCCCAATCGATAAATAACTACACGAATAGATGAAAAGAAACATAAATGTACATAGATAAATGTTTTTACAGATTTCACTTAAAGGAATTTATAAAAGCTAAACTTTAAGAGACTTAGTGGCATGCATTGCTTTTACAGTTTGGGTCTTCCACTTTTTTATAATATATTTGAAGCTATTTAAATATTTTGCGGATTTTACTTCATGACTGTAGGCTATTAGGACCAAAGGCTACTTGGTTTGGTTTACAATGTTGTAAATCTGCATCCTAAATAGTGTCGGTTTTATATAGTTACAATTAAAAACAGCTGTCATATTGATGTTGGAACTTCTTTCCTTTAGTATACCTAGGTTACCAATTGTTATCAAGATAGTTACCAGCTGCTAACCAGCTGAAACTCTTTATTGTGTATTGTTTTAGAGAGACGGAGGACAATTATGGGAGGCATCAGCACAGAGAGGCTGTTCGCTTCCAGGAAGGGAGAGGAGTACGACAAGTAAGTTCGTCACGTGATTTAGTCTCTGTAGCATGTAACGTGTTCATTTATTTCTTTGGTATAAATGCAACTGCATAATGATGCTTCGTTATCAGATCCGGATTCTTGCCTTTCCATTGACCGTATAAAAAGCTAAATGGAGACATTTCTTAGTCAAGTAAAAGGTTTTTCCAGGGTTTACCTGAACATTGCTTGTAACTCTGATAATTTGTTGCTTCCAGGCAATCTCAGCAAACATTATTCACAATGTAGTGTTGATTTGGACTTTAAACATGTGTTGAAAAAACACACCAGTGTAAAGTTGTTAAAGTTTTACCTCACCGTGCAACCTTCGTATGGTTTGATTTCAAGTTAATCACCTTTGTGGTTTGTTTACAGGACGAAACGACACACTATGATCGAAACGAGTAGCATCAGCAACAGAGATTCTGGCATTGATTCAACGTGTGAATTGAGACTTGACGATATAATGCTGTAAGTTCATTGCTATCCTTTTTTTCTTCCCTTTAATTATTGATAAGTATAATGTTAGATACTGGAAAAATAAATGTGCTTTGCATCAGTGGCGGACACCTGGGGGGGCGAAAGGATGACCGCCCCCCCCAATTCTTTAGAGGACGATTGTTTGTCTTTTGTTCTAAAACAATGAGAAATGTGACGTCATCTTATTAAAACAATAGGCTTGCCCCCCAATATTTGACCAAGTGTCCGCCCCTGCTTTGCATCTTGTAGAATTTAAGTGTCAAGTGTCGAGTTAACTGCTTTGTTCTGTTTTTTTTGTAGCAGGATTCCTTGCAGATTTTTTGTCATACACAAATTTATTCAGCTAATATTTCAGATAATAAAATTGAAAGGTATAAGCGCTTTAAATTGAAGGGTACATATATTTGCTCGTTGAACAAAAGTTATGTCGATAAAAGCTGCTAGGGTCCAGGGGGTTTCCTAGTGCAGATCTGCAAAATTTTGATCTATAATGAGAAATATCCACAGTTAACTGATGCAACATGTCTGATATTAACAAGAATTATACAGCCCAAAAATGATATGACAAAAAGCTGAACGAATTTTATCTTCGTCATTTCGAGGTTATAAAATGAGATGTTTTTTTCATTAAATATTTATTTATACGTTATCTTCTCTTCTTGCTTCATTTGACAACAAGCTACACACAAAATACCATTATAATTTGTCTGTTTATTTTCACTGAATTTCTTGTAAAAGACAACTCAAGAAAGGCTTAGTCTTGACTGTCAACAACTCTACATTTGTTTGTATAACAGTTTCATTAACGTTTTTAATGGAGTTATTCCCTTCTTTCCAGAACCACAGCAATCTCCAAGGATGGATTGCATATACCAAGTATATCGGAGATTGGATTGTAAGTGCTAACATCTTTTTTCCTAAAATCAAAGCTTTTACCAGGCGTTACGGAGCACAGATGGTAGATTGGTTACAATGACTACTGACAAATGACGAATTACAATAGGGCTTTGAGGCATAATGAACCTCGGTTGATGAAAGGGAAATCTTATGTCTGGACGATTTTGAATTCATGTCTGAGAGTGCGGAAGGAAACCTTTTGGTTTATTTGCATATCCATTCGATGAAGAGCAAATGGGTTCTTTTATGAACTTCAGGTCGTTTACTTTCTTTTCATTTTTCGTCACACCCAATTTCTTTGTTGTAATCATAAACGGGGGTTCTGAGACCTGAACTGGCGCAAAGCAGACTAAAGTCGCACTGATCTGCCTAACTTTGCAGGTAACAATATTATCGTTGCTACAAAAAAAGGCACTATTGGCCTCTTTTCAAAACAAAAAATGTATTATGCTTTATTTCTTATTCTGCTTAGCCGGATTTTGATTTTTCTCATTTTTATCAAATTAAAATCTTTATCTTATCTATCACGACAGTGTAACGAGAGTTCTACAATGTGACGTCATAAAAATTATTTCATATTTTGTGACTCTTGACCACAAACATAACTTGAAATAACTTTGAAATTCTTTTATATATGGATAATTCAGATAAATGGGTTAATAACTAGGTCAGATTTGGACAGTGAAAGATTTTGATTTTGCCAACAGGTTTCTGTTATTTTGGCTTGAGTAAAAAAAGTTATGAACAGAGACAAATTAACAATGATGCGGAAAGAGCCAACACATTAGGCTGTTTTGTTTGTTTAGAGATATTCCACGATTGCTTTTTCAGGTTATGTGCTCCAAATTCAGAATTTCCAAAAATATATTTGTGTGAAATCATCACTTTAGAACTCTGTTGTATTTTGGTGTCTAGAATGGGTCCTTTGATTTGGTAGGGTCGCCAAACTCTAAAAGTTTAGCCGCGCTCTCGACTGCCATGTCTACAGCTATGCAAATATTTGGTCTTTATGTGTGACTTGTTCCATGTTGTTGTAAATACACCATTGTAGCTTTAAGCTCGTCGAACTTTGATCAGGAGAGCCCCAAGTCCGAAGTTGTCTTTGCAAATCTCAAGGATGCTGTAGAATGCGTTTGAAACGAGGAATTGGTTATGTTTTTTATTGGCCACCAATTACCGCTTTCTGCTGATGCCAACCAACGCTTGTCTAAATTGTTCTCTGTGTCCTGGAACGGTGAAATAGCTATCGATAAACAGTGAGATGGTTGTCAAGCCGTATTCTAATGCAGTTTCGTAGAAAGATGACATACAAGTAACTTGATCCTACAATCAGCATTTTTAACGATACCCAGTTCATTGCAGCCAGTTGCATTTTCTTATTTCTGCAAAATTTGTTTTCAGATTTTGTTACCGCCTTGTGCATGATTGATACAACTTAGTTGTTGCTGAAGCCTTACGTCCAGGGCATATGGTTTTTATATTTCACTTTTTATATTGGCATTGCTAAACGGCTGTTATAATTATATCGTTGTTTATTCTTTTAGACACCCGTCAAAGGACAGAACCCGCTCATCTAGTGAAATAAGTGGAGACAGGTATAACACTTTTCTTCACTCAAACTTTAGATTTTTAAAGAGAAAGAGCCGTAAAAAACTTTGTAGGCAACCTTAAAAAGCATTTTTGATAAAATTCCCTAAAGATGACATTTGACTAAAATACTTGATATTCAATCAAAAGGCCCTTACTTTCGAGCTGTAGTGATATGTTGATACATAGAGTTTTTTAAAACTTGTCAATACTTTGTTCCCCTACCTGTTTTAGCTTCTAAGCCTTCTTATTCTCTTTAGTGACATTTAAGAAACCCTTGCAGGACAGCCATTCGACCTGTAGCAAAATTTAAAGAAACGTAGTATCTATCGTCAACCTTAAAAACGTTTTATATTTATCTATACACAGCTTTTTATTTTAACAGAGATACAGAAGATGACGAGCTTGACATTGACACTGATGAAGGCACTAGCTCTGAAATAGCTGAAAGGGTGAGTGATAACCTAGTATTTTGTAGTTCTTGATTCATTCACACCTTCTGTTATCGTTAGCGTTTCTTTCAGCAACATTGCATGCCATAAAGTCCATTTGTGCCTAAATCTAAAAAGGTATGTCTATTGCCGAAACCCTCTTTTTAAAAAAAGTGTTTCCCTTTTTTTTAAATAGAAGTATCTAACACGTGTCCAAATATTCCATTGTACCAACTAGAAAACACTTGTTAATCTTAGTGTAGGAATCCAATTTTTGAAAACAGCTATTTCTCGGTACGTCTATCACGTGACATTTTAAGGGATTTCTGATTAATTGATTAAGTTAATTACAAGCTATTTACACATGCTAAATAAACTACTTTGAGCTGGTATAAAAAGTAGCTTCGGATTCAGGCATTTCAGTTAGCGCGGTTTAGTTTTCAAGTCCATATGTTTTCAAATTCCAAAACATAGAATAATCAAAACGATAATCAAACACAAAAGAAAATTTCAAAACTGAATCTGACTACAAATAAATACAATAATGATTGTAATAAACTTAATAGAACTAATGTAGATTGGTTGTTTTTAAAATAACAACATTTATTTCAAATTGAACGTATATAAAATTTGAAATCATAGCCCCATTATTCAACTTTTCTAAATATGTGCCTGATAGTTTGCTGGCAAAGAGATGCAAATAAAACCACATGTTTAGCAACAGACTTCTGTCTTGCAAATATGCTTAAACTGTTTCGTATTAAAGGCTTGAATGATTTTAAAACAAAGACGAATTGCACCAGTTATCTTATTCAGTATATCTTTAATTGTCCAATTGTTTTCTTTCCAAAAATAGAGCAGTTGATTCAAAACTTATTGCCTTAGACATTTTTAGTTATTAAAAATCCCTTGCTTGATAGCGCGCCCATTCTTATGTCATATTTAAGGGATAGAGCGATTTGTTCCTTTGAATTAATGTTTAACTTGGTGTTTTTATGACTGTTGTTAGTTGACCACAGAAGCCTAGCCGTTACTTATTTTTGAACTGATTTGTGCTTGGATTTAGATATGCTTAAAATCCTTTTACGTCACAAAAATCTTGCTGTTTTTCTAGAAATATCCTTCGGATGTGATAACTTCTTTTCTTCAGTCACTGAACTGAAACTTTATCAAAATATCTTTGTACGCTTGTTTTCGTTCAGCAATACCCAGGTAATCGTTATCACGAACCACAAACATCGTTTTAACAGATGAAATTCAATATTGGAATGCCGCTAAACGTAGTCCGTGGGCTCATGCCATAAATTCACGAATAGAATGCTTCTTTAGTGCATGTATTATCTTAATTTTCCACAACAAAAGCAACGATTAGTTCATGTATTTCTTGAAACTTTCAATTTTACTTCCTAAATTAGTATTGTATACCACATGCATTTGTGTATTTTTTCAGTCGGGCCATTAAATTGCACCCACCGAATTCTTCTAGGATTTTGCTCCATCTTGACTGAAGTGCCAAGCATGCGATAAAATATATTTTCAGCAATTTTTTCCTTGCTGATTCTCTCCCTGATTGTTTTCCTTCATAAGGTATTATAATTTGATTTCCCAAATAATTACAAATTTTAGATTGCCCTTTCCTGTGTACTTTTAAAAATATTACTACCTTGTGCCTGTTAAGCCATTCCTTCGCTGAATTTCGTGACATACTCTGTGAACATTTGTAGATTTCTTGTATTTTAATGCGGAAATATATGTATTCAGCCGGTTATATTTGCACTTCCGGTACAGAAAGATATTCACTTGGTGTCAACATTAGGCAACCTTACCACGAGATTGATTAGAATGCTGTGTTCGTTCGCGTTCGTGCGCTGGTTGCTGATATTGGCTCGATATCGCATGCGTCATTACGGCATTCGCCGTCGCCGCATTAGTTGAGCCTGTGGTCAATTTGTATTTACTCAACGTGGTATTCATTTGTGTATAGATACCAAGATAATTATAAAGAAATAATGCAGAGCGCGGCATGGCGAATAAACATTTGGAAGTTACAAATTCGACTGAAAAAAGATCTGTACATATTTATTGTTGTGTTCAGGTGCGAAAGAGTTCGGTCTGTACCGAGGAGAAGAAAAAGGAGAAGAAATTTGGAATATTAAGAAAAAACAAAAAGGTATTTACGTTTTTTAACACAACGTTGTTTTTAGTAGTATTGAAAATGTACTGAAAATTCCTTATATGTTTTAGTGCAAATACTTAAGATTTTTTGCAAACTGAAATTATATTTTCGGCACTGTAGAGTTTTCCGTCTTATTTATTTTATTGTGCTACTCAATTCCAAGAAATCTCGTAATAATCCTTAGCTTAAGCCATAAATTTAGCGAGTCGTGCTCTACACAGACTTTACAATTAATACTCACATTAATTGTTTTTCAGCTAAGTTGTCATCATGATATATTTTTTCAAATTTATTCGTAGTTGTAGGCTTTATAAATAGCTAAATTTCACTAGCTTCCAGTCCCGGCTTGAAAAATGTTTACTCACTTCAAGTTATGCGAGGTTAATGACGCAAATTTGTAGATCAATTCACCCTGACTTGTACCTCAAAAATTTTCAAGCAATATTAGCAAGAGCGAGCACACCGTACTTGCAACCAGGTTTGGTCCAATAAGCAACTCGCACTGTGGAAATGCGAACTTCTCACAACTACACGTAGAAAAATCATGCATGTTTTTCCGCCTGAACTATGAATGGTGGAGACAAAAACGTTTTCTGATAGTGAAAGCATTTGGCGTAAGAGAAGTTGAAAGTGGAAACATAATGTTGAAATAATTTTATCACTTTCAACTAGGCCATTCACAAAGGCATTGTTTGCCAGCACGAACAATTTTCATTGCAGTTCAGTTCAAATTTTAAGAAAAGTTCTCTCTCGTCAAATGAGGGTTATGTCCTGTCGTGTCATTTCCAACTGTAATTATTATATTTTATTTGTCCAAGCCAAACATCCCAAAGAGTAAAGTAAGGGGCCAGATGATCTTTCGTTTGTGAATTCTTGGTCAACTTCTCACTAATACTTTGATGTTAATCCACTGATATTTCTAAACTGAACCCGAACTTAACTTTGCATAATAATTTGGCACCAAAATACCTTTTCTGAAACGATTTAAGGAGATGCTAAGACAAAGATTTGTATTCCGGTCTTTTATTCGCATTACTAGGATTCAGCAAGTGTTGTCTAACTGCATCGTCACTACCTAGACTGGCATTGACATTAAGGTTTCATTATGTATTCGTTAAAGTATTGCTTGACCGCTTCATGATCTTATTTTATTTGTTTAGGAAAAGAAGTCTGGAAAAGACAAAGAGCAGCTTGACAAGGTAAGAGATCCATTGATCACTGTGATCCAGTCTTTATTGTGAACGAGTGGCCAATTATACATTTTCGATCTTTTTTTCATTAGAGTAATCCATACCCAGAATTAATAAATACAGCTCTTTTCGTGTTTTGAAAGCTTTCGTGACCAGGAAAACCGATGCCAAATTCGGAAAAACACTATATTATTGGGTTCCATAAAAAATTCCCTACATTGCTAGGCACAGTTTTATTTGAAAAGCTTTTAATGCAGTTATTTCTTTAAGCATCGGCTGCTCAAAGCTCGGTTTAAGAATTTGTACAGTATGTGATGTAGTTTGTGGTTTAACTTCATTGTTAAATTGATACTCAAAATTCAAGAAGATCTGCTGTCTCCTTCTTTAGGAGAGTCGCAGGGTTAAGATTTTGCAATTAGGCCTTCGACACGACAATGTCCAGGCCATTGCTTTGTTTCAAAGGCTAGCATATTTGAGCTTTACCTGATCATAATACGAATCGTTGTTTTAGAATTTATAATGTGCTATTTTTAAAGAAATATCAATTTTCTTAGAAACTGTAAGAAACTTTACCTGCAATTTTTATCATATATTTTGTTGAAGCACTTTTTGATAAATTTGATCATTTTTCGAATGGGGCATTACATCCTTAACATAATACTTTCATATTGGCTCGATATTGGCACAATTTTCGTTTCTGTTTATACATTTTGAACAACGATGTTGAATTGCTTACCTTAGTTTTTTATTTAGAATAAAATGGCATATGGAAATCAATAGCTAATTACTTTTTTGAAAGGGGCATTAAAATAAAATCGAAACGATTTCCCGGGAACGAAACTTATCTGCAAACAGTCTTCAAATTAAGCTTCTTTCAAAGACAGCTAACTTATTTATGTTGCCACTGCGATTTCAGTGGTTATATCTTACCACTTAACCGTTTTTTTATCTCATGTTTCCTTAGTTTTGCTTCTTAAAGAAAGATTAAAAATGTTTCGAATGAACTAGATGGAATTGATATTAGCTTGAACTTAAAAGATTAGAGTTCATAATTGACAGTGGTTATTATGCATTTCTAAAATAGCCTAAATCCATTATGAACCACGTCATGACTGTATTAATTTTGCTTATTTTTCAGGGCTTGAAGAAAAGCCATAAAGGTGAGTCATTTTCTCTTGAATAAGTGTTTGTCAATCATATGAGTTCTGACATTAGAATCCTGTGGAACGGATTTTAACAGAGGTACTTCCTCATTTCATCGTTGACGTCACTTGCCCCAGACCATTTTAGCAAGACAATATGTAAACATGTTGTTCTCATTTCATAAAAACCTTCCATTGCAAGGCACTGCACCTCTGAATTGCCTAAAGAAATACGTTGCCGCGAAACTTCTATCAGCGGACACCTACTTATAGCGGTCATCTCCTTGAACGGACATCAATTTGTAGCGGACACCTCCAAAAAACAGACAAAACATTTTGCCAAAAAGTTTCTTCTCTACCTTTATAACTTTGTAGAAGTCTCTTCAAGACAACGGGCATTTTCCTGCATCTTTGATTCTGGTCCTTCAATTTTCTCTTGTCCTTCAATTATCTCCGGTCCTTTGTGGAATTTCTGCTGTCCGATATTTGTTTCTCAGAGCCCACAATATATTAAGCCTAGATAATTAGTATAGTTTGCTTTTGAACGCATCACTTTTCTATGGTTTTAGTGTAATATTGTTATTCAACGGATGAAACGGTGATGAGATGTTCCTTTTTAAGTTTCGTGCTTTATTGTATTTGTGGGTAACAAAATGGAATGCCGAGCAACATTAAATTCCTTCTTCTGTTAAAAATCATCAATCTTTTAATTATCAACACGAATTAGAGAAGGGGTGCTATATTCTCCCTTTATTTTTACCCTACTTGAAACGATAATGGGTTTCCTGATAATTTTTGTATATTTTTCCATTGTTTTCGGAAAACGAATTCGCGAAAGGGGTTTTCATTTGTGGTTTTTATGCTCCAGTGTACTGGAAATTTTTTCATTCGACTTTCTGGAGAAGTTCAGGCTATTTCAAGTCCAATGACAATATTGACATTATTCTTATGAATAGAAAATTGACTCACAGAATACACAATCTCGGATCAAGATTTTCTTTTTTTGTCAGCCTTACAAGTTAGTACCCACGACCTATGTATACATTGTGTCAAACAAAACATTTGTTCTTGTGGGCTTTTGATAGGTGCCTTTATATCTTATTTCAAAATTTTCTCACTATATTAGCCATCTCTTAACATTATTTTTAGAAAACGGTTTTGTCAAAGAATTAGGAAACGCCAGAACTCGCCTTTGAATAATTCAAAAATTTCTTTTCAAAGCCTTTGTTTGATTAAAATATAAAGTGGTTTGTTTTACGTTAAAGTTTTCTTTGAAAAGCTGAAAAGTTTTAGAAAATATCAAGAAAAACTGCACCGTATAAAAAACAGAATTGTTTGAGGAACACTGTTGTTTGAGAAGAGTAACAGCAAACAGATTTCTTTATTGAAAACAAGGGATTTTTATAATTGTTTGAGGGGCACAAATTCTAGCAACAAATGGGGAATGAAATATATTGTTAAGTTTTGTATCTAAACTTTTTCTATCTTATGCCCTCCCATTTTGAAGTTTTTTGTAGCAATGGTAAAATGCCAAATGGTAGAATGGCATTTCCTGTTTGAAGGTGTTTCAAGAAAGGCACTTTGATGTTTTGAGAAATCTTGGGAAACTTTTTTCACAAACGATAGATGGATTCATCAGTCGCTCTGTTTATTCTCAATCATATCGATGATGAGATATTGGGTGCGGGAGACCATTTTACCAACCCCCATCCCCAAGCTCCCATTTGCTGAAGAGACCCTCGCTTGCTGCTTTCGGGTTATGTTATGTTGTAGCTCATCTTTCGTTCCTTTCTGAAGACGTAGTTTTTGAGAAACAAAACATGCTGTTATCTGTCATCATCGCTTTCACAAATTTAGGAGATGCAATTGATTAAGCAAAAGCATTAATGTCGTCATGATTATGATAAACGGGAGAGAAAATATGGTTAACAAACCATTTTGCATTTCTTGGCTCATTACATGACACCCCCCCCCCCCC